CATCAAGTTCACAGCCTGCCCTGAACAATCGAACAAAAGGCGACCAAGTGGCGCTGATCGAGCGACATTGATTACCTGACTGGCGCTGGTTTTTGGCTTTGGTCTTTGGCTTTGGCTTATGGCCCACAAGAACTGAACTCAGTTGTGTTATTAGCGGCTTAAAAGCACTGTGAGTATGCGTATATTATATGGCCAGCCATATATTAAACATATATAATTTGATTGCCGAACTTTTGCGGAGCACGAATACAAATACAAGAAAATACAATCACGTGTGTGAAGTGTTTCCGTTTTGTAATTGTGAATTTGCCAATCTCTGATTGTTGAAGGGAAGTGCGCATTTGTGCCATAAGTCTTTTGTTTGCCGAAGCCAGAATCATTTGCCAAAAAATTAATTACAAAATATATTTAACAAAGTATTTATGAGTGCCGCATGGCATTGATATACGTACGAGTGCAGACATATATACATATATATATATATATATATACTTAAGCATGTAGTAAACATTGGGTTCGTTTGGGCTTATGAATGAATTGCAGCGTCTGCGGCTTGACGCTTGGTTATACGATAAGCGTAGCGGGTCAATGTTACCTACATCTTCTGTGGACTTGAACTTTGTATCTTTTTTATTTGTTTTTACTTTATCATTATTATTTTTTTGTTTGTTGTCTTGTATGAGTTTTTATTTTATTCCATTTGTTTTTACTTAGTGCAAACATTAAGAGAAGATGGGTAAAACCAAGGCTGTTGTTGTATCTAATGACAGCCACTGACAGCTAACAAATAATTACAAAATTACAGCCCTAAACTGTAATTCAAGTGGTTTGCAGATTGCTTTTGTCATTATACCCTGTAAACAAATTATAAACATACATATTTGTCCAATTGACAGAAGGACAAAATATCTTCGGACCTGATCATCTACTTGACCTAGTCGATCCCAAAAAGAGGCACAAGCTAGAGATCGAAAATTTGATATACTAGTTATCTACGCTATAAGCATGTTTTATTTATTCCTAATTTATCACACCTCCACTCAATCCAGCCAGCCCAAACCGAAAATAATCTAATTACAACGGAATTTCGTTTCGTTTTGGTTTGGTTTTTATTTTGCCGAGCAAAGTTTTGTTTTCATAGTTAATTTACACATGAAGCTTGATTTTTATAAATATTTAAAAACTTTATAAGTTGCCTTGTCTCAGCTTTTAGCAAGTTCAAAAGCAGTCGCTGTTCGCTGCTTGGTACCTTTACCCATTTTTCTGTTTCGCTATCTTATTTTATCTTGGCAAATTTTCAACGCTCGCCCAATTTTAATTACAAATACACGAGGCTGTTGGTACTTTTGTTATGGCTCGGCACGAGGTGCGCCATTTGAACTTGACTTTAATTGGCTTTCAATAAAACAATTATGTATCTCTCTATAGCGTTTTATACCTAATTAGATTGACGCTTAGGGCTATTTTGTCTTTCACTTGACACAACCGCCAAATCTTTCACTTTTCATTTCATGAACGCGTCCAATCGATTTTCGGTTGATCGTATATGGATTATGTAATGCCGCATACCATTGTTATTAAATGTACTTATTGTGAATACCAAACTATGGATTTTTTTCAAGTTAACGCCCAAAGTGTAACAAGTGCAAAATGTGGAAACAACACAAGCTGATGAGTTAAAAAGCTTTATTTTGCCCATGCGCTGCATGTTAAAATGATAATAATTTCCAGCTAAATGCAGGGGCATTTCGAACCAACAAACAGCTGGCATTTGTATGCCAGACATGCTACGCCCACTCAACAAGCGAACTAGCAAACGACCGAAATAGGAGCTTAAAGTCACAGCGTTTATGATGCCATCATGAGTGCGTTGCTCATAATTTGATAATAGCGTCTATTAAACTAAGCAAAAGTGCGCATAAAACCTGGACAGTGGTCAGTTGCTAGCTGTGGTTGTTCCTACTGTTGTTATTGTATTGTTGTCATAATTAGCACCCAACTAAATATTTTTAAAGTGGTCGTGCTTCGCTTTGTATGTGTCAAAACACGAATAGTAGATATTTGTACAAGCAGTGTCATTAGCTGGGAGAATGATGCTCTATGTCTGTCTCTGTCGTTGTGTCTGAGCGGTTATTATGCAATGGTGGTCCAAAAATGAAGTCATTTACTTGTGTGTTTGATATTTATTTAAACAAATTAAATGTGTGTGAAAAATGTGTGAGTGCACATGTTTTCATATTGATACAGCAAACAATGGCAGCCGAAACAACAAAGACTTAGGCAACGAACTTGGCTCGACTCACAGCCACAGTCACAGACACGTGAATATAACATGTATTATAATTTAACTAGCAGCTATTTCAAGACATTCCCAGCATTGTTGCTGTTGTTGCTCGAAATGAAACTGAAGCTGTTGTTGCTAATGCTGATGCTGATGCTGCTGCGTCAATCATGCCTGGCTAGAACTTCATTTGATTGCAGTTTCAATTTGATATCTTTGCTTGCCCCATGCGGCGTTGACCAGTGGGTGCAGCATTCAGCAGTAATAACTTCAAATGTTTACAAGCATGAATGACTAGGAGCGTAGTTACGACTGTAAAACCCTTAATCACTCAAACTTTGGGAGTCAGAATTCAAATTTACATTGAATATAATTAAATGAATGTTATTTCAAAATGATAAATAGTGTTTTACGAAAATATTAAACATATGACTAAAAAGCTTTACAAATTTAAATAGACTAATATAAAATTGAATTCAATTATATAAGTATATTTAAGAATATATTTAAGATATAAAATTTGTTTGCAATTCATTTATTAAGATCAAAATTATCTCAAATATTTTCGATATGCACATTCATCCCGCTCTGAATATACCCCGTTCAGCAATTTACTACCTACAGGGTGTCAGAAATTCATTAATTTCATGAAATGGTGCACTGCAGCAGCACCACCAGCAGCAGCTATGATCAGCTAAGACAACTAGCTAGTGGAATTTTAAATTGACGCGTTGCCAGCATATATTTGCTTTGATTTTGTAATTATTTTTTTTTTATATATTTTGCAGCTGAGCAGGTTCATGAGATAAAGCCAGAGACAAAGCAAGAGACCAAAGTGGGCTGTAGTTCTTTGAATTTCTATGCAAATTCCCCTGCACTTGTTGCACTGTTACAACTATAATTATTGTAAAAACTGTCTTGTAAGATATTATGTATTTATTACAACAATAGCGCAATTGCTCAGCTGGTTTAATTGCTGTCACATAAATCTTTTCGATTAACATTGATTGCTCTGATTTATGAGATTGTCTGGTGTTGCGTTTGTCGCCAAAGCCTTTTGTTTTTAACTATGTTGTGGGCGGATTGTAAAGAATTTTTTAATTAAAAGCATTTTGACATTTTAAGAGCTTTAACACATACACACATACACTCCAGTGATCGGTTGACCTTCAGAGTGCCATTAGAATAAACAGCGCATCAAAATTAATATTACCGTTATTGGAATTTATATCTGTCTGTATACTATATATCATCTCTGCCTGGTTACTGGCTGATTTGGTTACTGGGCGCTGTCGGCAAAAGCTTTCAAGTAATCAAATGATAAATACGCATACACGGTCCGAAAAACCAACTTAATTTGTAAGAAAGAAATGGCGAAGATCGTCGCAACGCTGATGATGTAATTATCACGTAGAAAGCTGTGACTCTCTGCCCGCTCTGTTGTGATCTATGCGATCGTTGATTTATGATCAAAATATGCAAATTAACAGAGTGTTTGTTTGAGAATTATTAAATTTGCTTAACAGCCTTTTGACCTGTCCAAAAAGAATGCTTTCTCATACTCTTGCGCTTATCGCTGCCATAACAGTTAAGAGAGCTAAAATCAAAAGAGTAGCAAGACAACTCTTAAGCTTAGCTCAGCACAGCAAAAAAAAGCTTCAGTTTTGGCGCTCGGCAAGCTTCGACACGCTAAATGGTATTAAGCTAAGTTAAGCCATGAAGCAAAAGTTTCAAACGAGTACAAAACAAAAAAAGCCGAACCTGATCGACAAACGGCCAACGTAACCGAACTTACGGTAAGGCCAGCCAGCCAGCCAGCCAGCCAACAAGCCAGGCCCAGCTCAAGCCAGCGTTGTAGCCAAGACCGTCTTGGCCGTCATCACCCGTCGTCAGTCGTGTCGCGAAAGTCGTCGAGTGCGTTTGCCAGTTGCTTTTGTTGCTGTCGGTGCGGCACAGTGTTAATCATACACACTCAGTCACACACACACACACACACACACACACACGTTTGTACGTCGAGTATACGGTGGCTAAAAGCAAACACAAACAAAATCACAAAAATTATAATAATAAACAAAAAAAGAAAAGAAAAAACAAACTCATCATCGACATCATCATCGTCATCGTCTTTCGCATACACGAAATTTTTTAGTGCTCGCAATCGTTATGCAATTGAAGTGCGTCCAAAAATCAAAACAAATAGGAAGAAATTTATGAAAAGAAAACCTTTTGCTATAATTAATAAATGGCTTTTGAAATTTACGTGTGCCCAGACACACATATGTAAAAAGAAACGCACAAAATACGGTAAAAGCTTAATAAAAGTTCAAAACGTTTTATAAACGCTTAAAAATTTGATTTCGCCAAAATGACAAAATAAATATTTTAGAAATTTTATTAAACCAGTTTTAAGCACAAATAAACGAGTGAAAATAAAGCAACAATAAGTTGTTAAAGGCCACAAGTGGCAAAGTGAAAAGCGCAAAAGAAATTGAAATTGAATGCGCTGCTCCCCATCCCCTAACTGAATTATAAAATCAATATAAATAATAATAGAAAAATCATTGTTACAGCATTAAAAGTGCAACGACAACAACAACAACGGCAACAGCAACAGCAACAACATTAACAGCTGGGGCCAGGCGTCTGCAAACGTAATCGTTGGGAAAATATCAACAATTTTGCAATAATTTCGACATTGCAATAGCAATACAACAGCAGCAACTACAACAAAAGTAATTGAGCAAAAGGTGAGTAGCATGTCAGAAACGCATGCAACAAACATAGTGCTGCATGCAACACGGCTGCACACAGCCCTCGCATTCGCCCTGCAAAAACATGGCGTATGCGTAACATTTAGCCCAAAGCGAATGCATTCATATTCACACGCCGCACAGCCATGCACTGTCAGTGTGTGTGTGTGTGTGTGTGTGTGTGTGTGTGTGTGTGTGTGTGTGTGTGTGTGTGTGTGCTTATGTGTGTGTGTGCTTATGTGTATTGTTGTGCACTTCCTGCTACGCTTAAATTTTGTTTCATTACGTTTTATATCATATTCAACCTTTGCTACTTTTTAAGTCAAGTTTTGGTTTCGTTTTCATTTTCATTAAAATATAAAATAATATGTTGTACGTTTCGAGCCGAAGACGCAGCTCAGCTCAAGGTTGTCAACGTTGTTGCTGTATTCGTAACTCATCGTCCAAGACTTATATAAATGCTAACTAAATGTATATTTATGAGCTACGCGCAAACAAAACTGGATATGTTTTTAGGATTAATTAAAACTGTTAGTCCAGAATTAACAATACAATGTCAAGCTGTGCTTCAGGCCGCCGTTTAGCTAGTTAGCTAGTTGGCTAGGCCCAAGCCCATGTTGGCCCTGAACAATTCGAGATACATCGACTGATGAGTCGTCATCATCTCTGCCAGTCAGCACGCCTTCGAAACAAATGCAGTTAATAAAGCAGCGACGTGCCTAAAAATGTAAACGAAACAAAAAAAAAAAGTCCAACAACAAAAATTAAAAGAATTGCAGTAGGTGTTGCGACAATTGTCGAGGAAGGAAGTCGCAGTGAATTGCAGTTTGGCTTGGCTGCCAGCATCGGCTCTTTGTGGGAGTCAATTAGTGTGCGCAAAAATGTAAATGCAACAACAACGGGCAACAACAGGCAGCAGTTGTATCAGCGAGAGGCGCCCAATTATTCAGCCATAAATGTAAACAATCACACAAAAGACCTTAAGTAGAAGAAGAAGCTGCCGGCAGTCAAAAATATACAGAGGGAGACGTGTTGAAAATGCACTAACCAAGATATGCAAAGTTCACTTGGTCTGTAGACCAACTAGCTGTTTCCCGCAGCCCCCCTTTGGCTTCTATGGTAAGAACCATGAAAAGGAAAAACAAAACACTACGACTTCAGACAATAACGTGGCAATTTAATGGGAAATGTCAGTCACAGGCGTACGGCAACAGTTGACTTCATTTTCTCAGAAGCAACAAAAGAAAAACTACAACAACATTATGCATGAACAAATGAGTTTTCGTGAGCGCAGACATAAAAAAAACGTGGCAAACTTACAAACGCAATGACAGCAACCAAAAAACAACACTACAACAACAATGACACGAAAACAAACGATTCGAATGCGCAATGCAAAACAATCGACAGATATATATATATATATATATATATATATATATTGTATATATATATATATGTACATTTGTGTATATTATCTGTTAAATTTAACGTGTACCGTGTCAAAGTGCATGTCTGCGAACTCCCTTCACTCGCTCAGACTTAAGATCGTCAACATGCCAATATTTTAGTGTCATTTTTATATGGTAAAGATGGAGATTATTGATACCGAAGCTTTGAGCGAACAAAAATAAAACAAAACGGTGTCACACTTTTGTCTAGCCACATTTCATTCTTGTGCTGGCATTTCTTTTGATACTGCTTACAAATGCGCTGCGCATTTTTATGAGCAGTCAATTCCATCGACTTCAGCTTTGATTTGTGTCTGTGTGTTTGTGCTGCCAAAGTACAATTTATGGTCTTTGTTCATTAGTATCGCTGTAAAAAATAGGTTAATTAGATGCAGGGAACATGCAAATTTCATCACACACACGCTCTTGGAACGTGTAGCCAAATTTAGCTTTTGATAGGTTAAGTCCGAATATTCCAGAAAATCTTCATAGAGTGTGTGGAAATTGCCAGTTTCGCATCTGGTCACACAGTTGGGACACAAAGGTGTTATTAACTAAATAAAATTATCATATTTACAAATCTGTTTGCCTAATTTATTTATATTTACCCGCACCCCTCCCTAATGTACATCAGCATGATTTGCTATTACCCAGATACACTTTTTTGACCACAAAAAGCGACACCGTACAAATCTATTGCAACGTGTTGAAAGCTTCATTGCTCGCTATAAAGAGCTAATTAAATTGTTATTGTTGCATTACTTAGATAGAGCCAAGTGACGTGTTTTTGTTATTGTTGATACTATTATTGTGAACGATTAACCAGGTAAGCACTTAGACAGATAGTGTCGGTTTTAGCTGATAGCCTTTAATAGCTTATCGCAGCACAGCAGAGGCAAACCAAATACCAGCTGTGCCCGCAGTCCGTCTTCACTTTGTGCTTTGGGCATCTTTATTAAATATTATATCATTTGGCATTGTTTCGACGAATATAAATTGCATTTTAAGTGCACGCGTAGGCCACAAAGGTGTTTGTTGTTGATTGTTTGGTTTTGTTACCAGCCACAATCGGGCAAACAAAAAGCTTGTTAAACAAACACAGACATACACATACACATATATATATACATACCCTAACACAAACAAATATTATGATCTGTATGCGGTGTTTCTTCACATTTCCGCTCTTCAACAACAGCAGCCGCAGCAGCATCATCATCAATGTATAATAAATAAAAGCCAACTTTCGTGGCTTTCAGAGGGCCAGCGCATTTGAAAAGTGAAAAGCAAGGGAACAAAACAGCTAAATAGCTGACCAGATTTGCTGCTTGTTGATTGCAGGCGTGTGATAAGCACAAATAGCAAAAAAAAAAACCTAAATAGTCACTGCTTTCATTCAACTTTGCTTCATTTATTAAGCGAACTAATGATGGTCAACGTAACTCGAGTAACTCGCAGTTGGAAACTCGCAACTCTCTTTGCATCTTTTTTCTTCAAATGTTGAAAGAAAGAAATTCAGTTTCGTTTTCAAACTCACTCGCTCGTGGAAAATTTAGTGCTCAACGTTGCTTTTGCTGTGGTTGTTGTTGTTTAAGTTGTTGTAGGTATGCTCAAATTGCTTCGTTTACATTGGCTGCACGCCACAGCTCTCCGTTGCCAGACAAGCTCCAGTCAGTTGAAGCGTGCAGGCTAAATGAAAACTGAAAACTTAAAACTGAAAACGAAAGCAGCCGCCAAGTGCTGTTTTTTTTTTGCAAGTAATTTTTGTATTGCTTTGCTTTGCTTTTCACTTCACACCAAAAAAAAAGCAAAATATACTGTTAGTTGTTTTTTGGTCTGGCAAGACCTGCACTAGTCTCTTTTGGTCAGCTCAAGTTTTGGTGATGCCAAAACGTTACGAATCCAAAAAAACGCGCCAAAAAATGCGGAAAACTTTTCGCAGCGTATACTGAAAGTATCAACTTGTTGCTGGAGGAAATTTTGCCAACAGACAGCCCTCTGAACCAGTTATGATAACACCTGCAGTTTGAAATCAAATGTTGTAAGTGCAGCAACCAGTTGCGCTCCATACTCTGCACTGATTTTTCATCTAGCAAATTGATTAATTATGAGAGCGCCGCTCATTAGGCAAACAGTCCCAGAGTATTTATGATGTAACTGTGAAGCTTAATCGTCCGAAAGATAATAATTAAATTTGTGTGCACCATTTTTTTAAAAACTTGACTGATTTAGTTAATAAGTAAAGCAGGGCAGCAGACAAAAAAAAGCATGACTTTTGTACTCATTTGCCTCAACCATGCAAGTTCGTAGCTTAAGTCATTCGATCTGAGCTCATTTTGGAATCATTAAGCATATTTTGTATGTCATTTTTGGCTAGATTAGTGGAGTTAGTGATAATGCAGGAGAATAACAATAACACAAATTCGTTTTCCAGTTTATGACTTAAGTCATTCGATTTAAGCCGATGTTCGAACCATTTGCATTTCCAAGCATGTCAAGTAATTTGTAAGTTTATATTTTGAGAGTCTGTTTAGTGAGCGGGCACGACAGACACTAGATGTAAACGCATGAGCCTAAAAAATAAATACAAATGCCATAAAAATCAATCAACTCTAGTTACAACAGTCCAAAACATCAGCAACAACAAAAACATCGTCAAAATTAAAATGTTAACTCTCGAATTTTCGTTTAGTTCGTTTGCTTTTGAGTTTCTGTCGCCTATTGCGCAAAGCAAAAACACACTGACAGTTACATGATGCCAAAAATATTGTAAAACCTTATGATTTAACATAAGTTCATTCAATAATTGCGTGAATGATGAGAGCCGCCAGATGTGAGCTACGTTGTATTTTTGTGTGTGTTTTCTGAACGGAAATGTGCTTACGAAATGCAATATGCATATATTTTTAATGATTTATGTATTTATGATGCTGCTCCCAGCAGTAGCTGTTGCTGCTGGTGATAATCATGCTTTCTACACCTGATGCGCTCAGGTGTTAAATGGCCGAAATAAAAAAAAAACATCAACAGGTTTCAAGTTCCGCAACACATTTTTTTCGTTTGCAATTTTACTGATATTTTGCACTATGAGCTTCCTATTTATACACGCGATACACCTATTTACAGCAACATCCAAATACTTATTTACAACAACATACAAATACTATGTACAATTTGCATAATGAAAACCTTAACCCCAAACACCAAACACAAAAGACATGCGATTAACTGAACCGTACCAACTTGCCGAGCACTTTCACGGTGTTGTTATGCAAATTAAAGCATTTGATTAGCCATATCCATAGCTGTTCCGACAAGTCTAGAGTACTCGAACAATACGCGTTAAGGCGGCAAATATTTCGAATAATTTTTCATAACGCTCATTTGATGCGTGTGCGTTGATTTAACACATTGCTCGTATTTCCCCACCTCTAACCATTTACCATCTTACGATGGCTTTAAAGTCAATGACTGTTTAATTTAATTTGGCTAGAATTCAATGGCGAATGGCCGCTATCGTCTGCTGAGTGAATCTCTTTCGGAATCTTGGACTTACCCCGCTTGACCTCAGCGGGAATTTCGAGCACACTGCGAAACAATTTCGTTTAGGTTCTTTTCTTTATGATAAAAAAAGGTTTGTTTATTTCTGGCCGTGGCCAATCAATCATGTTTCTGCCCAAGCATACCAACAACAAAATTCTTGAGCCTTGTCACAAGCCCAATAACCAAAAAAAGAGCAAAATGAAGAAGACGAAAGTATCAAATGATTTGCTCCCAGCTCTTAAATGCGCTTCATTAGCGTGACTTTTATGTCGGTTCTGGTTACATAATGAACCAGCCAGCTAATGGAAAACAACAATACTTTCTAAAACAAAAAAAAAAATATTTTGTTTGACCTTAACATATTGTGGCCTGAGCCACATTTGGCAAATGATTTGGCATATTTGTTGTTGGTGCCGCTCATAGGGCGAAACCTGTTGCAGCTAAGTTAAGCTAAATTGACTGCGTGGTTGTCATTTGCCAAATGTGATGGCTCTCAATGCAACATAAACGCCCACATACACACACACATATACAACAAACAACACTTGTTGAGTCGTCAACTAGTCACTTTGTAGAGCTACCCACATCGGCTGATTGTAAACAAATCAGCTACAAAATATATGTACAAGTGCTCAGTGCCAACAGCTGCTGATGCTCTCAACTAGCAACAAACACACGTGCTGTCTGTTTACAGCAAAAATCTCGTGACGCATTCGCATTGCATTTTGAACTCGGCACAAACAATGACAACGTTAGGTAAACGAACTGAAAACTATTTGCAGTCGACTGCCGCCAGCCGACAAATATTAAGTGAAAAAGTGGCCATCATAATGTGAGCGACGACGAATGCAGCCAATGACCGGCGAGTTGAAGACACTACAACGACGACGTCTGTTGCAGCGCATTAGAATTTCCAAGCAGCAGGCCCACTTCACACCCATTTAAAGTAAATTTACATGTCTAATAATTAATATGCAAACGCTGTCTATCTACAATGACTACAATGCTAACTGATGACTGTTTGTCATCGGCAATATGAAAATTCTTTATTGATAGTGCTGAGTCTCGTAAAACAACTAAAATACTCGCGCTTGACTTTCATTCATAAAACCAGCCTACTCAATATGCAATCCGTGTAGCTGACTTATTAATAATGCATACGCAGTTGGTAGTTGGCAGGCCTAGGCGAAGAAAGTTCTTTTCGAAAGTTGATAGTTGGTAGGCTGCAACGAAAAACTCAGGTAACAGTTTTCAACATTAGTTTTGAATTTGTTATGCTGACGTTAAATTCGAATTTTCATAGTTGCCCAGCATCAAATTGCGAAATAGTTTACTTTCTATTTCGACGATCATCAATTTCATGAAGCCAAATGAAAAATTTCAACAGCGAAAGCATTTTTATTATGGCTGCTTGCAGCGCGACAAAAATGTCAGCAGAGGCTGCGACTGATGTTAATGAACTCCACGAATGTTGAGGAAAAATATTTAATAATTGTATTTAAGTTTGACCATGTTTTGATTAAAGCATGTGCAATCATTGCGTTTATAAACAATTTGAAAAGACTTTGCTAATTGTGAAAGTTCATCGTTAGTCAATTTACGTTGAAATTGGGCAGTTTGTTGAAATTTAGCAAATTTGCTTAGGTAAGGTAAGGCTAGAGTTTATTAGGTAGTTAGGAGTAAATAATATATCAAAGGAGTATTAATTGGCATTATTTAAATGATGCCAATTAAGCTGGAAACCGCAGAGATAAAGGTTACTGTTATTATTTTTGTTTTTGTGAAAGTCGTCGAAATTTGTGCGTGTGCTCAACACAGTTAAATATAAATAAAATTCACAAGCAATTTGAAAGTGAATGCGACGGCTGCGATGACTTTGAGATATGCAAGGCTCAATTTTCATCGCAATTCCTGCAGTCAAATGTGAAATATAACAGTAAAAGTGCTTGAAAAAATGCAGTAAAATCAGCAAAGTCAACACTCCAACAGCAGCAGATGATGACTTCATCTTTTACATTGCCATCAAGTGTCCATCAACACTCGATCCCAACGGCTCTTTCGGTCTGTCTTTGTTTACAGAACCCCAATAACAACAACAATAAGCAATAGCAGCGACAAAGAACTGTTCAATAACCCCATGAGCTAAAACACAGACGTTTGCATAGTTGCATTTTCGCTTTAGCTGTTCTTTTGACAGAAATATGCCATCATGTCTTCAGTTTGAACTCCATCCGTTACGAGTCTGTAGGATTTTCGAGCACCACTTGCCAGCACTCCAGAATTCCAGTTATCAGAACTTTCCATCGACCGACAGCAGAGCTCGTTTCAATTCGGTATGCCTTATAAAATGTTCCGAGAACACACTGCAGTATAAGCATTTTAATTTGTTCCATAAAAAAAAACCTGCATAAAAATGCACTCAAATTGCAAGGCAACTTAATTGATCGTCTCGGCCTTAATATTCAAATGTTGGCACTTCCCACTACTTGGCTATACAACCAGAAAGGAATGCGTGTGTTTTGCAAGACGCATCTGAAATACGCGTTTAGAGAACCAATTCGAGTATTCCTCATTTATTCAATTGTTCGGCTATGCATCAATTCTAAAAAGTACATCTAAGTTTGTTCCTTCCTTTATTCATTTCTATATCAAATAACAAAATAAAGCGAGCTCACCCGCATTTAGGGTATAATAATATGTATATCTATGCTATAACCGATTGCTGATATAATTGGCAAGCTGTACACGTAATTGCTCGTCGGGGCACAAACTAGAACACGTCTGCCCGGAGAACTTGTACAAGGCGTACGTGCCATGTCAGAACAACTGAACGGGAGTAGACATTGTGTTCTATATGTGTATGTAAAATAAGTAGGTAGCTCCAGTGTCGGATGCATAAATAACAATAGCAAAGACAGGCTTCATTTATGTACATACGACAATAGCAACAATATCAGCCAAAATTGAAAGGTGCAAAAATGCAGCACTTATTGCAGCTCAATAAACTAGCAGAAAACTGGCGACAAGAGCACAGATGCAGATGGAGACAACAAACGGTGTAAAAAATTGTCAGACATTCGTATAACTTAACGGCTTTTGTTGCATAAATCCAGCAGGCAACATTTGTTATGCGATTGCAATCTATCGCGCAAAATGGCGCCGATTGTTGACAATACGAATCGAGTATGAGTATAAATACGAATAGTAGTATTCGAAATGGCATCGGGTGGCTGCAGTTGCGCAAAAGGCGTTCAAGATTTATGGATATAGCTATGGGACATCCAGCATCCCCCAAAAGTCAGGGATGTCAATCAAGCACTCAGGCAGTCAGGCAGTCAGGCATTTCGGCAAAAGAAAGCTGACAGACAATTATAGACACTAATAATAATGATAATAATAGCAGCAATAACAGCAACAACAACAATAACAATAGCAAAACATCAGCAACAAACAAAGCGTGTAAATATGACATCAGGTTAGCGAACCTCGCACATTTGCATATGAGCAGAGAAAGAGAGGAGAGCCATAGAGCTATATATATATAACTAAAGAGAGAGAGAGGTATGGGAGAGAGTGAAGAGCAATGAAAAATAAATGCTAAAAAGTTTTGCCGCTACACGCGTGAATCGACCAGATTCCGAAACCCCAAGAGGTGATTATTATGCAATGAGCGTTTTTTCATCAACTTGACAAACTGAGCCGTGAAAAAACAAACGACTTGGCGTTTGCTTTGTTTTACCACTGCTTTGTTGTTGTCTCTTTGTCTGTTCACTATAAGGCCTACAGGTGATTTTCATATGTCTGGCTGGCGTTTCGGTATCAGTATCTCTATCTGCAGTGCGTACCCTGAGAGCCAGCCAAAACGACAAATAATTCAATACAAAATTGCATGTTTTACATAAATTCTGTGGTCTGACCATAAAAATGTTAAAGTCACATTGTGCACAGTGATCCAACATCATATACAATTTTGATCAAAAAAAATATTTCTTGTCTTGATTATATACTATTAAACAATAGTATTCACAATTCAACATTTTCTTGTTTTTTTATTATTATTTATTTTCTCATATTTCTGACGAAGTTCATAGTACTTAAAACCCAGAAAAAATTGATTGGATACATTAGAAAATAAATTTTATTTGACAGGGCTTTAAATTTCACAATTAATTACTTGGCATTTTGGAAAGTCTAATTAACTTCCACAGAATTTTTGTTCAAATATGTATATTTTTATTAAAATTTAAATTGAAAACGATATAAATTTATAGAAATGGCAAAAATTAAAATTTAACAACCCTTACCACATATTGTCAGAAATACATTTTACAATCGCAATAACAGCTGGGCAAAGTACAAATTGCTGACAAGGAAGGCTGCAGGTATCCCTGTGAAGTTCAGATCATTATTGGGAAAGAGCAGTTCCCTCAAAGTTTACACAGCTGAGGCGGCCGCATGTGGATGACTTGTATAAAGGAAGTCAGTTCATAAACAATATATGTTATTATTGTGCTTGAGTGCGTTGAACCTTGCCTTTGGTTTTGGGTTCTGTTTGTTTTGCAATTTGGTGCTGCACAGTTTGAGGCCTGTCAGCACAAAGATCTGCGCCCAAAAGAATTATTGACGTACAGTTAGATGGTTAAATACTTGCCAAAAAAAAAAGTGCGGCACACATGAAAGCTAAATACATAATATTCACAATATTTTATGACTTACTCGTTGGTTTTTTTTTTCAGACTCTTCCTCTTGGACCGGCGACTCACAAAAATGGTATCGCGGAGAAAAATATTATCACGTTCGCGAGATGATCTAAACCTGGATCAGACATTCACGCAGCAGGAGGAAGAGGAGGATGTTTGGTATCAGAAAGACAAACTTTACAAGGTAAGCGCCAACAAAATGTTAATCAACAAATGAGATGATGATGCGGCAATAATTAAACGTAAATAATTAAATTAATTCGTTAGAATGCTTTATACGTTTTGTGTGTGTCAACGCTCGCAGTTAGAAGTAGAAGCTACCGAATATTTTAGCCGAGGAATTAAAAACAAAGACGAACATCAAAATAGAGGCCATGGCACGACCACGATTTGAACAACTGACAGCTCAAGAGTTTGACTTCCGCTTGGCCAGTGGCTTTTCTATGATTTGTGGCCATTTTCCACAGTGGCTTATTCTCGACACGTGCAGCGGCCTCATTGAGGTCAGCGTCAGCATAAAACGCACTAAACCTTAGCCACAGGCGATGTTGGTTGTTGGTGCTGTTGTATTGACCAATTGCATTAATTACCGTTAGGCCATCGCATTGCGTTGTGCATTTTTAATTTTGCTATCGCCATTTGGAAGTTGCCTCAACAACAACAACATTAAAAAAAAAAGAAGACGCCGCGCTGCTAAAAAAACACAACAGCCAACAACAACAGCAATAATATTAACGAAATGCAAACGTAACCCTAATGTACAAGCCCAACACGAGCTTGAATTAATATGAGAGTGTGTGTGTTGCATGTGTGTGCGATTGTCTATGTGTGGGCATTTCATTGATTTCAGCATTTAAGCAACAAAATAGTCAACAAAATCCGCGCTAGCTTTGTCTATATCGCTCTATCTCGCTTCCGTCAAGTTTATGCATAGCGGTATATCATGATGGTATGAAATTATATTCCACAATATTGCTTATTCATGATTCAATATACAATATTTTTTATTAATCTTAGTTTAGTGATCATTTGCTATATACACAAAGAATTTTAATTTGATTTCAAGACATAATTTTTAAGTCTCTATTTCCACTGCGATTTGTCATTTCAGTTCGACAATATGCAACTAAAAATAAAATATACACATAAAAATATCATAGAATATATCATTATAGTATAAACGTAATCTTTGTTGCCCGCTCTTCAGCTTTATTTTTGGCAAATACCGCTGCCACCTACACACAAAAAGTTAAAGCCACAACTTGTTATTGTTGTCATAAATATTATGGCTATAATTTAACTGGGTTAACTTCAGTCAGTGAACAATTTAAACCAATCAAAACTGAGCACTTTTATGACCCTCTATCAAATTTATGTATTGTTTTTTTTTTCCTTTCAAACAAATTTGCATAAGACCTCACCCAGTCCATCAAATTTTGATGCAAAAAGTGAAAAGCTTCGCGACACTCTTTTTGTCATATGAAACGTTTGACTCGGAAAATGCGACCGCCCACGCGTTCAACTTAAAAACGCTGAAGCATTGTGCAATTGGCGTGAGCGTCTATATAAATACGTTTAGCAATACAAAAGGCGTATAGTTTTTCCCATGAAGCAGATACAAAAAAAAAAGAATACAAAAACAAATTATGGCTGTATTTTCCTATTGTCGTTGCTTAGCTTTCAGGGCCCTTTGAATTGGTATGAGTAGAGCTCTTTTTCGTTGTTTAGCTGCCAGGCATTTATTGAGCAATCTATGCTAACTGTTGTTGCTGCTATTGGGCCTGTACTATTTTCAATATTGTTTACAAATTTATTAGCTGGGAACAGAGTAAAGACACAAAAGGCTTGTAGTTGAACATACGCAGCGACAGCCAAACAAAAGACTCAGGCAACGAACTTTTTTTGGCTTGCAAACAGAACTTTAAGTGCATAGCGGCAAAGTTGCTGCCTGATTCCCAGACTAGCTGCTTCTTCTTCTAACCACTTTTCCACATAGACGAAAGTGGCATGAAAATGAAAGTTTCAGTTTCGGCAAGCTGACAAGTTTTTGCTTCGTCTCGCTAGCTTGTTTGCTGTTGCTGTCGTTGATTTGCAGTTTTTCCTCTTCCACTTCCATGCGCATGTTTGGCCACTCGTTCACCTGGTTTCGGTTTCGCTGCCACGTTCGCCAGAGTTGTACAACAGGATTGGCTGCCACCGCCAAATCGCGTTGGCGCAAGCAGGAAAAACCGCACTACGTACACATCACACACACACTCACACCTCATACACGCACACACACACACACAAATATAACTTGGCGCGTAATTTAGCTCTTAAACAAGCAGGCCTACAATTCAATGGAAAATTTGTCCGAGTCGCTTTTAATGCCTCTTCATCAAGCATTTTTAATATGCCTTATAAGCAGGCATTTTTCCTTATAAAAATCGTTGGCTGCGTTGAATTTCCTGCTCGGTGAAAATATATTGATTGATTTGCATTGTGATAGGCGCTGACGGAAGACTCCGCCAGCTATTATTATAGCTCCGAACCTGCCAAGACAAAACTATGCATAAAATTAGCATAAATTTGTTTGCGCATCGCAAAAGATAAGCAATGACAGACGTTCAACCCGCTATCCACTTGATCGCACAATTTTAAAATAATATTTATTTTGCTTTCGAGAGCGAACTATGGAAATGGGTCAGATGGCATTTGAAGATCTGCGCTTAAGGGCTAACTCAAATTAAAATTAATAAACACATCAATGGTTAAGTTGGCAATTTCTTTTAGCGACTGCAACCTGTCACAGAAAAATAAATTGATCAAGTCTGCAATAATTTCAAATGATGATTATATCTATTACAACAAAGCTTGCCGCTTGATCGTTCGCTCGCTAGCTCGCTACAACCAACTAAATTCATTTTATTAAATGTCAACTTTGAGAGCTAAGCGCATCTGTTGCCATCTTCAGTTTTCGCTTCAAGCCAAGCTCCAGCTCTAACGGCAAACATCGTTCAGCAGTTGCGCCAAAGTCGTGACTGCAAAAGTTCAACAACATTTTACACAAAAAGTGCAAACTTAATAAACTAAAAAAAAATATTCTCAAGAGTGCCTCAAACAACGACCTGAACAAACTTCCGCGCTGATTGCACTTGTGCACGTGTTTTTGTTGTTGTTATTTCATTTTTATTGTAGTTGAGTGTCAATTATAGAACTTATTAAACCCACTGCTGTCGCAGCCGCAGCCAAAGACAGCTACTTTAATTACACCTTAATGGCGTTTGTGCCCTTTACAAAATGACACACAAAACTAAATTGTAACTTGTGGAACATTTGTGACATGCTGAAAGAGGCGTGGCAGAACTTATAATATGATTGGGTCTCTAGAGGTATGCAGAGCCTATATAACAGTTATTTAAACTTAAAGTACAAATAAAACATTTCTAAATTCGGTTATTTTTGTTATTTTAAAATATCAAATAACATTGGTAAAAGTTAAAGAACATATTAGTCAAATTTTATAATTGGACAATAAGAAAGAAATAAAATATTTAATGTGAGTCAAAACTTCCACAACGTGGGCAGCTGTTCTTAATATCAACCTGATTTTTTAATTACCATTTTGACTTTATTTTGATAATGATGCTAAAGAATTCTGATTTCTTTTTATTCGCCAGTTTTAATTTTTTAAATTTTGAATGTTAGTTTATGTGTGTTTGTGCTTTTAAGGCAGCTAAAACGCCTCTGTAGCATTCTTAGTTACTGGCCTGATTATCGACTTGCGTCAGAGCCAGCAACAATTATTTTATTTATATGTATGATTTTTTTGTGGCTCAAAAATAACATAGTTGATTCGATAATGATTTGCATAACAAATGTGTGCTTACGAAAACCAGTTCAGTTGCTTTTTAAGAATCGATTGGCATTTTGGCCAATACACAAACACACACATTTGTATTTACTGCACATATATACATATAATATGTATTTCAAAGCTGTGCTAATTTTTCATGCACAACAAAAATCAAGACAACCACGCGCCATTGCTATGCAATGTGCCCAGCCCAGCCCAGGCTAACCGGGCTAATTAGAAGCAGCTACGATGGCAACGACAACAAGCAGAACTGCATAAAACAGCTAAAATAGTAGCTGAACTAACCGCAATTGGTTGCAAGATGAACTTCGACATTTTGAGGTCGTCTCATAAAATTTGAGGCAGAAGAAGACGGCCTAGAAATATTGTATAAACTATAAACAGCTACAGCTTGTAACTTGTTTGGGCACATGACACTTAAGCCTACAATATTCTTTTGGAACAGCCAAAAAAAAAAAATTGAAAACCTGTACAACAAAAGTGAATCTGCCCAGACTGCGAGAGACAGAGCTAAAGAAGAATCTATGCGGGTTTGAAGTGAAATCAAAAGTGCTGTCGACTCGCACATACAGCAGCAACAAATTAAAGCTAAAGTACGCCATACATAAGCACATACAGATACATATTTATCTATATATATATGAATATATATACAGCCAAAAGCATACGAAAAGGTTAACAAGTTTTACTACATGATTTATTTGCATTTTTAATGTGCGGCCTGGCCCGCTCGACAGAGTGGCAGCATCTGAGCAGCGGACTGCCTAGACAAGTTTACCACTCGTGTTGTCCGTCCTGCCGTATAATCAACTCGAACGTCAACATGTAGAACTGAACCAAAACCACCACGTTAGATATATATTTGCTTGCCTGAGTTTTCATATTTCTTTTTTTCTTTTTGTAAAGTAAGGCTGAACTCTGCCTGAAAACCACTATAAAACTGTGGGCATGTTGGTTACTGGGCTAATGGCTTTGCTTATGACCCTGTTCTTTGTTCAGGTTAATTGAACTCTTTTATTATCCGTCCGCCTGAACATATGATAATGTAGAGCCATTTAATGGCCCGTTGTGCGGCACTTACAGCCTTGATTATAAATGTGTATGAAAATGCGAGAGCGGTACCAGAAGTACACAAACATTCAAATTAAAATTAAATTGTCCAGTTCTTTATGCTAATCTTATTACTAAATGGAACAGCTCATTGATTTATGCAAGTAAAAATTATATAAATTCATTATGCTTTTTTACTGATATTATTTGGAGGAACTTAACAATAAAATTAATAAATTCATACAATTTATACATTATTAAATTTTTTTTAAACCTATTAGAATATACTTTTTATTTAAACAAAAAAAAACAAGATGCTTTAATTGTTGCTATCCAGATTGTTACAACATTTATATTGTACCTTGTTTAATTATGGCTTTTTAATGTGATAACGATTTTATTATTTATAAAACAGCCCCTTCAGCTGTATAATCAGATATGCACACACATGTACACATGTGCTACATACCTCTAAATATACATATTTATATAAAAGTATATTAAAATGTAAAATATGCGTTGTGCACTTAGGCATGACGCAAGCGCAAACGGGTTGCATTTTCATTTCTTAGTGCAATCGAAAGCCTTGCAGCACTTTAAATATCTGTGCACACACACACACACACACATATATATAGTCGAGATATAAAATAGCAACAATAACAGCAGTAAACGCCGTTGTCTATAATTTTATATGTCTTGCTGCACCACGAATGGCTGGCGCGCCAGCTTCGTGCCAGCATTTGCTCCGATTTGATTTTAGCTTTTATTTAACAAACTACAGCAAAACAACAGTAACAGAAAAACAGACACAGGCGCTTTTAATGGCAGCCAGCAGTAACCAAAATACAAAAGCAACACACAAAAAAAGCAATAGTAAAAGTAAAGTGAGTGAAAAACAACAACGTGAAAATAAAAACACAAACGCAAGCGCCCAACAAGGCCGTTCACTTCGGTTGGCGAAAAATACATACACACACACACACATACACTTGTGCACTCTGATGGAAAGTGAAAATTGCTGGCATTAGTTGCATTTGCAACAGTTGCAGCAGCTTTTTTATTTTTGGTTTTTCTTTTGTCTACAGCAAGTTACTCGCCTAAGTCTTTTGTGTATTGCCAAAGCAGTTTATGCCACAGTTTAGCACACTCTCATTTTAACACCTCGCTTTATCTCACCATCTTACTCTCTGTCTCTCTCTCTCTCTCTCTCTGATTGTACAGGAACACATACAGGAAGTGCTGGATAAATGGACGCAAATCGATGATGAGATCTGGGCTAAAGTAATTGTGTTTGAGCGCAATCGCCGCGTGGCCAAAGCTTACGCACGTGCACCGGTGCTGACCATCAATGGCTCCGACGATGGCTTCGATGGCATGCGGTAAGTATGCAAATAATTGGTACTACCTTTTTAATTGCACACACCAAACAAAAGGCAAAGAAAAATGTATACAATATAAATAAATGAAGAAAAAAAAAGTGGGGGAAAAAACTCGCGCAAATGATGCCTTTGAACTTTTGGTCAAATGGGTTTGCGGCGTCTGCCCTTGACCCACTGGCAACTAAAATCAGCAGCAGGGAGAAGCCTTACTAAATGTTGTGTTTGTTTTTGTTGAGTTGTCTCTTTTTGTTTTTGTTTACCTAGTAATAATTTATTAAATTACAACTGATGTGCTCCCAAATGGGCAATGAATGAAACTTTGCCAGGGATCGCGTCTGCAACGCCCATTAAATTTATAGTTTAGGTGTTACAATATAATTGCCAATCTGAACTTGTAATACCAAAAGACTTATAATACAAAAAAAAACCAACGGGGAATACATATATATATAAGAGAACCTTCAGCTAAATCGTCGACGAATGCGAATGCAAATTACGACATTTGTGACCTCACTCCCTAGCGGCAATTTGTAGCATGTGAAAATGCCCGAAAATAAAACGAGCGTCAAAAAAGCAACCAACAACAACAACAAGTGAAAATGTTTTAATAATTGCGCGTATTTCAATAAAATGAGCGATTTCCGTTGCGCGGCAATTTAAGTTTCTTTATTTTTTTTTTGTCTTCTTCTAAGAATTCTAGTTTTTGGTAACCCAGCTAAGCACTTACTCGGTTTTGGTTTTGATTTTGGCTTTGGCTGCAGTTTTTTTTTCGTAGCCAGGTACACTAAACTATACTATACTATATTGCTGCTGCAGTTGAGGCTAATTAACATATTCCGTCTCAAAATGATTTCGTAGTTGCGTGCCAGAAATTGCAAATGCCAAACGCTTTTGCCTCAATTGCTATGCCAATTTTCAGCACAGCCCACACATTCAAACATTGGAGTGCATAGCTCTTGACGATCGGCACTCGCTTACTCCCAGCCAAATGTCAAGAAGTCTGCATAATGGAGTTAACTTTTCGAGTAGTTATATATATACATTCATATAAGCACTACAATGAGCATCGAATGCATAATGAATTAGTCCATAAATGTGCTGATTAAACGCACAGCCAACAATTCAAGTTTATTGCTAAAAACGTTATCTGGTTAAGAGTAGCAACAAAAGAGCAACAACGTCTACAACAAAAACAACAACAAGGGCTGCAATGAGGCCAAAAAAGGGCATTGCTTACAATTGTTGTTGCATGGCGGCTTCCTTTGTGGGTCGCACAAAGCAATGAAATGAAGATGCTGCCACTAAAATGTCAACGACTACAATAATACTTAATAATAAAAACAACAACAACGCACAGTGGAGCAAAAATTAGGTACAATACAGTTAAGGCTGCAGCCACGTATTAAATATAATTATGTTTACCAACTATAGGCCATAAAGAAATAATTAAAAGTAAAACATGCCCAATTATGAGATACCCTGTGCCTGCCTTTATTGAAAGACAAAGCTTGCAGTTATGAGAGTTCTAAAAATAGCTACAAAAAACATAATACATTTTCTCTCTGCATCTGCCGACAGACTCAATGGTTACAACATTAAATAATCACACATAACTAGCTCTGCCTCTTACTTATTTGTATAAGTGCAGGGTATCAAAAGTCAAACAAAATTCAAAATAATAGCGAAAGTCATTCGTTTGTTCGTGACGAGGTCATCAAAGATTGCCAGATGCAAATTGCAATTGTCAGTTTGCTGCTTAAGCCGCTGCAGCGGCTCCTCTTTCTTTTTTCATCGAAGCAGCAGCATAACGAGTATTTGTTGTTGTTGTCAGTGTGGTTGCTATTGCTGTTGGCTACTTGTTTATGTCAATTGCAGGTTAAATATATCTTGTGTGGTGGGGAGGGAAATTGGGGAAAAATGAAACTGATTTCGAGTTGAAAGTGTCAAGTTAATCAATTGACATGGCGCTGACTTCAAATAGCCAACTAGCTGTGGTTTGTGTGTGGTCCGTTTAACCCTTGTCTTTTGTCTATTTTAGCAATAGGTGTAACTAGCCAGACTCTTGTTGTTTAATTAGCAAACAATTGCTGTTCTTGATGCTGCTCGTGCTACTGTCAGCCCTTGTTAGCATTTAAGTAGCATTCTGCCATCCTCTGCTGTTTGTCAATTTAAAAATAGGCATTGCATTTGAATGTTACATAGATTTTGCTATCATATGCATAGCGCATTTTATTCCACACGCAATGTTTTTCATTGGAAATCTGGTTAAATGCAAATGAAACCCAAGCGTTTAGCAGTTACTTGCTTCGAGCGACACACAACTCATAAAAGCCTTGGCTTTTTCAAGTTTAGATTCTCTGAATTTCAGAATTATATATTAAATTAAGAATTAGTAACGTTAACAGTCCAACATTTATCGATTAAACCAGTTTCGTGTTGACTTTCACTGCAGACATTTTGCCAGCTATTAAAACTTCCTGAACTATGTATGCTAATGCGTATTGGACGTGATTACTTGTTTCTCATGACGAAACTTTGATAGCAATTAAAAGTTAGCTACGCTTTGCCACAGAAAACCTGTTTTTAAAAACAAAATGGGACAACTTCAAATGAAAATGTTTACATTTATTTACCAAAAATTGTATAAACTGTGAAAAACATATCGCATTCTACAGAAAAAGGCAAAAAGCATATTTATTTTTAAGGTAGAAAACAAAATGTTTTTAGCTGTGGCCATGATAAAACTACAAAATGTTAAGCAAAATATATACATTAATAAACCTTAACTTATATATCTTGAGCTAGTATATATATGAAAGATTATCTGTGCTAAGCAGTAAAGTAGAAGATTACCAAGTTGAATTGTGCTTCCTTATTATATTTGAAATTAAGTGCATGCAATTTGGAATAGTCTTTTACATGCCGAAAGGGTAACTCATTTTCGGTGCCAGAAATTCAATAGCGCTGCCGTGTTGCATGCTGTCGATTGGCAATTTTCACATCTAGTGACTATAGCTTGAGTGTGTTGCCACTAGTGTTGTATGTAAATTAATTAATTAGGCTGCTGTGGAGGCGTTGCGCCAAATGACACGCAGCAGATGCTAAGGACCACACATTTGTTACAGCATCAGCAACAGTTGCAACTGCAACGCGGGTTTTTTTTTTGCACAACAAGCGCATTTAATTAATGGGCAAACCTCTTACACATTCATGGCCAGACCACTTACATGTCTGCTATTATCTTGTGCAACAATTGAATCGGCGCCAGTATAAATTTTGCTGCTTATGACAGTTAGCGGCTGCTGTTGCCTGTTCCTGTTGTTGTTGCTGCCGTTGCGTGGGCGTTGCCAATCAAAAAATTTGCATGTTGCGGGCAAACGGTTAAAATCAAATAATAATACTGGCGGCAATATCGGGCGCAGCGTGTTATAAACAGGGTACCTTCGACCATTTGATTGCAACATTTCATTTCGTGCGAATCAAAAGTGAGGCAAAAAAGGCGCGACCCACGGCTGGCCAAGGCCACGCTTCAATTTACAGCACACAAAAGACAGTTATTTTTCTCTTTGGATTTGCTTACAATTGAAGCGGATAGGAGCCAGCGCTTGGCACACGTGCCAATTTGTCTAATTTTTTTTTTATTCCATTTAGTCGAGAACAGTAGTGTGAATTGGCCTTCGCAACGATTAAGGTGCGACCAGTAGTTGTCTACGAGTAGATAATCGAATTGGAGCAATTTATAACTACGTAAACTTTGAAGCTAGTTTGCCAGCTCGACTGAGGCTGTCACGTTTGTTGCCTAAGTCATTAGTTTTGATAAATTTACTTGCATTTATTAGAGCGTCTGCTTTTCTCTCTCTCTCTCTCTCTCTCTCTCTCTCTGTCTCTATCTCTCTCTTTCTCTCTCTATCCATGTTTTACATTATGCCGTGCATTATTTTTAGCTGAACCGGTTGTTGCTGTTGTTTTTGTCAGCTTTGTTTTACTTTTTTCTGTGCCTGTCCATGCAAAACTAGCCACAGGTCACAGCGTTGTCAGTGCCAGTTTTTGGAGCGCTCGAAACCAGTTGCCGTTAACTGCACTGTGGCTGCCGCTTCCTTGAAGAAGCAACAACCGCACCACCAGCTGCAGCTCCCCTCGTGCAAAGTTTGACCCACTGCACACGTTTAACTTGAACTCCAAAATTGTGGAGCTTCTCGCGTTGCTGGCCAAAACCCGCTAAGACTTGGACTCTCGCTTTCATTGGCAGCCGTAAAAATGCAGCACAGAGCACAAAGACTGTTGGCAGCTGGCCTGCCTTTTTGCCTTTCGCATTTTTAGCTCATTTAGGCGTGTCAGGTCCAGTTTTTTTATATGCATTTTTTATGTATTTTATAGTAGACGACCTTGCAACCGATATGTATGCATGCATATATATGTGTATATATAAAAGTTGCTGTGTGTTGGCATATCGAAGTGAACGCAACTGTTGTGTCAGGCCATGCATTGGTAACTAAATGTGTGTGTGATTGGCAGTGGGTTTGCCTGGGGTTGGGCATAGGTTCTCTCTTTTCAATACCAGTTCATCTCTTGCTCTGGTTTTTTGCATTCTATCTTAATAACGCTTATCGGCCTGGCTGGAATTAAACGAAGCATTTAATAACAAAAACAAAAAACAAAAGAACTGCAAATCCGCTTTGTTTAGGGACAACCTTGAAAGGCACACATCAGCAGCAACAACAGCAACATCAGCACTAGTCCATGTCGATTTCATTTCATGGAAACTTTGACACACATTTCAACGGTTTTTACAACCGTTTAACCAATAAATCAACGCCAAGCAGCCGCAACGTCAACGTCGACGTCGGCAGATGTTACGCGCAGAACTAAGGCACATGGCCAAATGCCAACGGCAATTGCTGCCGTTCTTTAAGCTGTTGCGATCTGGCTGGCAGCACAGGCAGCGCTTCATTATACAAATTAACATAAAACATAATAGTGACAGAGCGGCGTCAAGTGAGCTTGGCAGCAGAGACAGGAGCAGTGCAGATAACAGCAACAGCAACAGCAACAACAACAATGAGCGCTAGAACAACAACTGTTGCTGCCGGCAGCAGCAGAAGCAGCAACAGTCTGTGGCAGCCTCAGTCATGCGGTGGCCTTTTTGCAAACGACAATTACAATTAGCTTCGTTTCATTGTTTTGCTTTCTGCTTGCTGCTGGTGGGTTTGCCGTTTGCGGCTTCCTCTGCAGCTTCTTGTTAGCATTTTAGCCGACATTTGATTCGACCTTAAGCTGAAAAATCAAAACAACAACAGCCAAGTGTTTGTGCTGCTTACGCTTCCCGCAGTGCAGTATAAAAATATGTGAAAATGTGCTTGACAGTTTCTTTTTTGGGTTTTGTTTCGTTTCTTTTCGGCAAGGCTACATAAACAAAAGACCTGGGCAACAAACTTGACTATCTATTGAACATGACTCAGCTGCAGGCGCGTTCTGCAATTAAACAAGTCGATGAAAAAAATATGAAATGTTTATTATAGATTTTTTCGGCTGCAGCTGCCGCACATTGCGGCAACCGCATAAATCACTGTCAATGCGAATTTGTGGCAGGCGAATGCACAGTTATGTTGCTGCTGTCTGGGGTGTTGTTTTTGGCTGCAGCACAGCCAAATGTTTTGTCAAACGTTTAATGTAACAAAATGCTACAGCAGCCAAGTGACTCATGCACCACTCGAATTCGAACGAGGCCCCACTGAAAGTGAACGTGCCACAAAGTGCTAAATGCGACTGCCACTTTTATTTATTTATTTATTTTGTATTTTGCCTAATGCGGCAGCTGATTGATTTGCAATTATTAAACTGTTGTACGCTTATAATTGTCTAACTGTATGTACATATATACAAATGTTGCTGGTTGTTATTTCAGCATTGGCTTGTGCGGCTTTGACAATCCCATGCGAGATCAGAAGACGGACGAGATGAAACGCGTCATCGGCCAGGTAAGCGTGAATTGAGCTTTATGGCTCATTAAATTGAGCGACACAGTTTCTAAAGAGCGATTCGGCGTCGGCGCCAGCCGAATTTATTTGCATATATATTGATAACAATAAACAGAATTGATGGGCCCACAGTTAAAGCTACAAGGAACAGCCATTAGCGGTGCCACCTGTCAAAATATACAGCTAACTTTAAGTACTCAAATACGTATTTCTTTTATGTATGTACACCTCTAGGGCGTGAAGATCAAAATGGACGATGCTGGCAACATACTTGTTCGTCGCTATGCGAAAAGCAACGTTTTTGTTAAGAGCACCGCCAGCAATCCCAACGAGGAGACCTCCATTGGTGCCGAAATATTGAAGCTGCCAAATCAGGCTCTCGAAAGCGAAAAAATAGTCAAGGTAAGTTGTATACTACTGCCTTATAAATTGAAATAGTACTTAGTTGTACATTGTACTTCTTACTATATGCAAATTGTGTTATTGTTTACTAATTCGGTTTTGTCGCCTTCAGCTCTTCGACATGAAGAAGTTTCAGTCGAACGTTAATCGTGAACTGCGCCGTGCCTATCCAGATCGTCGTCGCTTGGAAACGCAATGCCTATCGGCAGTGGCCTTTGTCAAATCGGAGAATGACATTTTGGAGTGCCCCATTTGGGTGCTCATTGTGAATGTGGTAGCCATGGATATGCTAAAGAGCAAACTGCCGCCAGGTGAGTTATGTGCAAGTGACTGTGTGTGTGTGTGTATGTGTGTGTATGTGCGGGTCTCTTTTTTTGTATAAGTTTGTAAGCTTGCATACTGTAAAGATGAGCAAAGAGTACTAGCTCAGATTTATGTATATACTCATTGCTGAAAACATGTTTTTATAATAGATTTGATATTCTAGGATACTGTAAGTATAATAGAATTAATGGGCTGCTTTTAGATATCAAAAAATTCACTTTGAATGTTTGTATTGTTCCATGTGTTTGTCAGTTAACGTGTGTGTGTATATGCGTTTCCTAGTTATGCAGTTATTGATTTATTGTTGGAACCGTTTAGTAAACATGACATTCTGCATCTTCTTCTGGTTCTTTCTCCACTGCAGTGCAACGTCCCATTGTGGACATTAAAAATCGCCCGCGCATACCCATACCAGATGAAGATCCCTACAGTGTTGCGGGCAATGGCAGCAATGGAAGCTCGGGCAGCTCTGGCTTTGGCAGCGGCCACCAGCAGCAGCAGCTGCAACAGCAACAACAACTTCAACAGCAGCAACTTGGAAAACATTTGAATAATGGCAGCAACAATGGTCATGTGGCCGCCACCCGCGAGCAATTGTTACTGCAGACGCAGCAATTGGCGCACAAACGCAGCGAGAAGCCACCCAAATTGCCACCCAGGGATAATGTGTATGCGCACGATCTGATTCCAAAGGTAAGACAATTAGTCACTAAAATGCAGCCAGGTTGCTCAAGTTTTTTGTAGCCAAGTGTTAAAACCATTGTTGTAAGCAGTTGAGTGTGTGCGCGTGCTTAATAAACAAAATTTTGAGCAGCACTAATATACATACAAATATATAATACGAGCAAGAAGTGTGGCAACTAGTCCAGCAGCAGCAACAAAACAAATAACGGGGGTATGTTGGCTATGCTTGGCTACATGCGCAACGCGGGCACTTGCAAAATGGTTTACGGCTCTGGCTTTAAGCCCTGTACTGTGCTCCCCTCCGCACCCCCAATGAGCTAAATTCTGTCAGGCAGACAGAGTGGCTAAAAATACCAGGCCACTTGTTGCGGCGACGATTTCGCTTTTGGACGTCGTTGAGCTTCACCAAGCATTTGGCTTGCATTCAATAATATTCGAATTTCAGCAGCAACAGAAATAACTGCAAACGAATCGCGTGTAATTAATATGCACGGAATGTTGCCAATGGGCCCAACGACCGACCAGCTAATGCTATGGGCCTCTGACTCTGCCTCACAGTCTCTGGCCAGGCTACACAGTTATGGTAACTGTAAGCGTCGCACTCATACATCTACAACAAATACATACATATATATATAGCGACGTGTGCAGCGAAAATTGCTGGCGCACCTTGCGCAAAATGTAGCCATCTCGTTCGTTGCCTAAGTCTTTTGTATTTTTTTGTTGTCTTTCTATAGGTTTTCAGTCATTTGTATTTAAATATTTAAAATTAATGCTTGTTGATAGTGGTGCTAAATTAAACATTTTAAACAAACATATACAACAATTAATATTGTGCAATAACTATAATTAAATATATTTTCAGCCGTACTAAATTCAAGCGAAAATAAATATTTCCGAACTCTACTACTCAAAAAAATGTCGACTTTAAATATTAAATAGATAATTTGGGGCTAATATTTGAACAAAATATGTAAACTCAAAAAAAATATACTTTCCACTTTAACAAATTAATTGTATATAATTTTTATATATTTCAATTTTATTTATTGCTCGTCTAATTGCTTTATTTTCTTTCACAGCCGGACTATGATGACATCGATTTGGAGACCAGAATTAAATTGTCGCGCGGAAAGTCCGACAAAGGAAAGGACAACAAGAAATACGGTAAGACACAATCGCCAAATTGGATTTACAGAAGCAAATAAGTCAAACCTATACTTTTGCAGACGATCCTTATTACTGTGGCTTGCGTGCACGCGTGCCTAACTTCGTGAAATCATCCAAGTCAAAGGATCAAAGGGACGGTAATGGTAATAACATCATCATGAATGGCAACGGAAACAGCAACGGCATCAGCACGCTCACCCAGAAAAAGACATCGATGATACACAATCACTTGTCTGGCATGCATCCGCATGCCCATCACATACAGCAGCAGCAGCAACAGCAACTAATGGCGGCTGCAGCAGCAGCTGCGCATGCCGTGCACCACCAGCAGCCACCGAGTCATCATCCACATCAGATCTGGCAGACGCGCAGCTATGAGAGTGGCATAGGTATTTATAATAAAAAAAAGGGTGGCTATCAAGCCCAGCAAATAGCACCACATCAACTGCAACAACACAATACGCACGCTCTGCAAATGCAAAAAATGCAAATGCAAATGCAACCACAATCACTGCCAACGGACCTTACAGCACCAACAACAACAACAGCTATAGCAACTACAGCAACCAAGACACAAAGCACCACACTGGCGCCGACAGTTAAACACAAACATCAGCACCACCAACATCAGCACCACAAAGCACGTAGCAATCAGCACCTGCACCCACACCAGCCCCACACGCATGTAGTGCATCATCGGCATCAGCAGCACCGCCACTGCCACCGACAGCATCAGCATCAGGCACAGAACAAAAGATACTATCCGCCTGCAGAGTACTATGATGATCTGGAGGCAATGGCAGTGCGTCAGGGTGCACGTCGTCCATCCGTGCAACGCACCCAACTCCCAACCGAGAATGCCTGCAATTGTGTCAGCTGCTATGCGCTGGCACCGCTTTGCGGTCAGGTGCCGGCACCACGGCCACAGCGCAGCCTCAGTCAGCAGCAACTACGACGGCATCAGCGATTGAGTGGTGGATTGCTGGACAAGCACGTTGGTGTGGCAAAGTGGTGCAGTGAGAGCGATATATCGGTGCTGGAGCAGGTGCAGGAGGATGTGCCGACAGCAATGACAATAGACGTGCCCTCATACGACGACAGCTACGAATACGATGACTTCGACATGGACTTTGACATTGACGACAGCATGACGGGCAACACGGAGAGCGGCTATATGCGTCATCCGAGCCACTTGCACCACGACCGACGTCCACGGGCTGTGCAGAGTAATGAGGAGACAGACATGTATGTGGATCGTGCTCAGTTGCGTCAGCTGGCAGCGCCAGCACTGCTCGCCACACGCAACAAATCACAGTCGACAGAGAGCTTCTTTGAGCAGCCCAACGAGGAGGGCTCACTGTACATGTACGGTGGACGAAGGCGTATCGTGGCCAAAAAATCACCACCATCAGCGCAGGTTAACATTTATGAGCGTGTGCCTCACAACTCCCTGGACGCAGACGTTGGCTTCCAGGCCAGCGATAGCCGGGCTACATACTACAATAAACCCAAGTTGCCAGCGCCAAGTTGGCGGGGCAAACGTCAACAGCAGCAGCAGCCGCAACCGAAAGCTGACAAAAAACCCAATGACAATACTAAGAACAATTACAACAACATGAAGCGACAGCTAACGAACAACAACAACAGCAGCGATGCCAAGAAAAACAATGATGACGTCTTGAAAAACAACAAAAATAAATTCAATAGTAAAAACAAAAGTATAACAACAGGCACAGCAGCAACAACAAAGAGTTTAGCAACAACAACAGCGGCAGCAATGACTGCAACCGCAGCAACATCAACAACAGCAGCAACTACAACACCAACAGCACCAACAACAAACAATGCACCGCCGCCTGGGCTGCAGACACAGACGCAAAGAACTGGGCGCACTGCCAGCCGCCTTGACATCAGCGACATGGAATCCATTTATGGCTACCTAAAGCCGCGCAAGCCGCGCAGCCTCAGTTTGAAGAAAATCCAAATACTCGACTATTGAAAATGAGGTTATTTGTTTGGGTTTATGTTATCATCCAATCCACGATCTGGATATGCGCTGTGTATATATATAAATGCGAAATTGCCAATGCTTTTTTGTTTAGTAGCACCTAAAATATACCTTGGTATAGCTAAACCTGTACGAATTTTATGAATACTAACTCTACATTAACTTGGACCCTGGACGGCAAACAGTTTACCTTTACCGTTAACATTGTACATACATGATCATCATCATCATTATCATAACATATATATAATCACGTATATATGTACATATGTACACAATTGCTAATGTCAGTTTGATGCGCTTCTTGTAGATTCCGAGCTTGTCGAATCCCCATACAATCACATCTATGGACGCCATTTACCGCTGCCAACTCGCGGCTATGTACCCACACCACGTATGTTTATTGGGGAATGGGACTGAGACGAGGTGATGGAAGGAAAGAGCTAAATGCTTCGCTATAAACAAACACACTCATAATTGCACCACAATCAGCCGAGCGCCAAGGCACAAAATGATTTTTAATAATGCAGCCTCCCTTGCTGCGAGAGTGCAGCGATAATTTAAGTCAACCAGCTGAGAAAGAACATTTTGAAACAATTTGGAAGGTTCATTAATTAATTAAATTAGCAAAATATTATGATATAATAATAATATTAGGCTAGACCTTAATGCATACCACAAAAAAAATATACATATACTATATAAAATAATATATTATACTTACTATTAATAGCAGCGCATATGATTTTTGTTCTATTATTGAGATTACGAAAGCGCACTTTCAACTTTATATATACATGCATACGTATACAATTATAAAAAGTGACTTTTTTTGCGCAATAACACGCCATTACATTGTGTAGTTTATAGTGGATATTTCTTGTACATTTCGCAGCCTAATTCAAATGATTAGATTATCTTTTGTAATGTCACATTATAATGCATTACACTTAATCAATACATTTGTAACTGTTTAGGCTGATTTGTTTGTTCTGATTTTTTGTATTGTATATGAGCAACAATAAAATTATATTTTAGTAACAATAAAAACCATATCGTATTTCTCCAGTCCAATTTTTATTTCTTTTTTTTTTTGGAATCGATTTAAGGAAACTTTAAATTAATTTGATAGGCCGTGAACTCCATATTGCAGACTACGTGTAATTTTACATGTAGTAATCGGGATTCCAGTTTGGAGGGCGCATGTGATCAGGATTTGGCCCCATGGACCCAGGGTTATGTGGATTTATAGGGTTAAACGGATCAAAACGTGCCAATCCTGGATTGGCTGGAAATGGAAATAGATTACCAGAGCCACGGCCGAGTGGATCTAAGTCCCCACGACCAACATCAGGAAAACCGAAAGGACGTGAATCAAATCCATGGGGCATGTATGAGCTGCAATTAAAAACATTACATATTAGCGATGTGGAAAATATTCCTATAATTAAAAGGTTAATCGGTCAGCACTTTCCGCGGGATTGGTGGCTTACCCCGGACGCCTAGGTTCTCCAATTCGCAAGGGATCTGTCACTTGGGCTGATGTGTTAGCCCGTGTCTGTGTGGTCACCTCGCGCGAGTTGCCCGTGAATACCTACAATGAGTATTGCAAATTAAAATATAAATTCCCAATAAATCATTTTCTTCAGCTACCTACCGGATCACAAAGTTCCTTGCGAAAACGTTCAACAATATCCGTCGCAGTTGGCATCATTTTTATAATGCCACCGTTTACTTCAGCTACCAGCGATTCAGGCGTGACGCAAATGTTGGACACGTTCTTGGTATTAATATCAAGTAGATTGAGAATTAAATCATCTTCAGTAATGTGTCCAAGCAGCAAATATAGCACTTTATTATGTACGTATCGTAGTGCGTATTTGGTGCTGTCGCCATTCCAATGATCCGGAAGTAGTTCGCTGCCCTCTTCATCTTCGCTCAGAGTTTTCTAAAAGTATTTTATTATTAATTTATATTTATATGCACACTTAAGGAGTGGACTCCTCACATCGTCTCCAATACCAACGCAGCGGAACTTATAATGCTTGGTCAGCAGAAAGTGACTGAGAACTATTAAAACATCTGCCTTCTTGTTTATTTTGCTGTCTACCGATTTGTATAGTAAATCCCAGCCATAAAAGAAGTCGGAGCTTAGCGCCTCGGATGCTGATCGGGAAGATGACGGCTCCATTTCATTTGCGACTGTGGATATTGCTAAAAAGACAGATTACAGATGAAATTGGAACACATGTTACTGGGAAATGTAGCTTGAATATTTTGTCAGAATTAATAAAAACAATGACAGACATCAAATAGACAAATGAAATATTTTATCAGAACCTTCAATGTGCAATGTAATTATTTGGTTATCGCGTCCAAAAGTAATCGATAGTTGCTACTGCATTTCGATTGGGCGCATTGACGTCTGCATTTTAAAGTAATTTTATGCAGCAAAACATTATCATGTACATTTACATACAATTATACAATTAGTGAGAATGCATAATTCTGGAAAGAATAGAATGAAGTTGCAAAACAAAAGAGGCGCACAAAAACTATATCAAATAATAACACTAACACTTTTACTCTTTACGTCTCAACTTTATGCAAAAGTTTCTTATTACTGAAGTATAAACAAGACACAGTACTGAAAATTACGAACCCAGTGTTGCAATTGTGAATCAGTGCTGTAAAACGCTTATTCTTTCAAGGCGTTCCTTTAGTTCAAATTTAAAAAATTAAAGAAAAAAATTTTAAATACGCTCTTATGTCTTTTCCCAGTTATATCGCCTACAGCATATTTAAATCCAACCAATTATTCTCATTGTTGTTATGTTGTTACACCTTCATGGCGTCTTTACGAAAGTTGCATAGGTGCGAAGGAGATAACGCTACTAATAGGGTTGCCAGCTATGTAGTACCGCAATTTTTATTTGGATTTTATATTTTATCATTTTAAATCAAATTTAACTATTCTTAAAATTCATATTTTAATTCTGTTTTTTAATATTTGAGCTATACGAAGTAAAAAAAATATATATTTATGGTTGCGATCAGTAGTTAAGATTATAATTACTTTATCGCAAATTAAGATCTAGATTACATCGAAGTTATATGCGTAGATATATTGTTTTGGAATGCGTTACAGGACCATTAGTACACATCCACAGAAATATATATTATATATTTTTCCCATTATCGGCAATACTCGGTGAAACTTGTTGTGTATACTTCGTGGATATCGCTCGGGCCGTCGGGTCACACGAAGTGGCTGCCATATTGAAAACGAGATGGTACAATAGCCGTCGCGTGAAAAATCATTTATATGCCGTCAGCCTGGCGAAGAGCAGAATTTTGAAGACGTCCAGAATTAAAAACTCTACTTTGAATAATAAGACAGCGAGAATTTGCCGGGTTGCTGTTGTCCCAAATTGTGTGCCAGGCATGCGTTGGTGTTTGTGTTCTTTTTTGTTGCAAATAAATAGCACGCTGTGTTGTTATTAGTGCTGCAGCAGCCCACTGGCTTGCCAGTATTTTGCACTAGCTTAACGTGTGTGGCTGCTGTATGTGTGCGTGTGTTTGTGTGTGAATACATACATTTATATATATATATATAAAGAAGATATTCCTTGCTTCAAATCCACGTGTGAGTAGTCTCACTATTCTAGCCGGCATATTACAAAATGAGCAGCACACCGAGCGAAGAACCTGCGCTGACGGTCACGTTGCAGGCAACGCCAGCGACGCCATCGCCATCTCTCAAGGCATTTGACTTTGATTTTTCGGGTAAGTTGAGGAGCTCCTCCCCTGAAGAGTTTGTTCTGCCTGCCTAATGTGAATGTCTGCCTTTTTTATTTAGGTACGAATTATGAAATGGACGCAAGCATTTCAGAGGAGGAGCGGCGCTTCTACCTCAAAATGTACCCCACCGTGGATGTGGTTAATCAGCGTAAGGTTCATTGCACCGTTTGCCGTTCGCACATTGGCACAGCCGCCACTACAGACGGCAACATCAGAATGCATCCCATACTGCGTGTAACGCACTGCATCAAGTGCCACGAATTTTACAATAGTGGGGAGTTTTCCAAGGGTGAAGACGGCTCGGAGCTTTATTGTCGCTGGTGTGGGCAGGGCGGTGAGGTATATTGCTGCTCCACCTGCCCGTTTGTGTTCTGCAAATCGTGCATCATAAAGAACTTGTCGCGCGGTGTAATTGTGGACATTGAGCAGAACGAGAACTGGAACTGCTTCAAGTGCACTTCCAAAATACTGTGGCCACTTCGCGCCCAGCACTGGGCCCTCATCAACTACATAAAAACCCAAAAGAAGTAAGTGCCGGAAACTTAAAAAAATTCCTAATAGGAACATTATTATTTTGTGCTTTCTTGATAGCGGCCTGCAATCGATGCAGTTGTCCGAAATGGAATTGCGTAAGCATATGCACAAGGACCACAGCACATGTTGTCGACTCGCCAAGGCAAAGTCCACCAGCCTTTCGGATTCCATGGAGAGCCTTGAGTCGAATGCTTCCAAGCGCAGTCATGCCAGTTCTGTACACTCTGTCAAGAAATCAGTGAAACCGCAGGTCCAACCTGCCAAGCGTTCCAAAATGTCCAACGATGAAGTTGTCTGTACACCCGATCTACTCAGCATGCTGGAGCCGGACTGTCAAATCTCAGTTGCACAAAAGCCAGGCCTCCGCTCTCTAACACCAGCGTCCAACATCACAACAACGCCGCGTATCATAACTGTGCAACAAAACTACAGTGGTCCCAGTCCCAGTAATAATGGGAGCTCATCCTCCGCCAGTCCGCTAATCAGCTTACCACCGCCACTAGTGCTAAGCAGCTCGGGCATGCGCTATCGCCAAGCTGCACCCAGTTCAGCTTCAGTTGTGCGACGCACCGTGGTTCCAAATACTATGCGTAGTGCGGGTCCCGTTTTTCATACAATTAATGGCTTTCGTGTTGATCTCAATAGTGCAGCACAGCAGGACTCCTATCGCCTGCCCAATGGTCGTCTTATACAGGTAAATATTTTAAGCATACATTAGTAATTTTCCAACTTATATCTTTAACAAACATTGCTTTTATATCTACAGGTGAAGCGTCAATTGCCACCAGGCGGTCAACCCTCGACAACACTGACACGTACTCCAGTTGCATTGAATCCACAGGTTATCATACGGCAACAGTCGACGCCAAGTGGGCCAGTGCAGCGCATGGCGCACAATAGCCCCAGCTATGGCTCCAATATGGGCATCTTTAATCCGCAAACAAACCAGCAGCAGCGTGCTCCGCAGGTGGTGCGCGCCAACAATGGTAGCCAGGTGCATTCGGTGAACGTCGCTCCGTCCCCGGCACCGACACCAGTGCAACCGCCGCCACCGCCGCCTGCGAGTAGTAACGGCGGCACAACTATTATGATGACGCCAGCGCCGGTGGCCAAGGGTCCAAGCCTGGTGCGCCATGTGTTTCCGCCCCATGCCATTGGCCGAGCGCGCACACAATTGCAGGATCAAATCTTCAATGCCATGGAAATCTGCACGCATCTGACAGGCAAAGTGCAGACGCTGACCCATTCCAATGCGTACAATCAGGCACGCAGCTATATGGATCTGAAGGAGCTCTACATACATCTGTCCTATCTAATGACCTATGCCATTGGACGCTTTAAACAGCTGCAGGATAAGTGCCTAGTGGATATGCGCGACATGGGCTTCAAAAACGACGCCAACAGTTTGGAGAACGGTCAATTGGCTGCCGGTAAGCGTTATATAGTTGAGATCTCAATATTCATTTAAATGTTAAAATAGATTAATATCTATTTGCTTAGACTACAATATACTAAATTATAAGGCAAGATCCTCAAATTTCGTATCACAAATGATCGCGTAAAAATTAGCTTATAATTTAGTAGCAAACTCTTAGTAAACTTATAGTGTATAGTCAAGCTTCACAGGATGCGGACACCTGTGCAAGTCGACTTTTAATCTTAACTAGTGTACATTGTCTTTTGTGAATATTTAAACACATGGACGGGTGTTCTGAAAAAAAAAAGGAGTTGAAATCTTTATTAAATAGTTATATGATATATATGGTCTGCCAGCATGTAAGTATCTTTTGTTGTTTGTGAAAAACTCTGCGAGTTCCATTTCCTTGGCTTTTAAATTCTGCGCTTGTGCGTTGGTGTTGAATTGGCAATTGGCATTTTGATTTGATTTAGTTATTGGTCCATGTGTTTGCAAAATATCCAAAAGGGCAATGGAATCGAATTCAGCAGCAGTTTTTCACTAAATTTGTTCTCTTTCTCTCACTTTTGCTTTATTTCAGCGGTGGATTATGTGTGTTACGGGCAGTTGGATGATGTGGATCTGTTCAATACCGGCTGCAACAGCTTTCACAATCAAGTCTACGAGTACCGCAAGAGCTTGCAAGCGAATCTTAAAGAGGGTGAAATCAATGAGCCACTTCCACCTCTAATGCCGCTTGGCGTGCGTGCCGAAGGTGATCCCAAAGATGATGACGATGAGCAAGTAAACGAAGCGGAATATGAAAACGATGAGCAGGACTATGACGATGAACAGGATAACGATGCAGATGATGTTGATGATGGCGATGACGCCGATGATTTAGAGGAGGAGTACGATGCCCTCGGCACCGAGGAGAGCATGAATCGCAATGAGCAGGCGCACGCCTACGATCGCAAACTGACTCGCCTGCTGCGCGAATATCCCTCGATTTGGTGCACACGTCATCCGGACTATGGCAAAATGGAGGTGACACGCAAACAGTGGCGCGTCATTGCCAGCCACTTTCCACGCGGCGATGACATTAAGCTACGCTGGAAGAACGTGCGGAAACGTTACGTGCGCATTGAGCGACTGCTGAAGCAGGGAAAACGTTTCAAGGGCTATTTTGACAAGGCCACCAACTATTTGGCCAATAGGGATTTATCGCGCAGCGAATGGCAGCCTGTCGATTGTGGCGAAGGCGATGGCGACGGCTTCGAGCGCAAGCAACTGGATGCTATTGAGAATACCATACACAAAGACCAACAAGGCTCTGTCGATATACGACAACATCAGCAACCTGTAGAGGTGAAGGCCAAACCACGTTTGCCTGTACGACCACTAGAGGTGCGTCCCATCGATATACGTATTATTAACTTTGCCAAAAGTCATCCGGTGCTCTGGCGAAAGTCTGCCGATCCCGAGTTCAACAGCATCGACGAACAAACTCGCAAATCACTGTGGCTAAACTTTTGGAAATCCGCGCCCAGTAAGTAGTCAAAAAATTTGTACCAAGGTAATACTGACAGTCTGCTTACAGATTATCGCTGCGAGTACATTGTGGAACGCTGGCAGCAGATGTATGAAATGTACAAGTCATTCCGTCTCAAAACCATCAAGGACAAGCACACATTTGCCAATCTGGAGTTGAAATACTCGAAATATCTAGCCAATTTATATTTTCTCTATAAAATTGACGAGCAAGACTTACGTGATGAATTCGAGCCTTTACAGGATTGTGTTCAGAATGGTGCATCCGGTAGTGGCGCCTACAATGACTCAGCTGGCAAGTTGAAGGACATGCCCGATGACAAACAGTTTGTGCAGCAGCTGGTGTTGGCCATGCGCGCTTATCCCACACTTTGGAATCCACGGCATGTGGACTATAATGATGTTGCGGCACGCGAACGTCTGTGGGCGGAGCTTGCCAGACGATTGCCACGCTTCCGGCGAGATGCACGCGACTGCAAGCTACGCTGGCAAATGGCAAAATTTGCCTTCGAGTGCTACTCTCGCGAAATGGAACGGCAGCCCCGTCCAAATGAGAAAACCTTGGAAAAGCTACGCAACAACTTTCCACTCGAAGAAATGCGGTTTCTTAATATTTAAATTATGAATAATTTATTATGTTGCCAAACTAGATTAAGCTAACTTTTGCCAATCTTCTGAACATTCTAAGCATTAATAAACCAATCAAGATTTTTTAAAAGCAGTCACAGTCAAGGACAGTCCAAACACTATTTATTTATAAAATAACATATAAGCTATGCTTTCCATAACAATGGAATTATTCATTATTTTTTATTAATTTTTACTATTTGCAGAGAAACAAGCCAGCGACGATGAGGACAACGAAATCGAGATTGTGGAGCCCAAAACAGATACAATTACTATCGATTCTGACAACGAAGAAGAGTCTGCGTCGGGCTCAAGCGCATCTGTACACAAGGGCTTAAAAATAACATCCGTTAAATCGACGGCCTCGGCAGCGAATTTACCTAAAGTGGCAACCTCAAAAGGGGATATAAACCCAGATATTGATGTTGCAGCTTGCAGCTCTTCGATTTTGGCCAGTCTGCTGGAAGTGGACACGGATGGCGTTGCCGAGTTACCAGGCGTTACCGTACCAAAAAAACAACCGCGTAAAAAAATGACTAACAAACCGAATCCAGCTCTGCTTCATTTGGAGCGCCAACGCATTGAGGAAACTAAGCGCAACGATGCCAAGCTCAAGAGGAAATTTGTCGTGAAATTGAGACGCGCCGAGAAAGATTTCGATGTGGCCCGCAAATGGGTTGAGGAAAATAATAAATTGAACAACTTGAATGCAACAGCAAATAGTGATGCAAAGGCAATTGTTGTAGATGGGGGTACAGATAGTACACATAAACAGAAGTCTGATGCTATACAAAATAACAAAGATATTACCAGTCAAGATAAAAGCGCGAAGAGATCAGCTGAAGACCGGGAGAAATCAATTGGTGACGAGGTGCTAGAGAACATCGACACCTCCGGCGGCACTACAACATTAATAGACGAAAAATCTGAGGATAACACTAATGTAAACAAAGCAAATAATAAATCAAGCTTAAGCGATAATATAATAGATATGGCTAATCCTGAAGGTAATGAAATCTCAGCTGACAAAGATCCTAGAGCCGCTAATACTGCTGACGAAGAAATAAATAAAACAGTAGCACCAGCAAACATAGATTCAGAAATAACAGAAGCCGTGGAGGTAATAGAATTTATTGAAACTGTGGATAAAACTAGTGAAGATCCTATGGGAGTACTAGGAATAATTGAGTCCCTTGAAGCTGCGCTTGATATGGAACCCATAGTCATACATAATGAAACTGATAAACCTGTTGCAATGGAAGTAACAGATATAATACAATCCTTAACAAGTGAAATTAATGCGGCCAAAAGAACTGAAGATAAAGCTGCGCCTGATATGAGAAATGTCGAAACTATTCATGTAGCTGAGGATGAAACTGTCATCGAAATACATACCGCACCCGAAATTGAAGAGTCGGATAGAGTAGATACTACAGCCGACGATGAAGCCAGCCAATCAATGACTTATTCTGTAACATTAGTAGTTCCAACACATAAAGACACTAAAACTGCTGAAACTTCCGACACAAGCGATAAGGATGCTGATAAAACCACCGCAGCGAAAGTTACATCCAAAGAAATACCAACTTCAAGAAATAATTCAATTGAAATCACTGAGCAGGTAACTGAGGATGAAACTGCGTCCGAAATTGAGGAGTCTGTCGTTTCGCCTATCTGTCCTAGCCAATCACAATTTCCATCCAGTTATAAGGACAGGGGCACGAACAACGTTGATCCGGAAACCCACAGCATAATTAAGTCTTCTTCAGCTACGTCCACCCGGGAAAACAATATAGACACCAGCGCCCAAACGATTGTGCCAGAGTCGTACACCAACGATGTAGCAATTTGATTGCATTGCTAATTTAGTTAAGCATATGGATGTGTAAGATAAGCAAAGACAAACCCGCATTCACATTTTTGTTGCTACAGTTAATTTGCATAAGGCTTTTAGGCTCGAATGTAATTTGTTATTATAGTTTTTAGAAACATTTTGAATATGATCCTTTAAATTATCTTGTCTATACATTTAAAAATTGTATATAATTGACAGGAATTTTGCATTTAGTTGTGTATCTTCATACGCCTTTTGTTTTCGTTTTCAACGAAATCAAATATGCAATCAAACATAAAAATTCAACCTACATCATAAACTAGCACACACACAATATACCAAGTTAAGAAAAAGTACTGCATAGAATATGGATATCATTTATTTTTAAATTGTACAAAATAAATACTTGGCGCAATAAGATTAATGATCAATATATTTCATTCAATCATGTTGAACAATATAAACAGAATGCTCTGCGAGCGTTAATATAAAACGAAACACTTAATTATACTCCAAGAAGCTATGTTAGGAAATTTGTATTAAAACGAATTTATATTTTTGTCTTGTGTTTTATGGCCACAACAATATGAACAAAATTGAATATTTGATAAAACATACAATTTAAACGGCACACCTAAAAAGGTGAGTAAAAATATCTACATCTGATTTATATTATAATTTCTTTCACTTCGATAAAATACTGTCCATGAAACAAAGGCAAATTTCGTAAAATGTCAGCACTTGAAAAATATAATTTGAGTAAACTCAGGAACAAGTCTTTGGATGAAGATAAATTTCGAATTTTGTAATTGCTACTATGTATAGAACTAGTTTAAATTCTAGGCCACCACGGAAGCCAATTTTCAAGATACTTACAGCAGACTCACAGCACTTTTTCTAACAATAATTAATTTTTCGCAATCGCATATGATGAAAGTATTTTCCCGGTGGTGGGCACTGAATGCTGTAATTCGATACGTAACGCCACGCCTCCGACATGTTCTCCTCCTTCACCTGATGCTGTATTATGCTGCCCTTAAAGGCACACAAATGTCGGGATCGGGAGAAACTAAACAGCGCAGAATGTTGCAGCTTGATGTTGGCATGGTTGGCACAGATTCCTGTGATGTAGACATCCTCAAGATAAACAAGCGTTGTATTCAATGCCGCCTCAAAGAGTCGCTCCACAACATCGATGGACATTATGTAGCCTGCACCGGACAGATATTTTGGATATGCCTCACCTTGGAACATGTAAAAGGGCATATACCATTTACTGGTCACATCACTCACAGGCACCACATTACAGAACTGATGGCCGCGCATAACGCCGCTGGTGGCATTGAGACGATTCTTCTGCGACATGACCAGAACCGAACTACGATCGTGATAGTCGAGTGTGTCGTTATACAGGGGCACAGTGCCGCCAAGCAGGAAGTGCAACAGGTTTGGTACATTGACAAACGTATCGTCGTCGCATTTCAGAAAGTAGGCACATGTTTTGGCACAACTTCTACTTATATGCTTCAGGGCCATAACGGATTTGAGCGTCAAATTATTGTACGAGTCAATGAAATTCTCTTGAATAATATCATTGTACAGTTCAGCTTCGTTGTGCAGACGCAGCTGCGTTTCGTTGCCCAGATGTTCTTCATAGCTGCTGCGGCCCACAATGAACACAATGCGAACGCTGACCATTAATGTGTCACCCGCGCCGCTTAGGTAGTCGCCATAGAGCTGCAAGCGGGTGGGTGTTGGCGGTAGGTAATGACCCTTCAAATGGCTATGCAAGCGGGCAAAAACAGCATAATTGAATTCCGAAGTATTGCCCCACGTCTCGCGTATTGTCTGTCGTTCCACAAAATTATTCAAACCTGTGCAGACGGCAATTATCAGAAACGTTTTGTTGCGACAAAAGTCACGGGGCATTATCAGTGCCGTATCCTGCTGGACCTGTATGTAGTCCTTGATGTCGAGCGACGTATTGGACGACCAGTCCGACAAAGACACTGCAAAAAGCCATAGTTAGTCATTGTACTACAACTACAACAGTTCATTTCTACACACCATGTCGCTTTTGGGCATTCATGTTGGGCAGGTAAGTGTACATCAGTAGAATAAACACAATGGAAAACAGTATGTAGGTGCCATATCGCCTCAAGCTTCTGGGCAGTAGGAAGCGTTTACGTTGTCGTCGCCTCTGGCTGCTTTTTGTTACATGCAGTTTGTGCTTTGCCGGTTCGTCGTCATCGGAACCTGCTTGGCTACCTATGCCGGCGCTAGGTTCGGCTAGCAGTGAACTCTGCTCCTCCTGTTCCACCAAATCAGGCGCCAAATGCACCATGTTATATGCCTTGCCCGAGATAAACTGTGGTGACTATCGTGCAAGTCTCGAGCCGTTGTCAATAGGCCTTCCACCCGATCCAAACGGTTTTAAGTACAAGCATAATGTCACCTAAACGTCAAATATCAATCAATCAATAAACTCCACAGGTATGATAACTAGCTGATAACTGTAGCCCTAGATTAGATTATATGCGTAAACAGAGCCATTACAAATGTACTTGTGCACATGCAAGCCGTCAGCGTCAGCTGTTTACGACTATCGATATCGATAACAATTAAAGTGTTTCCACATGTGGCTGACTGTATTATCTTGACGCAGTCTCCTCTGTGATCGATTTTTAATTATATATACATACATACATGTACATGTAGATGCGCATTTGACTCCGACAATGCAATCAAATTGATCTTTCGTATTCAATGGCTATGTAAATACATTTTCCAATTTTAGGTGCAATGATGTGGGTAAAATATATATAAGTTTTAGCTAACTGCGCCATATTATTATTATTTTATTAAATAAAAGATATTTGAATTTTAATGTATATCTACTACAAATTTATTTTAAATGTTATTTACAACGATAATTAGAATAAGTAAAATAAGCAAGATTAATATATAAATGTCAAGTGATTGCATTAGTTGTTCTCGTTTTAGTGGAATGACATTGGTGATAATTTTGGGTTTGCGTCGGGTAATAAGCTTAAAATGTAAAACTATAGAAAAAGAGTTAAGGATACATGTAAATTTAGTTGCAATGGCTAAAATAACACCCGGAACCAGCAGCTGTGAGGATAGCGTTTAATAAACGACTTTAGAAATCTGCATCGAGTGTAAATACGTTGTCCAACCGATTTGATGTCACGCCCATGCGCTGATATTCGCCCACTTTCTTCTCAAAAAAATTGGTTTTACCGTCCAATGAAATCATTTCCATGAAAGTAAATGGATTCTTTGTGTTATATATTTTACCGACACCGAGCTCCACCAACAAGCGATCGGCCACGAACTCAATATATTCGGACATCAGCGCACAATTCATGCCAATCAGATTTACAGGCAAAGCGTCAGTGAGAAACTCCTGCTCAATAGTCACAGCATCCGAGACGATCTCAATGATGCGTTCACGGCTGGGACGCTGCACCAGGTGCTGGAACATCATAACCGCAAAGTCGCAATGCAGCCCCTCATCACGGGAGATGAGCTCGTTTGAGAAAGTCAGACCGGGCATTAGGCCACGCTTTTTAAGCCAGAAGATGGAGGCAAAACTGCCGCTAAAGAAGATGCCTTCGACGGCAGCGAAGGCAATAATGCGCTCCCCAAAGTTGGCAGCCTTGGATGAAATCCAAGAGAGCGCCCAGTCCGCCTTACGCTTTACAGCCGGCATTGTTTCAATAGCATTGAAGAGATAATCGCGCTGATGAGGATCTCGGATATAAGTGTCGATTAGCACACTGTACATCTCTGAGTGTACATTCTCCATGGCAATCTGAAAACCATAGAAGCAGCGCGCCTCTGTAATCTGCACTTCCTGGCTAAAGCGCTCAACCAGATTCTCGTTAACAATGCCATCGGAGGCGGCGAAGAAAGCCAACACATGTGAAATGAAATGACGCTCATTGTCTGTTAAGCGTACCCAGTCCGTCATGTCCTTGGATAGATCCACCTCCTCCACAGTCCAGAATGATGCTTCGGCCTAGCAGAAGAATAAAAAAATATTCAACTAATTAAACAATTTTTATCAAACGGAATTTCACAACGGATGTAATTATTTTTTTTTCTATTCTACAAACATGAGTTTTAATGGCTATCGTAAATCTTGAGTGTAAACAATGTCACGTTTGCTACGTGACGTTTTGCCGCGCTTTATCTCAGAATTTCCCGCCATTTTTACCAAGCGATTACACGTATTACACACATAAGTATATGTATATATATATTGTTTTATGCAGATCTGAGCCTTACCTTTTTGTACATTTGCCAAATGTCGTGGTATTGAATGGGGAAGATTACAAAGCGGCGCGGATTCTCACGGAGCAGAGGTTCTATCGATGGATCAAACGGGGCTGCGACCTTCTCCATAATTGTTCCCTTGGCGGTGTTGGTGGCTTCTTTAATGCCACTGATATTGTCTTCGTTCGGTATGGACATTTTACGAACATTTGTGGCGTTCTCTGTCAGAATTTTCTTGCTGGGGCTCTGTGTACGGGAAAAAATAGCGTAAATATACGAGACATTTATAAATGACGTAGTGACATTTTAAGTACTGAGAAAATTCTATAAATAGAACATCATTTTTCACATGTAAATGTAAAGTTATATAGAGTATATACTGTGTTTAGCTAGAAACGTGTCATGTACCTTTAGCGAGAACTTTTCCATGTTGTCAGTAATGTTTTCTTTGCCGGCAATTTGAGACTGAGCCATTTTGATTGTTGTTGTTGGTGTTACTTTTCACTAGTTGAAATGCAAGAGCGTAAATTAAAATTAACTAAGTGCCGATATATAATTCGAGTTCTGCACGTTTAGGATCTTTATAGCTCAATGAAATGAGTAACAATGAATTTTTGCCTTATATTCATGGCGCGAGTACAGTTTTCCTTTCCCGCCACTGGTATCTGAACAGCTGTGTACGTGCAACAAGCGAATGCCGAAAAGTGCTGTAAAATGTTTCAACAGCTTAAGTTTTCCAACTCTGCGTCAAAGCTACTCTGGAATAAAACACCAATTGCGGTATTTAATATGGTAAGCTGAAATAAACTAAAAATAATAGAAACAAGAATTATGGAGTTGACACCGACAGAGCATCACAAGCGCTTGGAATACTGTACGACAAGATTGCAATATCGGCAGGGCCGCGAATTAAAAGCCGTAAAAGTATTTATGAGTATGACATTTATAAGAGGTTTTATCTTAAAATAATTGTGATTGCTTTCAGGTTTACACAGTTGCTAGCGAGTCCCGGCACCTGTTGGTCTTTGGCGTGCCCAAAGTCAATCTGCATAATGACATTAAAAGCAAGATGCAGTGTTTTGGAAAACTTCGATCCTGTACATGTGTCACCACTGAATTGGCAGGAAAAAGTGTGTAAAAGGACTACTTTATCCTGACAACCTTTGCTAAACTCTGTTATGTTGACAGTGGAATTGGAAGCCTTCACAGATGTCTTTGCTGTTCAGTTCGATCGTCTGGAGCAGGCGCGGCGGGCTAAACGACAGCTGGATGCTAAACAATTCTATGGCGGTATACTACACATCTCTTATGCTCCCGAAAGAGAAACGTTCCAAGAGCTGAGGGAAAAGTTTCTACAGCGCCGGAAAGAGATTGATTATCGTTTGCAGCACAATAAAATGGAGCAGCCTACCTCGAAGCGGAAGACAAAGACAACAGAGTAGCGTTTAATTCATTTTTGTGTTGTCATTTTAATAAACCTAACGCATGATGATACGAGCCTCGAAGGCCGACCGATCTCCGAATTATTGCAATACATATTGCATTATGAAAATTTAGCTCGATTCATTATTTCTCTTTCGTTCTGCGCAGCTCATGATAGTATTTTAGCAAACCAATGCGTTTCGCCCACACTTGCGCGCCATATTGTGCCCAGAAGCTGTAAAAGATCACAATCAGTGGAACTTTAAAGGCATATATATTAGTCTACTTACATGCCAAACATTGCGCCACCCAAATGTGCAGCATGATCAAAGAACTTCCAGCCCATTACGCAGCCAGCAAAATCAATGCCCATGATTACTTTGATAGCGGCACCAGCTGAAAACGTAACAGCCGGCAGGAACAATATGCTCAATTGTGTATCGGGATACTGTGCGCAAACATAAGCTAACACTGTCATGATGGCACCCGACTGAAATTATAGCAATTAATACAAAAATGATCTATTGAGTGAATTGTAAAACGTACCGCGCCCAGCGACATGCCTGGTTGCTTTGTGCCGGCTTTGTAGAGCACACTCATCAGACTGGAGAAGACGCCGGCGCTGAGGTAGACCGCCATAAATTGCTCCTTTCCCATGGACAGAACCGCAGCATTAGAAAAGCTGTGCAGCACATACATATTGGCAAAAATGTGCATGACCGAGTAGTGACTGAAAGTAGAGAGGAACATGGGCCAGCAAACGATGCCTGCAGAAGATTTTACAGTGAAAAATAGTAGGCCACACATTGGATAGCTTAACTTACGTGCAGCTGGATTCGACGTGAAATACGTCATCATAGTGTTACGCATGGCGGGCAAACGCCAAAGAGCAAATGCCAGCAGATTGCAGACCAATAAGGGTGCAAAAGTTTTATCACCGGGTGACAGTGAGTCCCAGAAACGTTGCACGTCCTGCTTTAATTTCCATATGCCATCCCGATCCACAATTGATCGATTTTGCCAAAATCGCGCCTGTTTTACCTTGGAAATCATGCTGCGCGTGTTCTCGTATTCTATAATCGCAGCACCGGCAAAACAGCCGATGCTAAACTAAAAAAAAGGATGGTACAGATCCATACGTCGGAATAATGGATGGGGATTACTTACGGCACCTGTAAACGCGATTGCCTTGACTATATTTTTTGATGGCACAATTCCACCCTCCGCCACTGCCACCATCGGCTCAGCCACAGTGGGTTTGATATTGCTCCACCGAGACCTGTGGGCATGAAAGTGACGCACCGGTGACTGCCATAATCTTTGAGTGGACAGATTGTGTCGGCATCCATGTAGTCTGTATCTGTAGTACAGTAGGATTTCAATAAATAAATGTGCTGCTTGCTGTCTTGCTGCGTCCTTACTTACGTCACCTGAGTTAGCCAACTTTGACATAGCGCGCGATTAACAAGCATAATAATATAGGAATCAAAAATTTTGCATACAAAATTGTATATGAATTGTATATTTGCGTTATGCTTGCCGAAAACCTAAGCAGGTTGACATAAAAATATTGTGTTATGTTTTATTTTCTGTGGAGTCAATCGACCAAGATACCATCGAGTACCGTGGATTTTGTTTGCCCACGTTGTCGTTGAGTGGGTTGGAGTCGTCAAAGCCGGATGGTGTAGAGGATATTACGTTGATTTCATTTAGTTACTATTGTTTAATGTATTATTTTGTTTATTTGCGCACTGAAGCTTCGTCTTCTAAATTACAGCTTTGTTTTAAACAATAAATATTAACTATATTTTTTTCTGCTCTTTGTTTATTTTTTAATTTGCGTTTTGTTCTTCTATCTGTTAAATTAACATTTTACAAAAATGTTGTTAACAGCAAGACTTAATTTTTATATAAATAATAGTTTACGAAATGTTCATATTTTTACTGCAACTTCGGTGCTGCATATTGTAAATACCGGCTAAATAAAAAAACTCCCGTCCAATTTTGTGTGAATAACTGCGACAAGGGCACAATTATGGTCTTATTTACACTTTACAGATGGCTCCAAATTATTGTCTCTAATATTGATAACATAGCGATATATAAAATTTCCTATTCAAATATTTTTGCAATGTTGTCAAAAATTGGAACTTTTTTACAATATTTTTTCCTTGTAAATCAAGTTTTAATAATGTTGTTAATCTAATATTTAATAATAGTTGTTAATCTATTTCATGATCTGTTAAATGGAAATAAAACATGTAAATAGATACAATTACTTAAAAATCGATCACATTTTGTTGTTAACCATCGATACACGCAAAACGAAGGCATCGATATACGATTATATGATAGTTCTTATTGGAACATATACAAAAATGGAACATGTGCAGACGGTAAACAAAAAACATGTAGACATGAAATGCTTATTTATTAAATTAAACTAACTACTCATAGGACAACGAAACAAACGAAATTGTAGAGCAAATAATAAACCTGAGTGTGGATACAAATGAAGCAGAAATCACTAAGCTGTTGAAAAGCTTGCGCTTGCGGCTCACTCAAAGTCAGGCAAGTCAGGAAACATTGGTCAACAATGCGGAATTTTCGAATTTTGTGCAAAATGTCGCTTTAAATCCGATTATGAGAACACAGCAGCGCACGCTACATACTCTGACGCTTCAGGTGCTGGCAAACAGCATTGTTAACAACAAGAAAACACAAGCAACCATTTGGCAGACACATGGCGTTCAAATTTCGGAGCAGGCATATAGCCCTCCACTGGGTAGCTCGAACAATGTTCTGCTCATGATTATGTACAACATATACTTAGGCTTGGGTGCACATCTGATTAGTGATCTGGTGGTGTTTCAATCCTGTGTACGTTTGTGGCAGGCAATAAACGAAACGCAATCGGAGCACAATTTTGAATATTTACACTTTTTACTGGAGCACTTTATAGTCCAAGCGGGACGTATCTGTGTGGTGTGTTATCAGCGCTTAGACTTGGTGGAGGAGCGTATTGCCTTTCTGGATTATGTTGCGCACTATCTGCGCGAGAACAGTCCAAATGGTGAACTCAGCTCTGTGATTTTGCAGTTCTTTGCCAAAGAGTTTCGACTGAAATCTGATTGCATTCTACGTGAAACGATAAAACTGCGTCACCAGCTGCATCCGCGTGAGGTGCACACGCTATTGCGTATCATAGCCAGCGCCAGCGGATCTGAGAAATATGACAAAATCTATGCCAGCGACCAATCATTATTTATCAATGTAAGCAGCCTGCTGCGTTGTGTGGTCGCCGCTGACAAGGAATCTAAAAACGTCGGCAGCCTGGACAAACCCATGACAAAGCTAGAGGAAGTGGCGCTAAGCTCCAACATAGATGCGAGCTACGAGGCACAGGTGTCCTTTGAGCTCAAAACTTTGCTGGTACGCTGCACAGCCAATTTGCTGTACGAGAATCCAGCGAACCGAGGCTACTGCCTGGATACACAACTGCTGCCGACGTTGCTCGAATGCACCAATATGGATGCGCGTAATCCTTGTAAGTATGTCTTGGATCATTTGAAATCTCTGTGTTCATTTATTTATTTTCACAGTGATGCGCGAATGGAGCATTCTGGCTATACGCAATGCCTGCATTAATTGTCCCGAGGCGCAACAGGTTATCGCCGGCTTGACCATGCAGGGCGCTGCTCCAAATGATATATTAAGCGAACTAAATCTGGATATGGGAGCTTTGCGTATCACAGATCGAACAGATAAACAGAAATAGATGAACTCATTAAAGCGACTTGCTTTTAAAGTTATGTGTTTCTAATTCGCAAATAATTCCCAATGTTTTAGCTGCAAATTTAACTTATAGTTTTTTAATCTAATGATTTCTTTATTCAAATGGTCGTAAAAATGGTATAAGTTTAAAAAAAAAAACATAAGAATTGTACATAAAATAATGATAATAGATTCATAAGCTGGAAGTTCTAATGTCCGAGTGAGCACTGTATCTGCAGCAAATCCACTTGCTGTCCATTTGCCAAATAGGCACTAACAAGTGGTTAGCTGTAGAGTCCCGCACGACGTCATCCGTCGTCTAAGTGATGCGCTAATAGTAAATGACATAAGAAAAAAAGAGAAAATAGATCTAACAACATTCATAAACTCGTTGTCAACGTTTTATAGCATTTTGGCCCAAAAACTGTTTTGGGGCGGCAGTGGCCGCAGCGCGTGCTGGCATGCGGCTGACTGGCTGGCAGGCTGGCTAGCACTAGTGTGTACGATTCAGTTATAAATAGCTGCCCATGGCTCTGTATCATTAAAAAATTAGAGATGCCTAAATTCATCAATTTCTAATTTTATATTGGGACACACTGCGCTGATGCTGATGCTGGTGCAGAGATTTTTTATGGCGCAATTAAAAAACAATGACGCAGAGGTTCACGACAATGCCGAGAGAGTTCAGTGCTTTGTCGTTGCCAGCTTGTTGGGTTTGGCCCATTAGCCAGAGTCTGCTTCTTCTGCAGGTGGCCATGCACTGTTTGCTGTCGCAACGTTCGAATATATTTATATTTATTTATATACCCCTGCCATACATGTGTTCCTCCTCCTCATCTCTACTTGTATATATCAAAATTCTTCTATGTAGAACGCGCGCCGCCAACGCCGCAATTATGTTTATGTTGCGGGGCCTTTTTACGCTCGCAAATCAGCGCCGCCGGCGACAGCGGCCAAAGCAACAACAATGGGGCTCCTTGTTTGCCTTTTGTTTTTATCGTGCTCCCACCATTGCGACCAGGGCAACAACTGGCGCTGTTGCCTGGCAATGCTGATGTTGCTGTGCTTTTGCTGCTGCTGCTGCTGCTTCGCGCAGTCAGTCAGTCTGTGCCAGTGCTCTGCATCAGCCAGCAGCTGTTAGCGGCGGTATTCGATCTCGACGTGATTTTTATCTGTGCATTTCTTTTGTACCATTGTGGGAAAATTCGTTTACGTGCCGCCGTCTGTATTTTTAAATGGTCCATTTATTTATTTATTTAGGAACGCTTTGGGTTTTATTGTTTCGATATTAGCAAAATTTATTTTCGCCTCGTAAACGGTCCATCAAAAACAAACAAGTCAAAATATCCAGATAAATCGAACGTGAACCACAAGATTGGTTTTGTGCAAGATCGGAAGCTTTAATGGTAAACAATGCTGCACTGTTAATTGTTGCTGTTGCTGGGTGCATGTATGTATATAACAATAAATTATTGGCTGACAGTTAAAAGCTGACAGTTATGATGCGCGCTCCGTTATACATTCAAATCTGACATTTTTCTGACATAATTTATGTTTATCATTAAACTAAGAAGAATGTATACGAGGCCCAAGCGACGCAATATTAATAAACTAAAATAAAAGGCAGTGTTCACATCTAACGGAAAATAAATAAAAAGTAAAATGTGGCCCACAAATTTGTTTGCATAATATATTTATTTATTTAGATTTAGACAACATTTCTTTGTGCTCGTGTATGTGTGTGTGTGTGTGTGTGTTTGTGTGTGTTTGTGTGTGTTTGTTGGTTTATGTGTATAGATTGCAATGCATACCTATGTACTAAATACTATATTTATACATATATAAAACATTTCTCATGTCAAAACTGTCAATATGCGCGGCCACCAAAAATGAAAGACAATGAGATGGTGAAATATTACCGTTTGAACGATTTTGTCATGTGGTCAGTCAGATGGATGGATGGATGTTCATATGCCCACAGACTACCTAGGCCGTAAAGAATGTACTTGTATTTGTATACTTGTATATATATATATACATATATATATACAGATATATAGTGTATAGACGAAGCTTGATAACTGTACATTTTGTCTAAAAATACAAAATGTTCAAGACAAATTTGTTTAAAACAAATGGCGAGCGCGCCAAATGCGTAAAGTAAAATTTCGTACCGTGCAAAATACATATAAAAATAAAAGTAACAAAATTGAACAAATAAGCCAAAAATATAATAAAAACAAGAAAGAGATGCTATCTTAGAGACGCCGAAAAATACATACCCTCGCATCTTAATTTCATTATGTATTTACTAAAAACCAACTTATTGTTCCTTTGGAACCTGGCTATAGTGAGTTGACATTTAATGCTGATCAATAAAATATGCATACTTGATGCGCTCGACGACATCTCGGTTAAAGCGTTACACGCTTTACGACATAATAGTAATACCCACTGAGTAAGGGTATCCAAACATGCAACTAGTATAGAAATGTAGCACTTGCGGGTGTAATACAAAGAACTCTCCCGCTAAAGAGATCATTGTCTTTTTTTAAATGTGGCAAATGACGCACTTCGACGACGACTGACGCAAATGCAACTCCTAACTGCACCAGAGGCAAACTCATTCAGTTCAGTTTGTTTAAAAATACAACGCGGAAGTACAGCACAAGAAGTTGGCATCAACAAAAAATGAAAGGATCTGCAAATTGATTGAAGCAATAAATTAAATAAATATTAGGTGATGAATTTGTGGATTTTTCTCAAGTTGAAAGCGACATTTTCTTCTAAGCAGCATTCAACATTTTATGATACACATAATGTATAAATTTCATTATTCATTATGATGGGCAACAGGGCAATTAAAGCACACATATAATATACATACTAGGAAAAACCCGACTAGTTGCACGGTGGCTACACATGCCCACAAAACAACTGCTCTATGGCACTTTCACACGCACACACGACACCACCCACGCTGCCGCACCTAATTCTCGCTAAAATATTCGCAAGATACACATACGTATAGAAAAACAAAATATGTATATGTTTCATTTTAAGAAAATGCTTTATAAAATGGAACATTATTTAAAAAAAAAAAAAACCAAAAAAAAAATAAATGCAGAATATTTTTTCATCATTCTTGAATGTCTTCGCTAATTTGCTTAATTTCTGTCAAAAACAGAACAAAAACAAATCGGAAAGATTGACGGCCCCAAGACAGTTTACGAAACGTTTTTGTTGCCAAAGCGACGACGCTAAAACAACATGTATATAAATTCTCCAAAAGCAGCATAATTAATTGCTTGCGCCAGACAAATGTGTAGAAAATATGTTGTTTTGAATATTGAACCTGACAAACAAAAATAACCGCAAGCTCAAAAAAAATCGAAATGAAAATCGCGTAAAATCCGCCAAAAGACACCTGCTGATTTATAATTACGACGATGAGTTTATTTTCCTACACACCAGCGCGATATTTTTTCTGTTGACAACTGAGCGTATACGCAATATGACTTCATTTAACCGAGCATTACCCGCTCTCAGTGTTTTGAATTTTTACCTTATTATTATTTTTTCTTGTGCATACTCACAGGAACGTGACCTGGCCCATGTGCGTGTGGATTTGTCATTGGTATTGCCCGGAAACTGCGAACAGTTGGCAACGCAATTGCTGAGCCCGTAGAAATTGGACGTGTGCTGAAGCGCAATCATGAAGCGCGACGTTTCCACCTCGACCATTGGCCGAGATGAGGCCCGGCGACCGCTTATGGAGGCCTATATGTTTCAGCGGCGTGTGCTGCTCGGCTGCAGCCTGCTGATGGTCATCTCGCTGATTGTTTGGATTGTGGCCATCTCGACGGATCACTGGATTATAATATCCGGCGGAAACGGTGCGTAAAATGTGTATGTGTGCAAACTTGCCAGCTGAATGCTCATTTACTCGTTTCCCCAGGCATCTTCATACCAGAATCGCGTCGCTTTTTTATGAATTCTCATTCGGGCTTGTGGCGTCATTGCCGCAACACAATTGTCCCGAATGCACTAAGCAATGCACAGGTTGTGCGCAACTTTAGCTCCATGTCATATACCTCACAGTCATATATCAACGATGCCAAACGCAATCTCACCCACATGGAGTTCATCAAGCAGTTTGCTACGGAGAAGCTCGATGAGTCCGGTAATTTCACAGAGCCGGCGCGTCGACGCATGTTTGCGCATTGGGCGCGCGGCGAGGAGGAGGAGTTCCAAACGTTTCGCAGCGCCTTCCACAAGCTGGTCATGTCAACAGAGGCGAATCAGCGTGAATTTAACTCCACTGCCGTCAAGCCCATACCCATCGATCCGCTCGATGTGAACGGCATCATTAAACGGAAAACATTCGGCTCGGCGCTGCAGCGTGTCAAATATAACAATACCTGGTCATACTATGTAATACCGGAGGTGGCACAGCAGTCCATATTTAGCAACTGGACGGACTATCCTCTGGTGGTGCGTCTCCTGGGCACCTACATCCGCGACATTGGCATACCCGCTTTTGTACTCAACGAGGAGCGCGTCATTTTGATACTGGTGCCACCACTGCCACCCAAGAAAGGTGGACAGACTGCCCACTACAGCTATATACCCTATCGTAAGTCAACAATATTACATACGAGCACGATATCACTTGGTTCAAGTATTGCCAACTCAAGATGATTTATATAAATTTTTTTAAATTTAACATTGAGGCCCAATTCGCAACTGAATAGTACATTTTCCTTTAATTTTCTTTCAAACTACGTATTTTTCGCAATTAAACTCTGAGGTATTATTTTAATTTCAAAAAGCCAAAAATAAATAGCTCAATTCTGGCAAAAGGTACAAATTCCGCAAACTATTTATTCGGCGAAATTACAAAATAATGAAAAAACAAACTATGAAGGGGTATTCGTCGAATTGAAGTGACAGTTCTTAATTAATTTGTTTATATAAAGTAAATATAATAACAACTTGTATGGACAATGCAGTCTTTTTTGCTCTTACAGTCTTTGATTAAATATACAGCTCACCACCGATGTAGAAGTTGATCGGTCAAAAAGATGAAAATATTCATTTTGCAGTGATATTCATATTCATTTCAATCAGTTACTAAATAATAAAATCCAACCTTCAAAATTGATGTATTTTAACTATTGACACACACAGTTTACAGTGTAAATGACCGATTAATAGGATAAATCAGACAATCAGCAGAGACAATTCTCTATATATAATTTGTAATGCAATATTGAATGTCTTCAACAGCTCGTTGCAAGTACATTGACATGTTTCCCAACTCGAACACACTGCGCAATGAGCCTGGCTTTGATGATGAATTAATGGGTAAGTACATTTGTATTTCATATGTTTCCGTTTTTATTTGGTAGTGGCGTGGTATTTCCTTTCAGATTATATTAGAACGCAGGCATCCTTTGCCTGCATTACGTTGTTTGTCATGAGCCTGGGCGCTGTGTTCTCCTTCTACACGTTCATGAATCCGCGCTATATGTTTAAACGTTTGGCTGGCGGCATACATTTGGTTGCTGCATCCACAGCGCTTGTCGTGCTACAAGTGTTGTTCTCCTCCATCGACTACACAAAAGAACATTTGTTCTATGCATATCCGGATGATGCAGAATTGACGTGAGTATAACCTTAATCGTTGTAATATGCTCTCAACTGATCGATTACTATATTTATATTATCTCAGCTATGGCTACGGAGTCTATTTGGCGTGGTTTACGTTCGTGACTAATATTTTATGCGGTGTTATGTTCCTCTGGTATTCTGGTAAGAAAAAAGGCGCTAAGGCCCCCAATGATGAGGTTGCCATGGCGGACGAGCCCACCATAATGGGCAGATAATAGAGCTAAATGTACATCCATCAAAGACCAAAGCAATCCACACCAATCGTTGTTGATTGGTACTTTCGTTTTACATTTGTTATTTGTTATCTTCTTAATAATACACATGTATAATTTCAGTTTTGGTGTATAACGATCTAAAGAGCACTGAGAAATAAATAAATCATTTGTTTACCTGTAATACATTTTCCATTTAAATGTTACAATTTTAAAAGATACGCGGGCAGGAACTTGGTCAGTTTCAATAAGATATCGATTAGTGTAAGAATCGATTCCGCGAACTAACTTGACTGTAGTTCAGTTCAGGGAGTGGTTCAATCAAACTATTTAAGATCGTTTCAATACAACTCTGTTAGAGATGGAAATTGGTGCTTACGTATATCGACAACACGCGCTGATTTAATTTGTTTTGGTTTTTAGTCGAGGAAAATCAAATTGAAATCAACGAGATGGAAGCGGATTTATTCACCAAACGGACGAAAGAGCTCACCCCTGATGAGTTATTGAAAATGGAGGAGCAAAACAAACGTTTGGTACCTGAATTCAAAGCGAACAAACTGGAAATTGATGCACAGCGTCATTGGGATTTATTCTACAAGCGTAACGAAACGCGCTTCTTTAAGGATCGTCACTGGACAACACGCGAGTTCCAAGAGCTGCTCTCCGAGCAACAGTGCTCAAGGTCGGGCCAGCGGCGTACCCTCTTCGAGGTGGGTTGCGGTGTCGGCAATCTAGTATTTCCGCTGCTGGAGGAGCAAATAAAGGAGCAGAAAAGTGATGAGCACGGATTCTATTTCTATGCCTGCGACTTCTCACCACGTGCCGTTGATTTTGTGCAAGCCAATGCACTGTACGACTCGAAACATATAACTGCCTTTCAGTGCGACATAACGACGCAACAGGTGCATCAGCATATTACCGGCGAAAGTCTCGATGTGTGCACAATGATCTTTGTGCTATCCGCCATACATCCAGATAAGTTCACCGATGTCGTACAGAATCTGTGGAAGCTACTCAAGCCAGGTGGATTGGTCCTGTTTAGAGATTACGGCCTGTACGACATGGCGCAGCTGCGTTTCAAACCAGGCCACAAAATCGCCGAGAATCTATATATGCGACAGGATGGCACGCGTAGCTATTACTTTGAGGAGCAGCAACTGGCACAGTTGTTTACCTCAAGTGGATTCGAGGTGCTGAGCAACAGTTATGTGCATCGGCGCACTCTCAATCTGAAGGAGGGCATCGATGTGCCACGCATCTTTCTGCAAGGCAAGTTTAGAAAGCGGACAGCGGTTCATTGATTCATCCGTTTACCACCATATCAATTGTGTATATATATTAATTTGTAGTTTAAATCAATAATAATTACATTGCTTGTAGGTCAACGTTCAATAAATATTTGTATGTATGTATATGTTGTATACATGTGTCATATATATATGTGAGTGTTTTTATGTATTGTATATATTGCAATACGCTTAACTATTATTTGTTATTAAACGAACTTGGAGGCCAAGTTTACCAGCATCTATATATTAGCCAGTTGTCTAGCAGGAATTAGATTCATTACAAAATGCTTTTGTTTTAAAGTTACTTAGACAACTGGTAAATTGGCTATATTTGTGTTACTGTCATTTGTTTTTATAGGTATTATACGTGTGCTTAAATCTAAACAAAAATTACATAATTAGTAATGTACATTTTTACCAACAATAATACATACGAACAACTAATAGTGACAATTAATATTCAACAAATTTTCAACGGTTTTAAGTATTACTGCGGTACACTGTTCACAGTTCAAAACGCCCCAACGTTGCCTGGGCATCATCCTTATTATGGTTGTTCTTGTCCACCGTCCACCGTTAATACCTCATTTGGTAACGTGCGAATGCATACATATAAATATATATATATGTATATATTAATGATATAATAAATATACTTGAAATTTGGCTAATTGGTTTGTTGTTGAACTCGGCATGGTCACGCTCACTATTCCAGACCGTGCTCAGCCAGTTTGCCGCCATTGCTGTTGCTGTGACCCATTGGTGTTATCTCGACGCTGGAGTCAAAGCTTTTGGTCAGCAAATCGCTGCTTGTGATGGAAGTCGTGTTGCTGCTCACTGGCACGTTGCTGCCCAGTCCAGAGAGGACGGCAATGCCATCGTTCATATCGCTTTCGATGCTAAAGCTATTGCTGCCATTTTCATTGATCAGCGAAAGCGTTTGCATTGGCAGCATGTCGGTGGGTTGCGTATCCGCAACGGAATCGTATGTCTTCGACTTGCTGACCGACAGCGGACTCTTCTCGTAGTCGGGTCCCGGGTCCGTGGCTTGTGTTTGCAGCTGGAGCAGCGAGTTGCGCTGCGTGTGCTTGTCGAATTTACGTTGCGGTGGTTTTGGCGGCTCCTTATCCTTCTCCTTGTCCTTATCCTTCTTCTTGAAGCCAGTAAAGGCCTTGTTCGCCTGCGCCTTTATGCCTTCCATGCTGGGCCTTATGATCGAGGTACGGGTACCGCTGCTCTCTTTGGTCGACGGCGATTCCTTAGCAACTGGTTCCGTTTCCTCCGTTACACTGGCCAGCTGCTGTTGCGTCGCCGGTGCCATGGTGAGATCCTGAACTTGTATGGGAATATCATCGGGCAGTTTTTTCGTACGGAATGAAGCGTTCGTTATCATCGACTTGGACACAGACGTTGTCACCGTATTTGTTGCCGGTGTTAACGCAACGCTCAGGCCCATGGGTCCATCGTTGGGCTGACCCGATGGATTCGCATGCAGCGAATTGCGCACAGCATTTGTGACCAGAATCAATTCCGTGTACATCTCATAACTGGCACGATTGTGAATGTCTTCCAGTGTCTGTATGGCAACAGTGCCATAGCCATTAAACATCGCATAGTAAATGGCGTGCACCAGTTCGATGAGAAAGGATGCAGAGAGCGGTATGCGTGGCGAGGAAGGTTTTGGAAAGGTGGCACCCGTAGCTGGATCCGAGCTAAAATACATAATATATATGAATACAGTTATATCAATATCGACATACAGTGGACACTCTAAAAAAATATATAATATATATTATATGCAATTTGTGTTCAGTTTTTAATGGGAAGGAAAACGACTTGCAGCAATTAGAATAGCTTTCCAGAATCGAATTGTTATCTTATGGGAGTATCTCTATATGTTATATACGAGTTCACTTACCCGTAGCTCATGCGATGGCCATGCCCCGATTTGGTGGTGAATCCCTGATTAACCAGCTGTGACGTTACGCGGCACAGATGCAGCAGCGAGGACTTTTGCGTGAGGCTCACCTGCTGATTGTAGCAGAACAGCAGAGCGGTGAGGATGCGCATCCTATTCTGGGCATTGATCGATTCAATGCGCAAATGTGGTCCCCATTTGACCTCACGATTGCAGTTCTCCTCCCAGCGTCGCAGATCGGTCATGGGCAGATTCTTTAGCTCGTGGTAGACGGAAACCTGCGCGAGGATTGGCATGCGAAAAGCGACCACCTTCTGACCGCCATCATCGGTGGACACCTCGCCGTTATAAATGCATATGAGCAGCGTCTCCACACCGCGCGATGCCTTCTTGTCGCCCGCGGCTACTGCATGCAGGTACGTGTATATCAACACGGGTAGAAATTGCAATGGGAACTTGTGCAACGTCACCTCCGGCGCCCGGTAGAATGACAACAACTGCTGGCAAATATCGTGCACTAAATCCTCATTGCGCTGCCGTTCACTGAATATTGTGAAGATGGCCTCGGCGATTTCGGGATCTGTTTCGTGCTCGACGACGAATGCCTCGGACTCCGCTGGCTGACGCCGGGCGCGTTGATAATCCGCTAGCCAGTCTTTCACCAATTCAGCCATTATTATGTAGTAGAAGTACTTAATTAGTTTGCTACTGGCTGCCTTCTAATCTTTTTCACGCATAAACCTTGCATATCTGCTCAGGGCTTCGTACGCAACGAAAACATTAGTTCAGCGGAACTAGCTCAATCTGAAGAAACTTTGTTGATTAATAATAATTGAGATTGTTGTGGTATGTGATCCGTGCTGAATAATAACAATAATAAAACAAATGCTTTTCACTGTCAGGTGCACACAATACAACTGGTGCAAGAACATATCTTCAACCGATCTCAATACTGGGTTCACTGACTTTGCTGCCCTGGTCGATTAAGTGAACTATGCAACTCTGAGATGTTCTCACCAAATGAATCCAATTGGAAGTGCTCATATACATAGCACGCAGTTACATATATACACTGCACACATATGTACACACATACATAGTTGTAATTATTATTAGCCATTTTACGACGAAAACAAACTCTTAAATAATAGAACAATACATTTTCAAATTTAATTGAATGCCAAACATATTTTATACACGATAAGCAATATCTGAAAAAGGTACTTACTAAAAACGCGGAAGCAAATTAATTATTAAAACAGAAACGAAAATCAAGGAAAACAAAGTGCCAAAACAATCATCGTCCAACGTTTTTAAATGCTTTGAGTAACCTCCAAAAAATAACTACAAAAAACACAACAACAAAAACAACAAATAACTAAAGAGAGAGATAAAAAGAGAGAGAGAGTGAGGGAGAGAATTGCAAGTGCAAAATGGGCAACGCGGGCAGTTCGACTGTGCATATGCATCGTGAGCGCCATAAGTCAGCGGACCTCTCAACGCCAAGTTCTCCCGCACATTTTCGCGACTCAGTGTCAAGTGTTGGCGCTGGAGCAGGTGGCACGGCTGCAGCAGCTTCGGGCGGTGTGGGAACAGGCGGCGGGAGCAGTGGCAGCGGCGGTGGCGGCGGCGGACAAGCTTTCTCATTCGATAAAAAACATACAGCAGTCTTAACTGAGGGTTCGTCGCAAGAAGACGACGACGAGTATTTTACGAGAGCGGGCGCCAAGCGCACAGCTGATAACGAAACAACAACAGCAGCAGCAGTAGCAGCAACAACATCAGCTGACCGAGAACAAACAATGGATGAAAATAACGATGGGGAGCTGGAAAAGGCAATTGGAGCGCTGCAGTTGACCGATGAGGAGTTCGAAGTAAAGAAAACTGCACTGCCCACTGTGCTGCGCTGGGATTACGGTGGCAAAAATGTGACCATATCAGGCACATTCTCCAAATGGAAGCCCATCCCGATGGTGCGCAGCCATGGCAATTTTGTGACCATCATCGATTTGGCCGAAGGCGACCATCAGTACAAATTCTGTGTGGATGGGGAGTGGAAGCACGATCCCAAGCTGGTGAGTTACTTTCAAGTTTCTAAGTTGCGGAAAATCGATACGGGCGCAATGTTTACAATTGCTGCTGACGCAGTTGACAACTTGTACTACCCTGTACTTATTGCAAATTTGCAAAACGGGTATATTAATAAATTAGGAATCAACAACTCCAAAAATATTTATATTCTATATCAGAATTAAGATTCGATTTAATCTTAATATTTTCGCCGATTTGTCCTCAGAGATGTCAGTTGTATTATGTGAGCCATTGATCTTTGTACGCAGATTTCTGCTATCTCACGCACATTTTATATATTGATCTTAAAATATGAATCGATTAATTTTCACATCTACTGTTTTAAGTAGGTAATCCTCATTCGAAAATCCATCACTTTTGAAGTTACCTAACTAAGTTAAAAGTACTTCAAAATGTAGTGGAGCTGTGTACAGGGTATCGGTTGACCCGGCACTCTCGACTTAATCACTGTTCTTTTTCACTAATGCGTTGTGTAATCATTGCTGGACTGTAAACAAGGCGAGTCTGCCTCGGATTTAGCATTCGGGGCTGATGAAGCTGAACTAATCGAAAACTAAAATTGCTTAGTATTCTAATTAAAATGATTTGTGTCTCGACTGCATTTACAGAAAAGCGTCGAGAACGATGAGGGCGATAAGAACAATTTGGTATCGGTGCGCGCCTCAGATTTTGAAGTATTCCAAGCACTGGCCAAAGACAGCGAGAATGTGCCCAACTATGCCGAAAAGGAGTACTCACAGGAGGTGCCGCAGGTGAAGCCATGGGAGAAGGTTTCCGGACCGCCCGTGCTGCCGCCGCATCTGCTGCAGGTTATACTCAACAAGGATACACCATTATCGGTAATATATGACAATATTTAAATAATGTACATTAATTAGTTGAATTTGTATTCCAGTGCGAGCCAACATTGCTGCCAGAGCCGAACCATGTCATGTTGAATCACCTGTATGCGCTGTCCATCAAAGATGGGGTCATGGTGCTCAGTGCCACGCATCGGTATTGCAAGAAATATGTCACAACGTTGCTCTACAAACCCATTTAGGCCAGGCCCCAAATACTACAAATATTTTTCTATATTTACATAATACGTACGTGTTTAGCTGTAAGCGGATTTCAAGTGCTCGTTATATTCGATTTATATACTATACGCTGAAAAGCCAAGTACATGCGCATATTCATTTTGTTAAGCGTTGTAATTTTTTTATTAGTTAAATATATATATTTGAAATTTTAAAAAAATATAGTTTGAATATGATTATTGTTCTGTGTCATAGTTATTTTATTGTTATCTATTTTGTTTTTTATTATTGCGATTTGCCTGTTTTTTTACTCACTAAAATATTAAATTATGTAAAGCTTTTGGTTCACTGTTCCAATTTGATATGTGACTAATACATATTCTAGCGATAAATTTCTGTTTCTAACGGCTATCGAAATGTTTGTACCGAATCTATTTAATTAATTGATTATAGCATAACACACTTTGGATTTTCTTTAAATTCATATCACAAGTCTCCAGCTGGCGTCTAATAGTGTCTATTAGAATACACTCTGTACTCTGTATATATATATATATATATATATATATATATATAGATAAACTCCAGCTTGCTGCAAGGCCCCCTCTACATCAACTTCAACTTATGTTGGTCTAACTGTTCGACTGGCAGCAGAACCGATGGAGATGCAATCGAACTGCTAGGAAACTCCACGGTTTGCTTGGCCAGATAGGTCTCGTGCATTTTGTTGGATGCGCGTTCAAATTCGCCATCTTCGTCGTACAACGCCTTGGTAAAATATTCGGTAAAGAGACGGCACATATACTGATCCTTGGTCGATGGCCACCAGCCCTCCAAGAAACCAATGTGGCCGCCACGTGCGGTAATTACAATCGCCACATGTGTACACTGATTGGCTGCCTTGATGGGTATCGCCTCCAAGGGCTGAAAGGGATCATCTGCTGCACTCAGGCAAAGTAGCGGAACAGAGATTTGATCCAACTTATTATGAAGTGTTGCATCCGTATAGTAATCATTCACATGGGCATATCCAAATTGTTTGGCCGTAAACAGCGCATCGAATTCCTTGATAGTCTTGCACTAGGGAATAAAATAATATATTATGGGATAATCGATATTAATCAATTCATTTCCCAATCTGACTTACACGCAGTATGCGCTGCATATCGATATCCGAATCCTGATAAATATCTCTGTATACCTCCAAGTGATTGCGCAGCGTGCGACACAGGCTACCAGCCAGATGACGTCCCAGCAGGTTATTGATTACCGGCTTCTCAATGCTCGCGCTGCCCTTGTGCACATCCCAAGGAACTGATATTATTTTGGCAGCCGACAGATTAACACGCGCCTCGTCGCTCTTGCGGGCCAAATAGTTGCCTGCATGTGAGTTAATTGAATTACGAAAAACTAAAAAGAAAGTCCATTTAAATTTGCTTTCACATACCGAGTATAAGGCCACCCATGGATATGCCGGTGGCGCCCAGTTTGCAATGTGCTGGAAGTGTGCGACGCACATGGTGCACCACCTCGCACAGATCCTCACAGTTGGCGGCGCAGTAGAGACGGGGTGTCTTCAGCTCAATGCCGCCAAGTCCTCGATTATTGAAGACAACCACACGCATGGCCGCCTGCTGAGCGGCAAAGACCAGACACTTAATATACTCCGCCTGCGATTCGCCAGTCAGACCTGGCAATATTATAACGCAAGGTGCATCCTCGTCGCAGCCATCCTCCATCCAGTCGAGAGCCACCTCACCGCCATCCTTCAGGCTGAGTATCTCACTGCATGGGCGTGTGTAATAATAGAAAAATATTTCATTTAATTATATTATGACAAATAGCTTGGAATTTTTAGATATTATGACTTTAAATAAGTTTACAATTTCTTAAGCTCTGCTTATCTGAGAATGTATTTAATCAGCTAGAGATACGAACATATTAAATAAACATTTTTATGCGGTTTAAATTTGGTGGCATCCATACATATCTACTACTATATCTTTTTAATTTGCATTTATAATTATAACACGCCTATCTTCAAAATCCCATTATATTTTTTTTACTTAAGTTCATTTAAAAAAGATTATGACTGTACGCTGTGAGCCGGGTCGAGATCTTTGGAATTATAGGCAATGACTATGCATAATTTATAATGATAAAAATATGCATATATCTTGAGACTCGGTATACAATATCAAAGGTCACCTTGGTGACAACTACTTACCGGCGATAGTTGACACGAGGTAGACCCTTGGAGCGCAGCAGGCTTGCAAGAACGGTCTGAGCACGACTCTCCACACACCAGAAGGTAGGCCAATACTTGTTCTCCAGCGTGGGCATCTTTTTGATCAGGTACTGCTTGAAGGGTCCATCGGAGCAGGCAATGATCGGCCGCTGTCATTTTTATATAGTTAGAACGGCAGTTAAACGAAGATTACGTAAGTGGGAACTCACCTTTACCACCTGAATGAGGTAATAGACAACATAGGCGAAAATGGCCAGGCCCAGCGCATGCAGGCGCGGCAAGTGCGACAGATACGCGTACATTGAATAGAACATGGTGACTGAAGCGGCCTCTGTGTGTATTCCTCTCAAAGCGAGTTTCTCACTTTGATCCCGAGCGGGCCGACTGCAATTGAGTCAAAGACAGGCAAATTACAATTTATGACAAAGCACTGCCGTATTCGAAATTGCTGAATGGGACTGGCTACACAATGTATATATGTATTCATGTACTTGTACAAATACAAATACCCCAAGAATAACATTGTATGGGGCATATCTTATCATTTTTGGCCTATAGTATACGTTACTATATTTATCATTTTCAATTGATAATTTCAGCTGGCCAGCAGAACGAAACGGACACTTGAACCCGCGTCTTGTCGTGTTTCATTGTTATCAGCGAACACAAAAGTGTGGTTGATTACGCATATTTGATTTCTACCCTAGCAGTAAGTATCTAAGCATGGTATATGTGTATATATTCTTGATCAGCAAATCAGTCATGACGATTTTAAAAATATCTTTTCAACTATTTTACTAATCTCAGCAAAAGCGGGCTAACAATTAAATCAATTTATAATCGAAGTGCTATTATATAGAAACAATCGGACGATAATTAAGTTGCTGCAATAGGCACCTGCAAGGGTATTTCATAATCGGCACTCCGAAGACAATAGTTTTCTCCGGTTTAATCGCTCTCACTCACAGCAGTTCCCGATTAAGTTGTAGATTTCGTTGTTGTGGTTGTGGTTGTGAGTGCAGGGTTTGTTGTTTGTATCGGGACAGTTGTTGTGATAATGCTGCACTTGCGCTTCTGCTGTTGTCATTAATCATGAGTGTAAATCGACCAATGCTGAGCAATTCATTGTTTTTCAGGTTTTGTTTTTGGGCTTTGATGGCCGCCTTTAGCGGCATCTGGACAAAGGTGCACAACATGATTTCGAAGCAAGGGCAGCAAAGTTTAACTAAAGTTTATCACACACTTGCCAAACCACTGGCATTCAATAAATGGTATTATCGTCTGCTAGATAAGTACGAACATATATAAATATATATTGTCACACTTTTATTGACGCCTTGCATAATATGATTCCGTGAATTGTGGTTTTTGTGCGCTTACCTTGAAGAAAATGTAAAATGACGAAAATTTTAAATTATAATTTAGATAATTTTTTGTAACAATGACACCAAACTTAAAACGAAATTATTGAGTATTTTTTGTTTCTTATGTCTGTACTATTGCCAATGGCTTACAGTTCAGTTATGAGCCATGGTTCTGTTTATGGCCCGGTGATTTTGCTTTCGAATGGTAAAATGGCCGTTGAAACTATGGCGTGCACTTGCACACACACAAACACAGAGACACACAGACACACACACACGCTGTTATAGATGATGCACACGTACACAATACTTACATATCTTCTTGAGTTTTTTGCTTGGCATCACGTGCAACAACCAACAAAATCAATAGCCTGGGCCAAGGGTATGTAGGGTGAACCTTTGTTCTATTTTTGGTGAATGTTAAGGTGGGTGGCGTAATTACAGTGACAATTATGACGCACGCATAATATAATCTATTATTCAACTTGCCTTTACAAAGTGCAAAACTAACGACGTTTAAGTTGTTGTTGTCGTCGTTGTTGCCCTAACGACTTTATTTTTTTTTTTGTACAAAGGAACTGTAGTTGCTAGTTTGTGCACAAGCAAATTATGTAACAACAGAATCGATCACATGCTTATTATGCAGATTTTTTAGACAAGTACACAATTTTGGACAGGATTTGTTTGTATCGAACTCAAATTGTAAACAAAAACAATAAGCGCACATGTAAAGTAACTGATGTCGTTCAGGCGAACTGGTTAGTTCGCTCATAAATTAACATTGCGCTGACCTGTTATTAACAGTAAGTATTTACTTGTCCCAGAAAAAAAAAAACGTTTTCCAAAACTATTTAAAAATGCTTATCCTGCCTGTGTCTGATTTCAACTAAAAAGGCGCCAAAGAAATGGCTGTTAACGTGACGATAATGCATTGCTGTTACTCTAGTAGGCTACAGTTATCGATATCGAAAACTAACAGCTGACTACTTTACTTGAGTATCGAGTATGCAGCTCAGCATCGAGTACAAGTGCAACTGCTGTCGGGGTCGGATCGTTTGTGTCGCTTGGCTTGTTGGTGTTTTTGTCGTTTAAAGTGTTTTTTGTTCAACTATTTCGCATGAAAATAAGTGTGCCAAGTGAATCAATAAATATTGGGGCCAAATACGACGCCCAGAATCGAATGTGCAGTGGTCTTTAAATAGTTGCAAATCGTAGACGCAATAGCCACAAAAAAAACAATGAATGATATGATTCAATGACGTCGCGAAACAAAATCGTGAATCGACAAAGAAAAAGAGCCAGAAGAGAGGAGGCAAGAGGGCCAACGAACAGCCGCCTGTAATTTGTATGTTTATGCGGGCTTCTGCTGCTGGTGACACTCCACATCAAATCAGAAGTTTACAAATAAAAATAGCCAACATAGAATAATAAAAAGAAATTACATCAATTGAAACATGTGCTAGAAACCAGATAAAATAATACACACACATACCAGATGGGTTCACGAATCAAGTGAGTATTTTATCTGCTGACGAGATTTGCAACTGCGGTTGTGAAAAAAATTATATGTACATATTTGCAGTGGGCGTAACGCTTGGCTGAACAGTGAAACTTATAACAGTTGCATCTTGTTACATACCCTGTACCCAAATAAAAAGTGTTTCCCAATTAAGTGGTGCAAGTGTACATAACTGTCTGAAGATTCAGACATCTCTTTCTCGTCAGAGAGAAACAGGATGTGCAATGCAAATAGCTACAATTTGATGTAGGGCAAAGGCTTACCGTTTATTCGTGCACACTTTGACTATATCTCTATGTTGTGTTATGGACTAATAATAACAATACTACTTATTTTTGTCATTGACAGAAACGACGTTAAAAAACTCTTCGAGTTCTGGTGCGAAGTGAAGCCAACGCGCGGCATCGATAGGGGCTCTGTTAATCGCAATGGTGGAGCAGCCGCAGCGACGCCCGCAGGCGTTATTATCGAAAGTTTCCCAGAGGGCTTTCGCGATAAGGAGATGCTCACCAACATCCCATCGTTTGCATTTCCCTGCGATCTCTTAAGGTGCGTTCTTACTCATCCTTATTCTAAGTCTGTTTTATTACACATGCACGTTTCCGGTTTAATTTGTGTTAGTCATTTATGTGCTTATTAACAGTCAATAGACAAAAAAAAACAAGCAAAATATAGCAGAAAGACCGTTTGATGTTTGTGGTCACAGTGGTCCCTCGTTAATTAGATCACGTCGTCTGCATGTGTTTATATTTGCCAATTCATTTTTACCTACAAAACAAAACAATTATGAACGATTATTACTTTGATAACCTGTTTGGGTTTTCAAAAATTCCATATTCAGCATAAATTTATAAAAAGATCTCATAAATAAGATTAAGTGGAAGGAAGTGGCAATTGTCGAGCGATAACTGTATTTGCTGTCCGGTGCTGGGTGAATGGTCGACGACTGCGACGTCGCTGATGACTCACGTCAGCAGCAGCACCGAATTCCACTTCGAGTTTGTCCATGAATTGTATAACCTGTTGTATAGTTTTTCTGTTTGTTTTTGTTTACATATGCGCGCCAGTTGGAGGTTTTTTTTTTTCATTCGGCTTACATTGATCGCAATTCATTTTCGCACTTTACGCTTTTTATTTCATTTTTATAGTGAGTATTTCCTCACTGTATCCGTTGCACACATTCACACACCACAATACCTACAAGCATATGTAACTGTGCAAATATCTGCGTCAATTGAACTGTCTTCTGTTAGTCATGCCGAAAACGTTTCTGGTTTATCTGTGCAGCTGTCCTCAAGACGGGCAACAAGTTGTATTTAGGTGCTTTCCCTACCCCCCTTTCCTGCCGGCAATACCATTATTATCGCATGGCAAACAAACTGATAAATACAATTTGGGAAAGTGAACAAACGCTGAACTAATGAATTTGTTGTCGAAACGCGTTCAAAATACTACTAATAATAATTAAAAACATTAGCCCAAAGCAAAGTTGGCTGCAAAAAAAAGGAAAAAGCAAGAAAAAAAAACACGGGAAATACGTAAATATAAATGTGTGCATACGCTAAACACCGTTATTGCACATAATGAAATGACAACAACAAAGACAGTCTCCAGCACTACTCTCTCCCTCTCGAAATTGATTAACGTTGATTCTCTGGCGTGTTCTCTCTCAGCTATTATTGTTATTAACAGTTATCGCGAAAGTCAATGCACCGACATGTACAGCTGAAGCGATAGAGACGCCACTTCCACATTTCCTCCTCATTTTTTTGCCCAACGCAAGCTACGACTTCTCGCCGCTTGCCTGTTTTGCATATTTTATTAAATAATGCGCGCATCTAACGACTTTACGTAATCCGACGCCTACACAACAAAACAAAAAAAAAAAAAACAGCAACAAGAAAGTGCCCGCGAAATACGAAAGAAAGAGCTGAAAAACAAAAAACGGAGGCCAAATGACTTTGCATTGAAAACGGAGCTCAGTGCAAAATATTGTTGTTCATTTTGATTGTTGTTGCGAATTGTGTTTTATTCATAATAAGCAACGCCCGCAAATTGTCACTCGCACACACAGCTTAAAAAATGCTCATATTTACTCTGTTTATAGATTAGAAGCTAAGAGCATTTAATGCAGCATCACCAAAAAGTTGCTTTCGATTTTATCTTGTTTGTGGGGGTTTTCATTTGCTCAGTCGTCTGCCAAATGTTTGTGTTTTTTTTTCTTTCTTAATTTGGGTTAAGAGGCAACGCAGACGAAGAAGCAGACCGGATCATCAACTTTCCGCGCCAACGGGCAGGCTTAGTCATTCATTAAGTCGAAAGCCAAGCGACTTCATCACTTTTGCCATACTCTTACAATGTACTCTTGCATGTGCATACATAAACACGTACAAGCAAATATGTACAAATGTATTTATGATGTAGTTACAAATGCGATGAAGCGTTTCTTGAGAAACGCGCCTTTTGCTGCTGTCAAGGTCATTGGGTTGATGGTGCTGTTGTCGACCGGATGTGCCATAATAATAATCTCTTATATGCGTACATTTATAAATAATTTGACAAACATTGGTCCAATTCTGACCGCAAACAGACTGAATAAGGCACAATTTAAACAACAAGATAAAAATAATTATGGATAAGATTTTGTAATGAAACTTGAATAATCTATAAAGCAGTTCGAAAGGAAGATTTTATTTAACAATCATATTTTGTATACTTCATTTAGTGACTCGGTGCAATCCTTTTCATTTGTGCATACCACCGGCGACTCCAAGTGGCGCTTTGGCTTCTGCCGACATGATCCCAAGACGGAAACGGCCATGGTGCTAATTACATACTTGCCGTGGCATGATACCTTTCTCAAGTTTTTGGTTGTGCTGGCCGAGCTGAGGCGGACAGATCGAAATGGCTTTCGTACATTCCTATCGGAGGCCTACAACAGAGGCGTACCCGATTCGGGTGGCAGTCTAACGGTATTCTACAACAGTGGCCAAAGTGTATGCATTGAATTTAATAAAATAATTGCAATTAGATGTTAACTATTTTTCTACATTCCTACAGCATTTCATTTTTGAACGGCCATTGCAGTTTCAGTTGCCCAGTATACCAGGAAATGTAAGTAGTAACTCACTAAATACAATAAATGTAATCTAATCATTACATTTTTTGCAGCACAACCTGAATTTATATTTTAACTTTGTGGATCCCAAGACGATGATCTGCGTATTTGCTGCCATGCTGGCCGAACGTCGCATTGTATTTACATCCAACAATTTGGATAAGCTGTCCTCGTGCATACAGGCGGCCAATGCATTCCTATATCCCATGGTCTGGCAGCACATATTCATACCGGTGCTGCCTTGGGAGTTTAAGGATTACCTCGGTGCACCCATGCCATATCTAATTGGTGTGCCAGAGTCTGTGCTTGAAACTGTAAATAGTTAACATTTATAACCGAAAATCACAAATATCCATAGCTAATTGCGTATTCTGTTCTTGCTGGCAGGTTTCTGCCGATGAGCTCGGCGAAGTTGTGATCTTAAACTGTGATACGAAGATGTTCATGAGTCCCTTTGATGATGCTCTGCCGCCGGAGATTGTGTCACAGCTTAAGAAATACCTGAGTCACACACAGGATCTCATTGGGGATCGGGTATCAAAAATCTTTTTGGGTGCTTTGGTGCAGCTGATTGGCGGCTATCGGGATGCTGTCGAGTTTCACGACACCTGCAAGACATTCAATCCCGACAAATTTATTGAATCTCGTCCGGCGCACTTACGTCCGTTTCTTACCAAAATGATGGAGCTACAAATCTTTGCACAATTCGTCGACGATCGACTTAAAATGTTGAACAGCGGTTTGGGCTTTTCCGATGAATTCGAACTGGAAACTGTGCGCTATGCGGAGAAGATGAAGAAGCGCGGTCGCAACTATGTCTTCCTCAAGCATGTCAAGGACAAGGTGAGCCGCGAACAGGATGCCCCATATCCTAGTCTTAGCTATATAGCTGTGATCTTGGTTGCCTTAACCCATCCACTCATAGTGCAATTCCCACATCCACCCACCACCTTAGTCCACCTCACCGCCCACTTTTAGTTGTGATATACTATTCTTCAGATATTTTTTTTTTTTGGTTTGGAGTGCACACATGGATAGAGCCCTCTGCGCTGTACCGTTACAACTTCCCGATTATATAATTGTGTTTTGTATTTTCTATAATTTTTGATATTTCTATTTGTTTTATGAACAACAATGTTTTCTTTAATTTAATTTAATCTATTCCGCAGTATTGTTTGGGAAAGCGCAGTGTTTCGCGAGTGTTTGCCAAGAACTATATTTAAACCGATTGCCACCGTCCACCACCAAAATATGAGTAGAATTTCCACTCACACACACACAAACACCTTTCCGCAAAGAAAAAAAAAATAGAAAATATCAAAATGTTAGTTTACTTCAATTTACTTTCTTTCTTAACCAACAATTGCACCTAATACCTATATTTACGGTAAAACTAAAAAATGTTTCTGTTCTTTATTATTTTATTTATTTATTTATATTTTTTTTTAAATATTTTATGTAGTACATAGTAGTACATAGTATATATATATATACATATATACGTTCGCATATGTTAGTAACAGCGCGCAATTCACTTACAGCTGCTTAACAGAGACAATAACTGCTGATTTGAAATGATTTGATGCCGTTTTACCTACATATGTACACCAAATTTTGTATCATAGCGAAATCACACTTCCAAACACAGCCATCAAATCCAGACCACCCTATATATGCACTCTTTATTAATCCAATCAATAAATTTGTACGACCTTATTTAACCATGAACTGATATCAAGTTTTTCAAGCCTCATTACTCGCTTATCATTATGTATATCATTGCCATTTTAACAATTAATATTAACTGTAGTTAGACTTATTTGTTTTCTGCGTTGCTATCCATCCATATCCATATCCATTTAAACATACGTAGTACACATATATATACCTCATTTAATTTTTGTGTGTTGAACGTGTCTCTTTCATATCTGCTGCTTTGGAAACTCACATTGTGCTTTTGTGACTTATGCTCGTTTTCTCTGGGTTACGATCGATTCTATATATACTTATCACAAAATGCGCCTAACTTTTGCAGACTAATCCAGCTGTTAAGTCTGCTGTCAAATCGGTGAGTGGTTGCTTAATTTAATGCCATTCGATATTCCTTTTTGTATTTGTGGGCTTGGGGCTAAAGTTTTGTTCTAACTAAATTCCTATTCAACTTTTCGCTCAAGGTCAAGGAGAGTTCGCGTGGTGTTAAGACCGCCTACAAGAAGTGGCGCGACAACGGCAGCCATAACCCAAATTCCAATAATCAATTCCACTTGGGCCTCAGCTCGCCCCAACACTCGGATCGTCCGGACGGTAGCGGCAGCAACGGTATAGGGGGCTACGGACGCAAGATCACACATCGCTCGGCGCCCAGTTCGCCGGTGTGCAGCAAGCGATTGGAGCGTGACATCAACAGTGTGAATGGCAGCGCAATGCAGTCGGCGCTGCCGTTGCCAGCGCAAACGCGACGCGCTCCAGTTCCGTTGGCAATGTCCAGCTCGAGCAGTCACATACCACCAAATGGCTATACGCTGGGTGCGCCGAATAATGCTCATTTTGATCATATTGTTGGTGCGTCTCCTGCTGTTAGCTCGGCAAGCTCGATCTGCTCATCGGAGATGAATCTGTCGCAGGAGCTGCAGAATCATCCGCTCTTCAAAATGCCCGCCGTTGATCGCAGCGTAAGTAGCCTAGTGCGTGACTACGAGAGGCGGCTGCAGCTGCTCTAGCTTCTAGCTTAATGGCACTCATTTCGCTCTGTGTCTCATTGTTGCTTTTGTTTTTGTTGTTGTATTTGCAAGATATTTATGTTTTCATCATTCTTTTCATTGACTTTTTCATGTGTTTTGTTGTGTGTCTGTGTGTGTTCTGTCTGTGTCCGTCTGTTTCGTTGTCGCTCGTGTTTCCATCATCTTTTCGACATTTGCACCAACACCAAATCATCGCAACTTGCAACTGGCCTTCGTCCACGCCGCTTCACATGCAGCTAAAACCAAGCACAGCTGAGCACAGCACACGCTCGCGCAACGCAGCACCGCCCGCTCGCCCGCCGCCGCCCGTCACCACGCAGCCAGCACACCAGCCCGTGTCCTACTACAATCATCCGTATGCGACGTCCGGCCACAGCAGCAACAGTATTAGCACCATCGGAAGCTACTGCAACAGCTCAACGCATTCGCATATAAAGTCAAAGCCTCCTCGCCACATCTCGACGCCGAGCAAATTGCAGTCACCAGTGGCGACCACAGACTCGAGCTTTGACAGTCCGCCGGACGTGCAATCGCCACCAATACCGCCCAGACGTCACTGTAGCGCCAACGCAGTTGTGGCGGCCACAGCAGCAGCTGTCAGTGCTGGCATCAATCGACTGGAACGCAATTGCTGGCGGGATGAGGCAAATGATGCGATGCATAGCTCAAACACATCGACAGCATCGTCATCGTCATCCTCGTCGTGTTCGTCAGGCGCTTCGTTTGTCACCGCTGCTTCAAGATTCTCGCAGCTAAATGTGTCATCGCCGGGCTCCGAGGGGACGCCCATACCGGCGCCGCGAGTAAAGAGAGAGGTACAGCAGCTGCGCGTTAACTAAGTTAACTAAGAACGACCTGGTTGCGGTCCCACACCACACCAAATACCACATACTAACACATCTAGACCCTGTTAGCTATCACAAGCCATGTTCCTGTAGTAGCTTTGCCACTAATCCGCTTGCATTTGCTGCTTGCCCTATTGTAGTAGCCTAACTTTGTAGCTTGCCCGCTCGCTTAGCACCCAGCCAAACTAACCCATTCACAATGCTCTTCCAATCCGCACAGTCGCCCCGCAGCGCTCAGTCGCGCCCTGAGGACAGCATGAACGATCTGATATCGCTGGACGATAGCAACAACACCAGCTTTGATCTGGAGGACTTTGATCCACTCAATCAGAATGCACGGCCGTTGCCGCCGCTGGGCAAAAACTTTACCAGCAGCAGCAGCAACAACAACATGAAGTCCAAGTCCAGCACGCTGCCTGTCGGCGTGAACAGCAGCGTTTTAAATCAGGTCAACAATCCGCTGTATCCGTACTTTGCGCCCAAGCACAAGGCCACTGTGGCGGCGGTCACCAGCCGAGTAACGCCTTTGCCACAACAGTTGAAGCGCAGCGGGAAGCCCGATGATGATTTTGAGCTGTTGCGCAAATACGGCCTGGATCAGTTCTCTCTAAACACATCGCCGACGGCGTCGCCCGGTCAGGCCAGCACAACGCCAGCGTTAACCGCCGGCTCTGGCGTTGGCAAGGGCATGAACAACTGGACGACCTTTGATTAGATAGATGCCTATAATCAGCTTCTGCTTGAAAGTATACCAAAATAAGTGTGATTAGGTTTATGATTGTATTGTATATAGCTAGGCGTAGGTAGCGGGCAAGTCACCTGCGATAACATATGATACCAGACAAAACCTTAAATATTATTACTCTAGTTGTAGTTTGAGGAAAACAATTAATTCTTTCTAACTGTTAGCGGCTTATTAAACAAAAAATAACGAGCAACTATTTCAAAAAATACAAGAACATTTGACTTCCAAATCACAAGACAAACTAAGAATTAGTATAGCAAGTATATAATCCAATTAGCTTAAAAAATAAACTAATAATGATCGATTACAATGAAGTATGATTATGGTTTGTGCGCGGCCATGCAGCTTTGAATGCGCTGCTGCAACGCCTGGGCGCCCTTTAGATTCACCTCTTCATAGTCCGGCAACAGTTGCTTCATGCGCGCCAACCAGCCACTGATTTGGGGATAGCGGTATCTATCCACCGGTATGAGCAGGTCCAATGTAACAAGTGTGGTGTTTATAGATATATCGGCGACGCTCAATTCGTGGCCAACTACGAAAGTGCCCTGCTCGAGAAAATGCTCCAGTGTAGCGTAAGCATCTTGGCATAGTTCCAACGATCGCTTGTTGAACTCCGTCTCGCTGCCATAAATATTACGCGCCACAATGTCTTTGATCACCTGGAAAAGCACACCGTTCTCGTAGTGCAGGCGATGATCGATGTGTGCTCGACGTTTCAAATCCTTGGCATAAAGCTGATCGTTCTTAGCGTACTTGGACACCATGAAGCACATAATTGCATGACTGAACATAAATCAAAGTGCAGTTAAAAACGGCTGATTGGAAATTATCAGCTCAGAGCGCACCTGTCCACATACACTTCACCATCGGTGTCTACGAAAACGGGTATTTGGTGCTGGGGATTAAGCTAAAAATAAGTTACATTGTAGTTGTAGCTGTATATTATATTATTATTTATACAAACCTTTAGAAACTCCTCGCTCAAGTGCTCCTTCTTTGAAAAGTCAACGGCTCTGTTAAAGGGAAAAAAACAACTCAAAATGTATAAAATTCTAGATGTTGTTTTACCCACTTAAGCTCGACATCCAAGCCAATAAGCTTGGCAGTTATAATGCAGGCCCTTGCCGGGGGGCTAAAGAGAGCGTAATATAAAATTGCCTTTGCAGACATTCTCGAAATGTTTTGCTTTGTTAAATAACTGAACAAAATATTAGCGACGTAACCACGTAGGCAAACATACACCAAGACAAAGAACTTGTTGTAAACGGTCACACTGTAAAAGAGGCTGCCAACTGTTCGCAAAAGAAAACTCAAATGACTGGCAGCGCTTGCTTGTCAGCTGTTTGCCGACATTTTGTAACGGAAACAACCGAATTGTGTTTGAACTTTATTAATGTAATACATATACAATGTATCAGTTTTATTCGCAATTATTTTTAGCACTTAACTAACTATAAAGTGTACATAAGGTTTACAAGCTACTAAATTAATAAACAAAAGTCGAGTATGGGCCCAAAAACATAATATTTAAGTATGCCTTAAATCTTTGGAGCTCTGTGTCTGTCGCTTGCTTTACAAAATGTTTTAGGGCTAGTCTGAAAGTTCAATAACCTCTTTTTTATCCGTCAACGCTTCTGCTTCATCTGCAAAAATAGAAAACAGTTTTCGTATGTAACTCAATTAAAAAATCAAAATACTCTCAAAATGTGAAAGTGCAAAAGAGGATTACAACTAAAATTAAAAAAAAAAAGATAGAAAAACCAAAATAATTATTATCAGTTCTCCGGTTCGCTGTACGATAAATAAAACACATAGTTCTTGGAAAATATTATTCAGCTTTAATTTGCAGATTATAAAGACTTATACATTATGTACTTATATTCCCTCCTCAAGCAATGGTTCAATGATTTTGTTGCAAACAATAATCGTCAGCGACTTTCTTGAAATTCTTCCAAGTTTAAAATTTAGGTTATATTCATTTGGTCATTCGCAGAGACATTAATGTATGTATGTTTTTGTACACGTGTGCATATTGTGCGATTTCAATGTATGTATACTTGTATGACCCTATTTGTATGTGTTTCACCCTTTAAAGGGCTTAAAATAGTAATCCAGCGTGCCTAAATAAATAATTACAAAGATGAAGCAGTTTAATATACGATAGTATTAGCTTTATTTATTATTTAGTGAAATTTATATCTTATTTGTTTTCCAGTTCAATATCGTTTTTGTATTTTCTTTGTTTTTCTTCTTTTCGAAAAAAGAAGCGATGATATAAATACACATACATACGTAATGCTATAGATAAACTGAAATTGGTCTTTTGATTGTTTTTGTTTGCAAACGCACTTGAACTTCAATCAAATGCAATTCCAAAACAAAAAACTGATGATAACTTAGCAGATAAATTATGCACGAAAAAATAAAGTATTTCTCTCCACTCGACACTCGACTCCACTTCGTTTGCTTCGTATGAATAGGAATTATTGTAGGTGACTTAAATATTAACATTTGATTTCTATATTTAGTATTATGCTATTGCTTAATGCATAAGGTCTATTTGTGTGTGTGTTTCTTTAACTCAAATTACATATTAAAAAGTGTGGTTGGTTGCTGCCAAACAACCCAATAATAATCAATTAATAAATCATGTGTTGTAACGTAGTTTGTTGTCTGTATGTAGGTGTGAGTGTGTTTTGGGTGTTTAAGTGTGTGTCTAAGTGTATTAATCGAGCCAAGCACAACACATATAAATTAAAGAGAAATGCCTAACTAATATTATGTTAAGTGTAGAGGCCTGAAAACAAATGAATACGGAAGCGCAAAGTAAAATTATAGAAAAGTATAAAGTATATAGTATAGTATCTAGTAGACTAGGAACAGCAAAAAACGGGCAGCAACATTATCGGGAGCAAACAACAGACCATTTACATTATGCAACTGCAACTGCCAGCAACTGCAACATCTACTTTTAACTGCGCCCTGCAACACAATCAAACATTACAAAAAACAACGCAATTTTGTGTTGTCTGTTTTCACACTTGATCAATTTATTTGTATGATGTAAATGTACATGAAGAGAATGACATGAAAATTGAGTTAAATAATAGCCTCTGAGATTTGGGAAAGATGTGTGCGGTATTAAATGCCAGCAAAAGAGGGTGCGAGAGGGGATAGATGAAGAGGGCAGAGGAAATAAAACTAAGATCAACTAAAACCAAATAAAAGCAAACGTTATTAAAAGCACAAATTTGTGTTTGTGTTTTTGTGTGTGTGTGTGAAACTGTTTACAATTGTTACATTCGTGTGTGTGTGTGTGTATGTGTCTATGGGGCTGCATTTGGATGCTGGGCTGAGGCGGCAGCAGCGGCCGCCACAGCAGCGAGATCCAAGAGTTGAAAATGCTTTTGGTCCGCCACTGCAGCAGCCAGGGACTCCAATAGACTGGCATGGACAGCAGCTGACGGCTGATCCCCAATTAGCAGTTGTTGTTCTTGCTGCTGCTGTTGCAGCTGTTGTTGTAGCAAATGCGTTTCAGGCGATAGCGTTGTTTGCTGCTCGGGGGAATCTTTCGTAGAGTCGATGGTTGTAAAAAATACAGAGAAGAGAAGAGAAGAGAATAGAATATACATATATATATGAATATATATATAGAGAAAACATTTGAGATTTAGAGATACATAGAGAGGGAGAGAGAGAGAGAGAGAAAAGAGAGAGAGAAATGCAAAAGTTACTACAAACTGTCGATAATATATTCTCTGTTTAGTCAAGAAGGGGGGGCGGCAACTAAAACGCAAAATGTTCGCTCAACATGAGAACCATTTACGAATTTATTATTGGGTACATTGGTATTAAGGTGCTTTTGACAATGGAAATAAATACAATTTCAATAATGAACGAATAAATAATATTGAAGAACAACATAAACGCGAGAAAAACAGAAAGCTTGCACATTGAAACATTTGTAATTGAAAACAGAACCGGCTGGATCAGGTATGTATTTGTGGGAGGACATCACGGCCCTTTCTTCTTCGCTGCTTTACTGCAAGTAATAGTATATGTGCACAAGTATAAGACGAGCTCTATGGATTGTAATTGCTGAGAAAGCAAACCTACCGTTTGCGCAGACCAACGCGAAGATCGAAAATAAAATTGTATATACAAATTGTGGTCAAGCGAATTGAAAACCCTAGCAACCCTCAAGATAATTAGCGGACAGAAGTATTCAAGTCTGGCTGCCGACAGGACAAGTTAAATATATTATCTATCTAGTCGGTACAAGTAAAAATAAATAAACCATATTGTACAAGATCTAGGAACGCAGCGCATTTGTCATATAATGCAGGCAGTATGTTGTTAGCCATGGCTTAATCTAGTCGTTTTTAAACTAAATGATAATTTTTTGAACAAATTGCATTTCCACACCGTACAGCTTAAAATTTGGAACATGTATTTCATATACGTGTAATAATAGCCAAAATGGAAAATAAAATCAATAGAGAGGAAAATAAGCAAATGATAAAATGAACGGCTTTAATGGGTATTTAGCGCTGTGTGTATTGGGTGAAGGAGTGGTGTGTGTGACTTTACGATGTATATGAATGAATGTATGTGTGTGTGTGTGTGTTACCCTAGAGATTTATAAATTATTTTCGATAAACTTTTCATTGCTATACAAATTTGTCAACACATAATTGTTGCCTGTTTTGCTGTGCTTCTTATTACAAAAATGGATCCAACGTACCAGTTCTTTGCGGCTGCTGCTGCGATGAGGCATAGGCACGTTGAGCGGCACCATTTTGTGTGGACGTTGTCGCCGGTTGTTTGGATGGCGGTCGCCGCTTGGCCAGCGGCATATCATCATCCGAATCACTTAAGGTTAAATCCACCTGTCGCACGCAACAAATTAAATAGAAGATTAACAAAACTGTGATTTTCGCAATGGCAAGTGAACCAACTTACGGTTTCACTGTTGGATGTGGACGTTGGCTGCTCCTCTGGCGCTGGAGACGGATCAGACTTCATCGGCTTTGTATCATCTGTGATCAATTCTGTCAAAATTAAGCGAGTAATCTTGATTGTAGATATTAAATTGTTTATTGAATTCGAATTTTTCTTTGATGGTCCTTCGATATATGCATATTTACAGTTATTATTCGTACATTTCAAATAATTTGATGTGCTGACTTACCGACATCATCCGAAATGACCTCAACCTTCGAGACTTGCTTTGCTGGTGTATCCAGTATTTGAGTGTCGCTGCGCAGTCCCGGTGTGCTCCACGAGCCATCCTGATGTAGCTGAATTTCTGTGTCGTCGCTTCTCAGTAGCGACGATAGTAATACCTCTTGAAAATAGCTGTACAATGAAAATAGGGTCATCAGTATTTATTGTAGCTGAAGCTGAGGGACGGGATAATGTTTGTAGAACGTACCCATCGATTACTAAATTATCGTAGATGGCTGGCCTATCGCAGACTGGACAATTCCAGGTGGGCTTGCGCTCGTTCATTTGCAGGTAGAGACTGGCATCAAAGCACTGCAAGTGCGAGCAGGTTGATGCGCGGCACGGCAGCGACATTTTCATTTTTCCCAGCGGACAATTAAGCGACACCTTCAACATGGTCGTGGCTATTTCGCAGTCAGCGTCCTCGGTTAGTTTCTCCTTAACTGCAATTGAGATTCGCTCAATTAACTCAATAATTGGAATTTAAATCTAATGTTGCGACTCACTTAAAGCACGCGTGTAATCCGCGGGCTTAACGCCCTTGGTCTTCATGCGGTGCAGCAGCTGTGCGGATGTTAGTTTCTTAACCAAATAGACAGCCAGGCAGTAGCTACGCGTGTAGTCCGGGCACCATTGTACCATTATTGTGTTTGTCACCGTAGGCGACAGTTTTACATTTGCGGTAACATTTACCGGCCGTGGCGGACGTTTTGGCTCCACGTTTGGCCGATTTGTAGGAATGACATTCTGTAAAAAGAGCAAACAGAGAATTTAGCTGAAGCGAAAAACTGCACAGTATTCAGTAAATGATAACAACAAAAGATTGCCAAAGAATAATAAAGTACGACATATTGTTGTACTTTGAGGTACAAGATTAAAATCAAAAATAATTTAAGCTATTTGGTGGGTTAACTGACTGCAGTAAGACGAAACTAGACCAGGTTATCCATGCTAGTCTTGAATTTTGCATAGAAATAGGCAGACATTCATTATTATGAAGTATGTGCTATTAATCCTGATCAAAAAAATATATATACTCCTAATTGCGAATAAAATAACTTGTATTAGAAGTGGTTTAGGTTTGTACTTACAGGTAGCTGACACAATTTGTTGTTAACTTTGACGTTGACATTGGGTGGAAAGCAGTCCTCCTGGTCGCAAGAGGTCTCCACGAGAGAGAAGCGCAGTTGCACTTGTATGGCGTGCTCCACCTTTGAACTGTTGCGTATGTCGCGATTTGTGGCGATCTCTGTAGCCTGCTGTGGCGTCAGCGTAAAATAGAAAGGTACCTCCTGCACACGCTGTGTGTTGCGCGGCACCAGAGTCGATGGCTTGATGAGGGTGCCCAGGACATCGTAGAAGGCGAGCTTTTTCAGACGCACATCTGGATGTATGGGCATCTGGCTATTCATACTGTGCGTGTGCAGGAAGTTTGGTATCATGTTGGGCGCACCGCCAGCGCTGCCGGGCATCTGGCCGGGATTAACGCCGCCCACTGACTGCACCTGGGCTCCAGGTGCACCGAGACTCGCGAGACCCGCATTGTTTGGCTGCACGCTAGGCAGCTGCATATGCGAGTACATTCTAGTTGGGTCTATGTACTGCAGTGTGGCGCTTTGTTCTTGCACGGATTGGGCGTAAACTTCTTGGACCTTGGGTGCGAGCAGCTCCAGGTTAGTGCGCAGGAACGTTAGGATGCGACCTTGCAGATCGGTTTTTCGTCCAGCGAATGAAATGTTTAAAAACGATAAGATCTTTTGCAGCTCTACAACTCGTAGCATCTGCACCATTTGTTCACATTCCTGGAAAGTCCAATGCGGAAGGATGAGAAAACTGATAAAATAACAGTAACCGTCAAAAAGAAAGACGCCTCACATATACAAGTACACACACATACGCACACACACACGCACACACACACACAGACAGCAAATGACAATTGTGTATGCAGTATGAGCGTGTGTGTGTTTGTGTGTGCCTACACCGAAATGTATATAAAACATTAAGTACATGTGCTTGGTTAAAATTTAAAAGCACCAGTCAATATCACAGTTTAAACACAAAATAAAAGCCGGCTGCTCAGCGTTTATTATTTTGCGCAAAAAAAGCGTAACATCGTTTTGTTAAGATACACCGACTGCGCACAGTGGACACAGAATCGCATGTCGCAAACTGTTCATTATTACCTTGAACGGTGCGGACAAAAAAGGCTTTTGAAGGAGTAGCCATAATTTCACAATCACAACTGCTGCTTTGTACTGTTTATTTTTTGGTTTACAACTATTGTAACTTTGGTTGATATTCAACAAACATTTGTTGTATTAATTCCCCCGCATTAATCTTTTAATCGCACAAATTTGTTTTGTCGGAGGAAATATGGCGGATGATAGTGTTGTAAAGTAATCATTGGTCTATTGGATAATGTTCGCGTTTGTTGCACCAGAGGGCGCTGAAAACAAGGCTTTTCTGCGGTCACATTGTTTCTACTTATCAATTGTTTTTTTTTTCTTAGAAATAATGTATTGTTTTTCAAAATGCATTGTACTAAATTAAAGATAAAGAGATGGACTTACCTTGAATTTGGCCTCATCAAATATGTTTACTGATATTGGTGCTGAAGATGCTGTTTGCTGCTGTGTGATTGTAGCGGCATTTTCCGCCTGAGTTTGCGAGCGGGTTTTTCGCATCACAATTGTTGTTTATATTTAAATGCAGCACAAAATACGCAATTTTAGCAGCTTTTGCACGGAAATTGCCAAACAATTGAATCAAAACACTCTCTCAGCATGTTAAAATAAAAATTAAATGACCAAAACTTTCCGTAGCGTTAGCGTCTGACTTTATTTAGAGATCAGTGTGCCCATTTTCGTCAAGCAAATAAATACGCAAAATACACATTTGTAGTTTGACGTTAACCAGGGCAAATATTACGTTGAATGCCTAGCTTACGTTTTTGCTCAATAGTACGGAGTTTACAATTAAGAACCAATAATTATGTGTCAGGAGTAAAATTTTAATTATTTTAACAGCTTCAACTATTGGAACAAAAAACTAAAAAGAATTGTTCACTACCAAGTTCGAAATTGTATTTAAAATTGTTGAAGTGTATTTCGAAACAGAAGTTACTGGAATTTTTCTTTGGTTTTCTCTCTCATTTATTTCTTATGCATTTCAAATTGTATTTGAACTATTTTAATGTACATTATTGTGTTTTGAATTTATAAATATTTGTGTGTTTCAACGCTTTATATAAATATTTTTGTTCATAAGTTTTGTTTAAATTTACTTAATTGTTAGGTTTAAGAATTGTTCTGCTTGCTGTTGTTTGGTGACCAATATTAATTGTCAAAATTTGAAATATAATATAGAATATATTATATTATATACGCTTTGTAAAATTTGCATATCTCATTCGAGTTTAAGCTATTTTCACTGATTGTTATTAAGCTACAATTTTTTTTGTTTTGCTTGCTGTATTATTATTATTATTATTATGAGTATATAAAATGTTAAAAATTTGCTTTCAACTTTGTGTGAGAGAACATCGGTGAGTTTTATATTATAATAATAAATTTTAAATGTGCAACAATTAAAATGCCTAATACAAATTACATGCATTGTGCTTGAAAATTATCTTTTATTTTTAATATTTTTTTTTTATATCGTTTTGTTTTGTTTTCTTTTTGGTGTGTGCCAACAAATTGATTTTTTTGTAAAATGTTTTATTAAAAATTATAAGTACAATACGTAAAATACATTTATTTAATATACTTAGCGATATCACCACGATTTGTTGTTATTGTGCTCTTAAAAATCATGTAACAGAAAAGTTTGTTATATGCTTAATTAATTACATACATATATATATATTGCATGTAAATATATATGTATGTGGTATGTATATTTAATTAATTATATATGTTTATGGTAAATGCAGTAAAAATACGCTTGCGTCTAAAAAATACATTTCCGTTTCTTCTGTTCTGTTCTATTCTGTGACTTTCTGTTCGGTTTCGGTTTCTACAATCTGAAGTCTAGTTCTGAATCGTTGCTCTAAGGTGGAAACTACATGTTGGAAGCCAAATCTCTTCTCTTTTTGGCGACTTGTTGTCGGTCATGTGAAGTGTTTGCATCTGTGTATGTGTGTGTGTGTGTGTTATTGAGTGTGAGTGCTGAGATAGGCAACTGGCGGTGCTTTGGAGAGCGAGGGGTAAAATTCTCGTATTCTTATAAATGCAATGTGCCGGATATCGCTCCCTTTGAACATCCTTACAAGGTGCAGTATTCCGTTAGAATTGGTATCGATTTGAGCAGCTCGTTAATGTTATGCTGCTCGAGATGGGCGACCAGCTTCTCCGAGGACTTTAGCAAATTGATGCAGTTTTGCAAGTTCTCGACAATCTCCTTGGTCATGCTATCCGATGACTTGGTAATCAGCTCCGCCAGCTTAGAGCCCACATTACATTTAATGAGCTCATCCTGCAGATGCTGCGCCTGCTCCGCCTCGCTGCGCTTCGAGAGATACACAACGGAGAGTATACACAATGCAATCAGGGCCTCGTTCTGCATGACCAGATGCTGGGCCGTCAGCATGCTGACCATTGCCTCGACGGTGCCCTCGTTGGCTAGAAACTCGCTGAGACTGCTGCGATCATAGTCCTGGGATAGTGGTATTTTATCGGCTATTTGCTCGGCGGGTGCATCACCTTTGCGGGGCAGCGCATAGGCAATCTTGCTGAGATACGCATGCTTAATTAGCCAGGCCATCAGGCGCAGCGATTCGCCAGTGACGCCCGCATAGTCTGACGATTTGCTCCAGTGCACCAGTTGCTCGATCAGAGTTTTGTTCTTCAACAGCTCCAGCGCCAGTTTCTCTGCACACAAACGGAAAACGAGCAGAGTTAGAGCTAAGCAGAAGGTGAACAACAAATTTTGGACTTACCCTGACCATCTACGGTCATGCGCAGTGTGCCAAGCAACTTGAATACCACTGGCGGCTGATGGATTTCCAGCATGGGCAGTATTGTTTGCACCAGACCCGCCTGAATGACCGCATTCTTGTTCGGCTTGGGTATAACCAGATTACGCAACGCACTGAGCAGCGCATGCTGCAGACGCACATCGTCCTTGACGCCGTTATTCTTGGCCAACACCTGCAGCAGCTTGTTCATGGTCTGCTGCTCCACAAAATAGATGCAGTGGCTGTCGGTGCGCGCAAAATTGCCCAGGGCCAGCACCCCAGTAGTTAATAGATCAATATCCGTCGAGTCCAGCCAGTCAACCATGTTCTTCAGCAGCGGTGTTGTATACAAGTAGTGCATGGATTCATCTGCAATTCGAGATGAATTTAAGTTAAGAGCAAAAGTTTTTGAATGAAATTGAGGCCTTACCGCCTGTCAGGATGAGCACAATGAGTTCGCAGGCCAGTTTCATGAGGGCGCGCGCTTCGCTGGTGCTGGCTAGGGTCTTGTATTTCTCGAGCAGATTGTAAATGGTCTCGCAGAGGCCATCCTTGGCCAGCAGTAGTTTCACCTCATCACTTTCGGCCTGATAATGCAGCAGCTCGAGACACATTTCGGCCAGATCTGGATTCGTGGAGGCGGCCAAAATGCGCGACAATTGTAAATTGAGCTGGGCCTCAAAGTTCAGATCGGCCACGTTCTCGGTGAGTATGCTGAGGAGCGGCAGCGTGTTGAGCAACAGATCCTCATGCTGTTCCACATTGCTGGTACCGGTATCCACAATGCGCTGCAGCTGCTGCATAATGCCCAGCTCCATGGCGCGCTTGGCCAGACCTTCGCCACCCAGCAGATAATTGGAGAGCAGACCGCCCCGGACTTTGATAAACTGGGGCGCATTGGCCACATCGTCGATGTTGGCTATGTCGAGTAGGCGCAACAGCACCTCATCGCCCTGCAGCTCCAATATGAGATCGCGCGCCTCATCGTTCAGGTAGCAGATGTTGCCCAGCGCCCGGCAAATCTGTATGGGCAGCTCCATGCTGCCATCGGCCGCTGGCACATTACGCAGGCACTCGAGGAAGGCAGCGATGATTTCACGTTTGGTGAACTTCTTGCGTTGCACCTCCGACTTGGTTATCTCTGCTATGCACTTGGCCGCCTCCTTGCGCACACTCATGTCCTCGCATTGTGTCAGACGCAGAAAGCACTCGGCCAGTTCGTGTTTGTCGAACAGCTTCGGATCCTTTGTCGCCGAAATCTCGCAGAGCAGCGTCGTCGTTGTATTGTCCAAACCGACGCTTGTCGTCTTCAGCTGCTCAATGAGCTCATCCATTTCAGCTAAAAGATTGCAAAATATACATATATTTATAAAATATATTTAATGAGGCATGAGGCATCACAATAAAGAATAACTAAACAGGCCAATAAATGTATTTTTATATTAAGCAATATTGTTCCAAGATTCATCAAAATAGCGGAAAAACTGATGTAGGCAATTATACCATTAATGAATGAATTGAAATAAAAGCAGTTGATTAAGAAGTCATTATTTTTATACTGGTCACACGTGCGCTAAATATTAAGGGTCTTTCAACAGGACAATTAAAATGCGGCACAGTGGCACGCAAGGCACGGCTCGTCACATCCAGATTCGTTGTTAGCGTTGCGAATTTATTGCTGAAGATTTCGGTTATTGGCTACTCGAGTAGCCCAGCCCAGCCCAGCCCCAAAATGTAATCCTATTTATTAGCGAATTCTCAGCCCGTCGCAATTTACTCAAAAAATTATGTGCAAATGCCTTGAGCGAGCCCCATTAAATGCTCATTTACTGGCCAGGATTTGCAGATGGCAGATTGAGTATAGAGCCGGAGCATTCCTTTAGGCAACAGACGAACGACGAACAGTCAATTTGCATAAGTTCTTCAACGCGCAGCTGGCAAATGAAAACCAGCAAAGCAAAAACAATGCTGGAAAATCGCAAAAGAAAAAAATAATAATAAAGAGAAAACCGTGGACCGAATTTAAAATACACTCAATGAAAATATTTGTTTAGTGTACTTAAAGAATATTAAAATCTCTGCACCAGCCTTTGAGAGAGGACAGTTTGGTCTCTTGATTTCAATTCGAATACTAAAATGTTTCTACAGCATAAAGCAAAAATTGACTTAGCAACATGTAAATCCCTTCAATGAATTAGTATTTCCACTGAGCGCAGAGCCCCTGCCGCTCTCAACAAGTGATTATCCCCTGGCAGGAGGGGCATAAAAAACAAACACATGGCTAAAATCCCCGCCTAATGCTATTCTGATAAGCTTTTCCCCCCAGCGATGCGAAGGGCAAGGACCAGACACGAGCCGTACCCAAGTTGAAAAGTGGCGACAACAAGCAACTACACCAGAGTGGGCAACAACAACAACAACAACAGCAACAGAAACAACAACAACAACAACAACAACAAAAAGTTTGGTTTGCAAAGGCGCACAGAAAGGGCATTCAGGCAACTTTGTGGAGCATAAATAATGAATAAAAGTTGAATGAAACAGAAATGTGGCAGCAAGTAGAAGCGTTCTGCTCGAAACTGCTCAACTTGCAGATACCTTCTAATAATATTGTATTGTATTCCTACTGTACTTTTTCTTCAAATATATAAAATACTTTTTAAAATTGAAAATGCCGGGCAATTTGATCCTACACCTAAAATTTGCAAACATTTATAATCTCTGTGATATAAATAAATAAAATTGAATTGAAAATCAATATTCAAACAAAACAATTTGCCGTAAATCACTGGTGATGACTGGCAGCCTAAAAAGAAGAATTTCAGAACGCAGGTGAGCAACAATAGGGTCTTTTTCATACTTTGACCTGAAAGTGGGGCAAAATGGTGAAAACAATCAAATATTCATGTTGAAAATTGCTTGGGTGAATCATATCCACAGCCAATATACGAAAATTACTTGAAAATGGTTGCATACTAATTTTACTTTTCCATCGGTTTCTAAAATCAAATATAGCACATCTATGAAGAATTTAATTGGATATGTAATTGAATTTGTGGCCAGATATCCAAACTGGTGGCTGAGAAATACGCATCCGAATGACAGAGCGTGAAGTACCATTTAGTAAATAATTATAATCAAAATGGACATGAAAAGTCGCCTTTGGCTATTGCCAAAAATGCCACACATGAAGCAATCCAATTCGTCAGAAGGTTATATATTTATATGTATATGCACACACACACACACACAGATACACAGATACAAACATAGACACATCATACCACCCGTACACCCTGTTCACACTATTCTGAATGTCCATTTGCCAGCCTCAAATGCCTGTTTGTTTGTTTTAACAGAAAAATTGAAAACCACATCAACATTTTATTTTGTCCGCAGACAACAATTTGCCCGTCCGGAGAGGTGTATTTGGGGCTCCGTAACGTTTTTTTCGTTTTTGGCAGCGACCACATCGTCATCGACATTTGGCCCACTCATATGGACAAAAATTGCTATAAAGTACTAAAAATACAATTACCGTGAGAAATTGCGCTCTGATTTTGTGACTGATTGTGAGGACTTTTATAGTCGATTTTTAGTGACTGGCTATGTTCGACTTGGCGCAATTGCTGCCTCTTTGCACAGTGGTTGCTGCTCTTCTTGTTGTTGTTGCTGCTTTTGCTGCTGTTGCTTCTGTTGCTGCTGCTGCTGTTGTTGCACGAGTATTGTGTAATGGTGGGCGGGTGTACGCGATGTGGTGCGTTGTATACTGCTGATTTTTCCGGCTGCCCAGTTGGAGGTAAAGAGATGATGAAAATGACGTCGCGTCATTTGTATACTGTATATCACTTTGTTCTGAACGCGTCTGGCCAGCCTCTGCCATCACATTCCAATACATATTTTACTGGTAGGATGATGTGGGAAAAAAAGGGAAGGGGTTTTTGTTTCTTCTTTTTTTCTTTTTTTTTTTTTCTTGTCGTTTTTAATAAAGCGTTGCGGAAAAGCCAAACCAACAATAACCGAACTTGGAGGATGAGCATGTGTGAGGTGGGTGCGCGCTCTGTCCGAGGTGGATGACGTATGGCCACAAAGCATATTTTGTTGTTTATAAATAATGATTTTGGTCTGACGATCGGATTAGTGCACGTTCGCGTTCCAACGCAGCAACTCGTTCTCGTTCCCAAAAAAAAAAAAAAAGAAAAGAAAAAGAAAGAAAACACAAGGCACTCGCAAATTCGCATCTCACATTCATAATCACTTCGCGAATCGGCACGGAACAGAACCCAACAGCAAAATGGTACGCAACGCTGACCATCGGGCTATTATATCATATCATATCATACGATTCTAATGCTCGTTTCGACACTTTAGGAGGACGATGAGAAAATGGACATTATGCGCAAGGCATTCCAAATGTTTGATACGCAAAAGTCGGGCTTCATTGAGACCCTGCGTCTGAAGACCATTTTGAACAGCATGGGTCAAATGTTCGAGGAAAGCGAACTGCAGGATCTAATCGATGACAATGATCCGGAGGATACGGGCAAGGTCAATTTCGATGGTTTCTGCGTCATCGCTGCCCATTTTCTTGAGGAGGAGGACGCCGAGGCCATACAAAAGGAGCTGAAAGAGGCATTTCGCTTGTACGATCGCGAGGGCAACGGTTACATAACCACGTCCACGCTCAAAGAAATTCTCGCCGCTCTGGATGACAAACTGTCATCGAGTGATCTTGATGGCATCATTGCTGAAATTGATACCGACGGCTCCGGCACCGTTGATTTCGATGGTATGCGTTTGCAGAAGGATATATGTAAATGTCAATGCTGATTAACTAATCTCTAAATTATTTATTCGCAGAATTTATGGAGATGATGGCGGGCGAATAGGGCAGCAATCGGTGCCCATTTGCGAAAACAGTGCAAGATTATGAAATATCTTTTCTGGTTTTTGATAAGTTTTTCTATTATTTTTTAAATGAATTGACTAAAAACTTTACGACCTTGACACAGTGACCTAAAAAATCAAAATAAATTCAAATCGAATGACAATGTAATTATTTAAAAGTACAAAACCATATTTTATATATATGTGTATAGTTTCTATCCCAGATCAGACGTTGCTTGCTATTTAAATTTGGGTAGTTTTACGTTCACCTTTTCCACAAAATTCACCCCAGCGGGTGGTAACTTGAAATGGGTACTTTGAAATGGGCATGTTAAAGATTTTCCCAATCTTATTGTGCATTATTGGGAAACAAAACACTTTCTATATATAAATATGAAAGTGTAATACATGAAAATTGTGTAACTGATAGTTATATTTTAAAAACAAAACACTTTCTATATATAAACTTGTGGCTAAGGACAGCATCATGTTGCACAATAGAAAATACTTTCCACTTGCTTAAGTAGTCTATATATGTATATATATATATATATAAACATATTGGTAGTTTAGTCGTAATTTGGTAACTGAATACCTCAAGCAAATATGCATTTCTTCATTTAAAATAGTCATTTGCGCAACTTTAATACACTCTCCGTCAACTTTTTAAAATGCTTACAGGGTATACGAAAAAAAAAGAAACACACGCTTCAAGTGATGCACAAGTATTAGGGCCTGTACCATGCACCCTGCAACCTGGTTGCATACAGAAATTGTAACCCTTATGCGCGCTATAACTGAATGCAATCCATTGAGAGAAATTGTTGCATTTGTTGCTGAATGCAATTGCAATTGGACAGTTGCCACCATTTGAGTGACAGACGTGGCAGGTGCAGCGCGGCACTTCCGCCTGACTACCTGACTGCTGAACCCCGCACCTGCTCCTGTCCCTGAATCCTTTTATGCGAATGGAACGCATCATCAGCATGGTAGTTGTTATTGCTGTTGTTGTTCGTCTGGCTTCTTTTGCGTGCTTGGGTATTTGTTTGGGATTTTGCTGTAACTGGTACTCGTTGGTATTCAGCATTCAACATTCAGTATTCAGAGTATGCCCCCATGCGATGTGGCAAGTTCGTTAGCTTTGCAGCACAGTCACACCGACGAGCGTCAAGGGGAGTGGCATATCTCTTGGCTGTGACTGACGGAATTTGTTCGCTACGAAATTGTGGGGCAATTGCTTCTGGGCCATCTCATTTTTTGGTTGCTTGTGGGCGTGTTTATGTTTGTTTTCCTCCCACTCCCCGTGCAATATCGTGCCAATCCGAAACTGGGTTATACGAGCACAGGACAATAAACGGCTACATGGCAACCGCATCATTAAATTATAATCGATGCTTTCGCAATTGTTATCTAACTTCTTCGATCACACTGCGAGTTTAAATAACTTAAAATTGTGTAGCTCTGGCTAAAATCTTTATAAGAAAAATAAATATTTATTCGAAACACAAATATAGGAGAAATATCAATACGATAATCTTTGTATAAGCTATACAAAGCTAAAAAGCTAAAAAGAAGTTAACTAAATGTTGATAATGAAATAATATTCCTAATAGAAATTGGTTCAGTTATAGTCAAAGAAAGGGGAGCTGGAAGTAAGTATATAAGCTGAATAAGTATATAAATATTAATAATCAAAAATACACTCATTTATTTGTACATTTAGATATATATTTTCACACTATTCTCAATTAATTAATTAATAATACAAAACAGATGATTTAAATTTCGTTTGGTTCCGCTTAATTCTAGGTCTCGTTGTCTTTCGAGTTGTTTTCCGAAAGCTGTGACTTGTACATCAACTCAGTGAACTTGTCGAGGGCGTGGCAGGCAGGCGTGGGCATCCTCAAAGCGTGATCCCGCAATTTTTGATTGTTGATGTTGCGAGCACGCTGCAGCAGTTTGTCGCCTGCAAAGAGTCGAGTGTGAGACAACAAACTACAACAAAGCCAAAGGAGAGAAATCTTACGCAGCTTTCGCTCCTGCTTGCAGTTGTACTTCAGATCCGTCACAAAGATCTGCTCGACATCCTGCTCGAGGCGTTGCTGCTGCATCGGCGTTTGGCTGCCCGCAAACTGAGGCGTCACAAAGTAGGTGATGCCATTCAGACGACTCACTTGCCGTACGCTGTGCGTGCTGCAATTGAGATGGATGAATGAAGGATCGAATATGTGCATTGACTGCATTGACACTCACCTGGTTTGGGTGAAACTGTAGTTGGGCGCCATTGCCAAATAATGCAGCGTGATTATTATAAAAATGAGAGCAGCAACCAGTCCAATAACCAGCTGTTCGGTCTGGTAGAGCGACTGGCGTTGCGGCACTCGCTGATTAGCTGCCTGATAGGAGCGTCGAAGCTCATCCGGATCAAAAAATTCTTGGTCCGGAACGATATTTCGATGGTTGTCATAGAGACTCGCGCTGCTGCGAAAAGAGTCGCCGACAGCTGTCAGCAGATTGTACTCAATGCGCTTTTGATTATCCGTGAGCGTGTCGGCCGCCTCGTTGATGCAACGGAAGGCTTCCTCGGAACCGGGTGCACGATTCTTGTCGGGATGCAGACGCAGGGCGAGTCGCTTATAGGCGCGCTTCACCTCCGAATAGGTGGCATGATGCGAGATGCGCAGCACCTCGTAATGATTACGGCAACGCAGCACCTTCTGCACCAAATCGAGCATCTCCACGCTGAAGCTGTGAGGCAGCGCTTTCGATTTGTTGGTCGGTCCAATTAGCTGATCTGGCATTTCACGCCTCAGACGCAGTCGAACCACAATGTTCTTTAGCTCCAGCAGGGCTGTGATATCCTCGTGATTGCTATTACCGATGTGCGTCAATGCCTCATTGATCGTGCTCATGGCCAGATCGTAGTTGCCTATGCTCAGTTCGCTGACGGTTGACTTCAAACAGTTGGCCACAAAATGTGGTTCATGCTGGGCCACAAAATTCTGTGTAGCTGTTGCACTGCTCCTGTGTCCTGGGGCAGCGTGCGTAAGCAAAAATTTTGGATTGATATACATGTGTATATATTTATCTAGAAACAGTTATGTGTGTGGTATATAGACGCTGATCAGTGCAGTGATCAACTTTCAACATTTAATTTTGATCTCTTTGGTTGGTTTTTTTTGCTTTTTTTTTTTGCAATTGGCTTTGATTTTCACACGGAACACAATACAATTAAAATGCTTTCATTGATTACAAATTGAAAGCTATATTTGCTCTAGATTAAGCTTGATATACATATAGTAGATACTACCATCTATTTTACAAAACAAAATATTATAAATAACATAGACTTTTCCAACAGATGCACTTTAAATTTAAAATTTTCATTTTCCACCCAAGCTCAACCGTTTTAGGTATTTCTCTGAAAATTATTTCAGGAAGTATCTCAAATTGTAAAAAACTTCCTCTTAAAATAATGTTTTTATTATAGATATGTCAATAGTTAACGCATATAAAAATAATATAACCTTTTCCATTTAAATATCTCGAAAAGTTAACCTTTTCAAGTTACTGCTGATGTGGCACAAGTGGCCCCACTTAGTTGGCCTAAATATAGTAAAAGCAGACTGATTCGATATTGGCCAACTAACTGACAGCTGACAGCACTCGAATCCCTAAAGTATGCTTCAAACTTTTTCGGCCTTGGAAACGAGTCCTTCGGCAGTAACTCAAAAACTCAAGTTAATTGAAATTAATTTGTGCGCCAATTTGAATGGGAAGCGAACTCAATTAAAATAGCGCACATTCATCCCCACACCCTCACACTCCCCACATCTCTCTCAAGGCCATTAAGAGCAGACCGAAATCTTATTAGCAGTTAAGGCAGATGAAGAAAACGAAAAACGTTGCGAGGGGAAAAGAAAAATCACGAGTCGCAGCATAGCAAACATTTACAGCAAAACTACGAAAAACCCGTCAGCAGTTAATCTGCAGCTAAAGCTGCGTGAAACGAATGAAAAGCCCGAAAATAATAATAATAACAATAAAGAAAAGGGAAAACCCAAAACCCAAAACGCAATACGCAAAATTTGGTGCGCAGGGTGTTTCGGCAAGCGATATGCCTTATCAGTGTGCCCAGGCGGTGCGATGTGGCCCGTGCGGTGCTGTGCGGGGAGTTTGCCGAGACACAAAGGACCAATTAAAATCTAAAGTGAACTTGGTGGGGCGGCGCAGCTGCAACCAGAAAAAGAGGGGAGTGTTGTGCTGCTGCTGCTGTGGGTGGTGCTGCCATCAAATGTGCGCTGGCACGTACAAAAGTTTTCGTTGTGTGTGTGTGTATGTTTGTTGTTGTTGTGCCCAGGGGGGTTGCATGTTGGTAAAGCCGGTAAAACTGGCACCTTATGTGCCGCCACCGTCGCCGCACAGGGGCATATTCATTTATTAATGGGAGTCATCGTCGCCATCGTCGTTGTGGATTGTAGGCTGGGTGGTTGCTGCTGAAAGGTGGTTGTCAGTTTAATGGAATGAAATTCGGATTCGAAGGATCAGCGATAAATTGTGACCAATGATGCGTGGGACTCTAAAGTTGACAATTCCAAATGAGAGAGCGACTAATTAAAATGTTATCAAAAGAGATTTCGCTTACAATAAAATTCACATTGGAATCAAAAGTTCAGTATAACAAACAAATGAATATAAGCTGCGCATATTCAAATTTGTAACTAAAGATCAGAGAACTCGTCGAGTGTGACCATCAAATAAATGTATATAGCACAAGCGACTCTTGTTGGAATCACTTAACACTACATAAATTCCGATTGGCAGCACATTAAATTGCTATGTCGATCACTGGCCAAGTGTGACCAGTGCAAGCCAAGACTGTCAAGTGTGCAGAGTAAAGTGCAACAACATCAACAACAATAAACGGTGAAGCGCGTAAATATTGATTTTTCACACATGACTCCCCGGACGCAAAGACGGTTGCAATCGTAGACCCCCGAGTCAAAACACCCCCCGCACGCTCCTTTGCCAGCCAGCACACTTGCCACAACTTTTTTTTTAGCCGGCAGCGAGACAGACCAACAGACAGACACTTGAAGCACCTGGTATGGCGGCGGGAGCATGTATCTGTTGTGCATTCAGAAGCAGTCCGTAAAATATTAAGGTGCACATAAAATGCAGACATTGCCACACATACACACATGCACGCACACACACACACACATATACATACAAATGCACAGAAACAGACGCACACAAAATGACACGCATGAGCTGCATTTGTTTATGCTGGGGCATCGTGTAAACTTGCTGCTGAAATGTTTCAAGAGCTGCTTTTGTGCTCACATAAAATGCGAGAATACTCTTTTAATGTCTAATTTCTTTTAGTTGTTAATATTACTCACTGGCCATGTTTTTTTGTTGTTGTTGTGTCTGCTTGCTACCGCTGTGTTGCTTCTTCTTCCTATTTTCGCCGCCTTTTTATGTTTCTGTTTACTATAAAATACTTATTGGCAGGCACAAAATGATTTTCTCCGAGTATTTAAATAATATAAACTGGGTTAATCAAATAACTGAACACATTTCACAGCATTTGTGTTTGGTGTTTCCAATGGAGACTTGCGCTTTTGCAGCATAAAATAAACTAGCAGTGAGTACGGGTGCACTTTATAATCACTAATGTATAAATTATTAAGAACTTTTGTTATGAAAAAACTTATTTCTCACGAATTTTCAACGCGCACCAACAACAAGACGCAAAGAAAACTCGACTGCAACTGAGCTGGCTTGCCATTAATGTTACTATCGATGAAAGTCGCAATCGATACTTAACACGACTCATTAGAGTCGGTGTGGCGGTATAGCGATAACAAATTAATAATCAGACAGCTGTTCTGCGCCGCAGCGAAAGAGAGACAACTATATAAGTCTAAATGTAGAGTTGCCAGCTTATATTCGCTGTGCACAACGAATTGTTTATTATTTAGTAAAAGGACAAAATCAAACCATTGCAAAGTTCACAAAAGTCAAAAAAATCTTTAACCCTTAACTATATTTGAGTTCAAGCTGCTGCTGTTGCTGCAAGCAAACATACCATACTCTATAAACTCGAAGGCGTGACAGCATCAAGCCATTTTGGCATAAAATATCAGCTTCAGTTTTCACCAACTTGCGGTGGTGTTTTTGCCGATTTTGTGTTTGTTTTACACAATTTATGCGCTGCGCGGCTGTCCCATAAAGCTTATAAAATTGGCAAGATAAGTAAGCATAGCACAAAGATGCCGCCAGCGTCTGCGGTGAACAATAACAATGCGGCTGTGCAAGCGGCAGCTGCGGAGCGAGCTGAAAAATTGCGAGGGTCACTCAAAGGCTTCATTCTGGCCGACCGTCAGCGCAGGCAGGAAGGTAAGCTGAAATAACTGTTAAATGGTACACTATTATATATATATCATAATACGATGCCAGAGTATGAGAGGCTGTGCGAGGAGTTGCGTCTGCGACGGGAACGTGAAGCCCGCGAACGCGAGAACAATTTGTTACTGGAAGACACACGTGGACAAATAACCATATTGGATGAGCAACTGGCTGATTTGCATCAGAAGAAGCATCAGCTGGTGGTGCAATTGAAAAAAGTACTAAACGACGATGAGACGCGTAAGAAGCAGGCGAAAGAGAACGAAATGTTTGCTCTGCAGCAGGTGCAGGCCATGCAGCAGGTGCAGGCCATGCAGCAGGCGGCGGCTGCAACGGCTCAGGTATTTGTGTCGCCCATGCGACTACATCCTCAATTGCCGTTGGTTCAAAAGGTAAACCAAATGCATTACAATTGATGAACATTCCAAAATTGTTTTGTTCATATTTATATAGCAGCCGGCGTCCGGTAGTCTGTCGACGTCTGTGAAACGCGGACGCAGTCCCTCGCCACCGAGTCAACAGCATCAGGCGTACTACAAGAGCCCCGCCAACTATGGACAGCAGCAACAGAGTAAGCCAGGTCCTGAACAGTGGCCAGCAGAGACACGCGGTCCCTGACTGATTCCATTCGGCACTATTGTTATATCCTGTACCCATTAAAATATTTATAAATAGGGTATCTTGCAGTTGTGTAAATGTATGTAACAGACAGACAGACATCTGTGATCCCATAAAGTTAGGACGGCTAACTTTGTCATTCTAGTCACCTGGCTGTGTGCTAGAGACCTTAAAATTGTAATATTACTTTACAGAGAATTGAAATTCCAAGTCATTATTTAGAAATTCAACTTTACTGCGAAGCTGTCGTTTGCACGAAATCGATTAATATTTTAGAGATATTTTGTGTACGAGTTTAAAATAGGAAATTTGAATGCGTTTTTTTTTTTATGTGTATAATGAAGAATGCAACGGCAATCATCAGCTGGGTACAGGGTATTGCTTAGTTGATAACTTTGATGTGATTAACACCTTTAATTTAAAAACCTATCTGTACATTTTATTATACATACACGTATGTGACCCATTTATCATTCGAATAGCGAGCACTAAATATCTAACCTGCACAGACCCACAATTTATTTTCATTTCGTTATTTGTTTTACAATTCGATTCGCAGAACACGATGACTACCGTCGTGCCGCGGACTATGCGAAAATGTCATGGAACAGTAAGAACATTAATCGATATGCTAAACTAGTTCACATAAAAAACGAAATGCCCCGTTGAGCTAGTATCTTGTGCTTTTGGGATCCAGTATAAACAGCAAATCTCTTTCTCCTTCTATGTTCACTTGCAGAGTCAACGGCACAATATTCGGGCACTGGAACGCTGTTTTATCAGACAACGGCGGCGCCACCGACAACACAGCATCAGGCAGATGCACGCCTTCAGTCCATCTATAACTATAGTCTGCCATTGCGGCCGGCTTACCACGTGGAACTTCAGGCAGCGCCAAGTGCAACGGTGAGCAAAGCACCTGGGTCGCAGTCACCATCGTCAAAGACGCAGCCGATGCAGGTGCTGCACATCAATTTGGATCAACCGCCCATTACGCAGGGTGACCTCGTTCAGGTGCAATCTGGCGCCAGCGGTCTTTCTGTGCAAACGTCCAAGCCGCAGGTGACCATGGAGAAGCTGCCCGATCGCTATCACATTGAGGTCAAGCATGAGGGAGCGCCACAGGTCCATGTGCCGCCCCCGCCGCCGCATTTACTGAATGAGGTTATATATAAGCCACTACTGCATCCCAATGTGCTGCAGATCAGCACCAGTCCAGCACAGGTGAGCTTCTTCAACGTCATTTAATAATATCCAAATCGATTGCTAATTCTTGTTTGCATCTGTGCAGAATCCCAAGGCAACGGGCAGCATTACGCAAGGCTATGCGCCGGGACGCGGCTCCAGTGTTTATGACCAGCAATTGGCCAGACAGCAATTGTCCATGCTGCCCGGTCAGTCGGGCGCTGGTTCCAGTGCCGGCCAACAGCTGCAGTACACGCGACGCTTGTATTAATTTCGTTAGTTATGTATCTGCTAAGCTCGCTAATAATTTTAACATTTTAACTGGACATTATTTCGTATTTTGACTACGCTGCTTTTTGCAGCAGCACCAGAATAAAGCACACAACTATGGCGTCCCTATTTTCCAATCGATCTTGGTTAAGTTCTTTTTCTTCTCCGTGAACGGCTAGTAAGATTTTGTAAAAAGAGAGCCGGTTTGGAAATGCACACATTAGATTAACAAAGTTTAATAATATATGGAAAAATATATGTACGTTTAATGTAATGTTGTCGCGGCTTCTATAGTGGATCCTCCATTTTTGGGTGAACTCTTTTTTTAATTAATAAGGAATTTTCAAATTTATTGATACACCTATATCAATTTTCAAGGCATTCTTTTTTTTTTAATTACATACATAAATTACCGACATAAATTGACATAATTGACTTTTCTATTGACGATTCTTCTTATCGCCACTATTAATAATGTCTAATATTGCGAAGCATATTTCTATAACATACTTCTAGAAGATTACTGTGGATAGATGGGCATACATATTGACATTCTGTGTATTTTCACATGATGTTTACTCAGCTGTAGCTGTAGAATTATTTGTGTACTTAATTCATATGCCTAATAAGTCGCTTTGAGAGGGGGAGAGCGTCTATTATGTGGTAAAGCAATTTGCCCATTAGGCGAAACCAAATTATATTCAGTTGACGTAAGCGCATCGTAAGACAGACAATTCTCAACTTAGTTGCTGGGAAATTACCTTTCGTTTTGACTGTCGCTTTTATTGAAACTTAAAAGTTGATTCCATTAAAATCTATAATAAGACGCCACAATTTGATCTCCAGCTGGTTCCGTTTTCGTTTGGCAAATGATTCACCAAACACATATATAAATATGTTATTTGTTGATAATTGTGGTGTGTGTCTGAGTTCGCATCATGGAAATATATTTACATATAGCCGAGGTTAATTGTACAGTGCGCACTCGTTAATTATATTTGACGACTGTGACTGTGCCATTCAAAAACAAGTGAGAACGTTTCAGTCGGGCCTAACCGATTGCGAAATACCCTGACACTTGTGTAAAACCAGCTGACAGCAGGACGGATGTGATGATTAGTGAATCTTTTTTGTTTACAAATTTTGGAAAGGGATTCTTAGAATCTAAAATACAGATTTGATAAGTCCATTGATTTGCCCTAGTCAATGGATGTCGCAAGGAGTTGAGGTCATAAGGACAAACAGAGAGAATGACAAAACCAGTAAGTACTTTTGTCTTCTTTATGAGAGAATGCGGAAAAAGAGAGGCGCAAAATAAGTTATGCTTCTATACATTTATGTATTGTAAGTATATATGTATTGATGCATGCGTGTGTGTGTTTGTGCTGGGCTTTTTAAGCCACGTTTATCTGAGTGGATTACGCAAGTTACAGCAACTTGTAAACCAGTTTTGTTGTTGCTGCCCCACCACTGGTTTGTAGTTGTTGCTGTTTTTTGTGTCAAGGAAAAGTATTTGACGCTTTGAATTCAAAGCACCAAGTTCCTGTGCAATTAAAAGCGGAAGCCCCAAGCCCTGAAGTATTGTAATTTAATATATAATGCAAGGTATTGGTTGAACGGTAATTAAATGTAAAAATATGTATTGATTTACACACGTATATAGGTAATTCGAAACCACAAAGCAAACAAAAAAACTCGTTTTAACTCTTGGCGCGCAATCCGAAGTGCAGCCACAGAATAAAATAAATTAAAAATATAAAACAAAAACAAGTAGTCACCGCACATTTGCATAAGTAAACAAAGGGCTAGTCAGAAAAATAAAAGAGCAATTATTTTATGTGAGAAAAAGCAAGAGAGCAAATTGATGCAATTATAAAGTACACCCTGATCGATGTCATCGTCATCTAAATGTGTCGGGGTTGGGGAAGCCATGAACAAAACAAAAACAAAAACCAATACAAATACAATGCGCCAATACGGTACGCAGTCAGTCATATTAAATGGGAAACGAGTGCCAAAAACGCCAACGTGCCCGTTGGTCGCGTTGGTGTGTGTATTTTATTTATTTTTTTTTTTTGTATGTGAGCGACCCAAACCGACCGCTTGAAGCAACAGGCGGTTGTTGGGGCAGCTGATCTCAGTCTGTAACGACAACAGCAACAGTTCATAACGTAGCGCGCGCAAATCAACATCTCGAAAATAAAACGGAAAATATCACGCAAAAGGTGTGTGTGTGTGTGTGTGTGAGTTTTTGAATTCCGCCTGTAGCGGTATATATGTGTGTGTGTGGATCAGAAAGTGTTGCAAGACGTAAAATTTAAAGTGTTGGAAAGCACATAGAGATCAACAAGCAGTCAAGTAGGCATCTCGCTTGCACTTAGGCATCGCCGGCATACGTAAATGTCAAAGTTTGTCGATTGTTCGTCTGCCGTGAGAGTTGTTAGTTGCTTCGTTGTCTTCTTCGCCAAGCCAAAACATAGAGAAGACCTACGAATGACAACAAAATCTTAAATAAACTTAGCCATTGCGTCGCAAACGTATCTATGTACATCCATACATACATACTATATAATTAGTTCACGTATAGAACCATAAACGAATCGAGACTGTTGGAAGAAATTGTCGCAGGCGTTTATTAAAGTAAAATGATGTCATAAATAAATTGCATAAAATACTCAACAATCCCATCCTTCCCGTTCGCACAATTTTAGGGGCTAGAGTGTACTTAATATCAATATTCAATAACGATATGGACGCCCAGAAAAGTTATCTCATGGAGAAATATCACGGATTATGTAATTACTTGGAGCGCGACACAGTCGGCAGCAAGCTTGCCATCTATGGCACCTCCACATTGATGCTGGTTGTTGCGTACATGAACCGCAAGCCTGCATATCTGGTGAGGCAGTTCAAGCAGCCGTCGCACATCCCGGAACGCATTATCAATGAACGGATTATGCACACCGGACAGATACGCGGCATACAGCAGCGCGATCAGGACACACTGCTGCTAATCAAGCATCGGCCGCTGATACCGATCTTCACCAGTCGCGATCGCCTGCTACCCGTCAAGTTGCCTGGCGTGCGTGTCAATGCCAATGGTTATGCCTGGCTGCAACAGTGTCTGATTGGACGCGATGCGACCTTTATACCGCTGAACAAAAGCCAGTCACAGGACTATGTCGTCTGCCAGCTGTGTCTGGTGCATCCGCCCAAGGGCAATCGATTGCTGGATGTCTCTGAAACGTTGCTCAAACTGCGTTTCGCCAAATTCGCCCAGGATATGGCTGCGGCTCTAAAAAGGAACAGCAAATATTATAAGCATTTGCGCGATGTGGAGAGCAGCGCGGCCAGCAAGGAGGCGTGGCTGACCTGGTTGGCGCGCTATCCTTTCATTTGGCAGCGTTTCAACCAGCTGAAGGCGTCGCTGTTGCCCAAGCAAAAACTCTTACCGGAGCTAGTGCGCTAAGTAGACACGTCCAGCACACACCCAACCCTCCGCACATAATTTCACATACTGTTTAGGTTTCTTAAGCGCAATCGCAAAACGTTGACCGTACATAATTGTTAACTTAATTCTAAGTCGAACGGAAATCCCAAGCTATTCAAAAAAATAATGAACGTGTTTTTCTGACCATTAACGGAGGAATGCTAAAAACGAAACTGAACAAAAGCGAGAATTCTTTTTATTACGAATGGTAGAATATGCTCTTTAGAATGATATCTGTGTGTTTATTGTGGCTGCATATATATATAAATATATATATATATATATATATATACGTACTGTTTTGGTCTATATACGACGCTTCTGAATAAAATTATAAAACATACTTATTTATAACGTCTATTTGGTATTTTTTTTCTCGTACGCATTTCGACTCTCAGTGGAATAAAACACAAAAACAAACAAATCGAGAAAACAGTTACAGTTCTTCAGCCATCTCAGCGAAACTCAATCAAAATGAGCTGCGGAATCTCTATGGTCAAATATATACTATTTATATTCAATTTGCTGTGCTCGGTGAGTAAACAGATTATTTTGTAAAGATGAAATTGTGTTTTTATTTTTCATTTTCATTTGATGAGCCAAACTCAATTATATTGTATGATATCATAAGTTTCTCAAAGCTTTCAATTCATATAGAAACTGGTTTCTTATATACAAAAGAATACAAATATACAGTAATACCTGTGAAATGTGTACATAACTCCTTGAAAGTTAGACATTTATCAATAACAATGTAGAAAAGTATTATTAAGTTACTAACAATAGACCAAAATTTTTAGCAGGCACAAACTAAATATAGCACTTATATTATATAGTTTGCAGTTGTTGCTAGTCAGGTTTCACTGTATATGGTTTTCTTTAGGCTTTTTGGCTAAAGGGAGGCCTAAAAACCGGTTTCCCACAAAAATTCGGCAAGTAGACATTTTTGTTGTTTAACGGAGCAGGCTGAGATCATAAGAATGCAAAACTCGTTATTAAAATTGGGCTACAAAAGGCTAGTGTGCATGACGTAGAGCATTGCATTGTATTATTTTGTTTTTATTTTGATTCCTGAGTTTCTGAGTTTCTACAAAATAGTTAGAACCAGCTGCTCGAGGTTAACCAGTTGAATCAACAGGTTTGTAATGCCATTTTCATTTGCCTTGCAATTGTATTTGTATTTTAGCCAACTTCCAACTCCCATAATCGTGAACTGTACCTAAAAACCAGTTTACAACTGAAGTGGCAAAGAATTTTAATCAACATCACATATTGAGTTGTGAAATTTCCGAATTATGTATAATACAAAATTTTCAAATAGTTTACAGTCTCGTCACGCAAACATAAAACACCCACCCTCTCAGAAATTGTGCAATGTAAAATGGAAAATTGCGCAATAGCCGGAGACGGCAAAGGCGAGGGTGTCCACGCCTAAAATAGCTGTATTAATTATATATGAACTTGGCGCACAGTCAGACATTCAGTTATTCAGTGAAAACTTGGTTAGAAATGAAAAAAAAACATTGCATTTACACACGCACGCCCGGCGGGACTGGGATGGGGAAATTGTAATGAAAATTGGGCGGCGGCGTTGACAGCACACTTGAACTCATTTGGCTTGAGTTATGGTTTATATATCTACAAGCATATATACATAAATTAATGAGTACTATGGTACTCGTAGTTATTCCATTCATGAAAGCACTCGACTGCTTTTTATCTGAATACACATGTTCGTTGACTTTTGAGAATAAATTACACAACGTAATCATCTTTAAAATGGGTCAATATGTGAGATCAAGCGCTCTGGTTAATTGAATACGGAAATGGGTTAAAAATGAGCTTATCTGAATTGTATCTTTATATGCGTAGCCACGCCCATCACAATATAGCTTCACCTTCTGCAACTGGGTAATTTGCATTTGCTGACGAATTTTCGCACGAAATCAAAGTAAACAGTTGCCTTTTGCATATTTATTTGTTATAGCTGTCATTTAATCTAAATTGCTTAATTGGTTGCATATATTGATTAGATAGTATAACCATTGATATGTATTAGTAAATTTGTTCCAATTGGCGGTATCATAAATACATCGCATAACGTTAAACCTAATAATAATGGAATAAAATAAGTACATTTACAATTAACTATATATAATGGTTTAGTCTTTGAATAACTCCCAAAAGTATACTCAGAAAAAAGGGGCTTATTAACACTTTTGTCCACAAATATGTGGTTATGTTTATATTAATTCAACAAACTAAAAAACCATGGCAAAATCTTACAACCAGAACATGAGATGAAAAATAAAACAAAAGCATGTTTATCAATTAATATCAGGAGTTTTCTACTATTGTAGTATTGGTATAGGTACTCTTTAAATATCTATTAAGAGTTTTTAATGTCTAAAGAGTTTTCTTTTATTATACATGTGTCAATTGAAAGTGTTTTTAATGCTATATATTATCCACAATTAATACCAAATGCCTATGGTTTTCAGTTAATTGATTTAAGTGGTTTTCGTATTGGATAAAGCTTTTTGTTTTAATTTGATCAGAGAGCTTTTTATTATCTAATACCAAACAAACATTCTATAAACAACTTGAAAGCTAAATGCTAACTGTATATTTTTTGTCCACAGATATGCGGCATCTTGTTGATTGTGTTCGGTGCACTGCTTTTCAGCAATATTCACAACATCGATGACTTTGCGGAGGCGCTGCGCACCCAACAAGTGCCCATCACAATGATTGTGCTGGGCACGGTGATATTGCTGATCTCCTGGTTTGGCTGCTGTGGCGCCATTCGCGAATCCTACTGCATGTCCATGACGGTGCGTACTCTATAATGGGAAAGTAAATGCTAAATGAGTAACTTGTTGTGTTTTAGTACTCTGTCTTGCTGTTTGTGCTGATGATTGGACAACTGGCGCTGGTCGTCTATATGTGGCTGCAGAAGGACAAATATCTGATCATTATGGGCGATGTGGTTGAGAGGGCCTGGGAGCGACGAACACGCCGTGCCGACTACATGGATGCCATACAGATTAGTGTTAGTACATCAACTTCAAGTTGTGTATTGCATTGGTTAAGTCAGATTTACTTTATTTGCATTTGTAGATGGAGTGCTGCGGTCGGAGCAGCTTTGCAGACTATACCTATCAGGGCTATTTCCCGCCCTCATGTTGCAAGGACACGAACAATTGCCACCAGGAGACCGTCTTTCGTCGCGGCTGCAAGCAGGCCTTCGTGGAATTCTGGGACAGAAACAGCGATATCATCAAGTACACCGGCCTTGTCATTGCCGCCATTGAAGTAAGTTCTTTAAGTTTATACTTCAGGTCGCAGCTAACACACAAAATTCTTTTGCAGTTTGTCGGCTTTGTGTTTGCCTGCTGTTTGGCGAACAGCATTCGAAACTATAGACGCCGAGCGGGCTATTAATGGCCCTTCGGAAATTGGGTCCTGGACATTAAGGCCTTACTAATTTTAATGAAAACCGAAAGTACGAATTATGTTGCCCAATTTTTACAAAAATCATACATATAAACAATTTTATTTTAATAATTCAGATGGCCATTTCAATATTGACATCGATTATTTTTTTATTATGCACTTTTAAAAATTAAAATTCTGTTGAAATTTATACTCTTAATCCATGCACTGTTTTCCATATAATTGTGCTATTTTTTCTTATACAAATAAAATGTATATGTAACAACTTTTTAAATTACAAGAAATGCGAATAAAATTATTAATTAATTATATATTTCGTGAATGTATGGAGGTCTTCGTGTGATGTAAAAAAGTATAAGCCATTTTTTTTCCAATCTAAAGATAGCATTTTTTTTAATTACGCGATACCTGACTTTTTACTATCGTTTGACATTCAAACTATTAAAATCGTATATGTGTTGCTCTTATCTTTATATATATGTATATATATATATATATTTGGTACTTGGGTTTTTTTCGTTGTTATGAACAAGTTCAGATAGACTGTGGTTTTTTTTTGTTATTGAAATTATGGAAGGTAAAAAACTGCTATAGATATATTTATCAGGTAACAAATATGATTTGAGAAATTCTAGCTAAATGTATTTCTAAAAATGAGTCAGATTAACTTGAGCTTTTAATATAAATAATTAATACAATAAGTAAAGTTTCCTAAAGTTTTCTACACCTAAGCCACATTATATTACATCAAAATTTGTTAAATAGAACATGATTTAAATTACATTATATACAGTTTCTTACTACAGTTTCTAACCTATATACAGCTGACAGCACACATATGGAGCAATTGTTATGTACCGTTTTGGGTACAATCCGATAAGGTCCATTGATAAGTTAGTGGCATGAATGCATAGGTTCTAACGTACTCTACGGGTGAAAGTGTTATGCCAGATAAATATCCAGATAAGCTCGCTAGTGGTATGACAATTTCAATATTAAGGTGCCAGATCTCAGCTGGTTCATTTAATAACGAATCGAACTGTCGCTGCGAACTGACCTCAAGATCTCAACGATAATCCCAATCGATATACCGAACTTAGCAAAATGAATTGTCTATCCGCGACGGTTAAGTACTTACTGTACTTGCTCAATGTTGTCTTTGTGGTAAGTGAAGGTTAAACCAACAAACAAGCAAAACTGTCTCTTTTAAGGTCTATCGACTTGATTGCACAACTAATGTCGTTATGTTCTATCTTACAGGCTGGTGGCATATTGCTCTTGGTGGTTGGATCCATAATGATGTCCGACATCGGCATTTTTGGATCTTTCGCTGACACAGTCAATGCACGCACCATTCCCATTTGCATAATCGTGCTTGGATGTATTATCTTTGTGGTGGCCTTCATTGGCTGCAGTGGCACAATCCGTGAAAATGCCGGCTGCACCACAGTCGTAAGTGCAGCAATCACCTCCAACCTGAGATCCAAACTAATCTGAATTGTTTTTTATTTCTTTAGTATGCCGTTTGCATGTTCATTTTGTTCGCCTTGCAATTGGCACTGTCGATTTGGATCTTTGTGGAGTATGATAGTTTTGTTGAGAAAATGGGTAATCTGGTGGACACTGCGTTTAAAGAGAACGATTCTGACGGGAGATTGCCCATGGATACTCTCCAGCTATCTGTGAGTAATAATCAGATGAGTTATTTCAAATTCATAAAGTAATCATCAATATTTTGAATGCAGTTCGAATGCTGCGGCGTAAAGGACTTTACCGATTATGGAGACAAAGTTCCTCTTTCGTGCTGCGGCTTCTTGAAAATTGACGAAAGCTGCGAGCCAGCAGTTTATACCGCACGACCTGGCTGCCGTGAGAAGTTCACTGATTTCTGGAAATCCAATATGAGCCTCATTAGTTGGGGCAGTTTGATAATTGCGCTCTTCGAGCTGACCATCTTTGTGATTTCTTGCTGCTTGGCCAGCGCTATGAGGAAGCGCTAAGATAAATTAATTCAGTCATCCTTACATCACCTGCCAAAATGTTCATCAAAGCCATAAATAAAAATATTGGTTAGATACTTGTTAGATACTAGATAAATGTTTTTTTTTTTGTTCATCATTCTTGTTTTTATTTAAAACACACACACTATTTTTTTTAAAACAAATAATTGTACATTTTTATACTTTGATTCCGAAGGTGTCATAGTATATTGGTTTTGTGCAATGTCTGCGTCAGACAAACTGTAAAAGTGTGTAAAAGCTCCCTCACCCAAGATTTTCAAAATCTCATATCTCCCGTCATTTAAGAGCTACAGTTACCAAAACTGCAAAGAAACGTTACTAGCTTATATCTGTCGCAATTTGAAAGGCAAACTTGGACAGTATTTCTTGGCTACACGCACCCTGTTCTTTGCTTCTTGCTATCTGCTGGATTAACTTATGGACTGCAACGTTCTCTCTTGTTTAAATATAGAAAATTGTCAATTAACATGTATATAATCATAGTATACAAATAAGTACCACTTAACACTGTGTTATTTAAAAATTCAAAGCAGTTAGTTAAAAAATTAATATTAAAAACATCGTTGAGTTATTTAAATTATTATCTATCAATATCTGTAATTTTTTTGACTAATCATGACATACGAGTCATTAGCTATGAGATCGACTTCTGTAGATATATTTATCAGGTAATAAATATGATTTGAGAAATTCTAGCTAAATGTATTTCTAAAAATGAGTCAGATTAACTTGAGCTTTTAATATAAATAATTAATACAATAAGTAAAGTTTCCTAAAGTTTTCTACACCTAAGCTGCATTATATAACATCAAAATTTGTTAAATAGAACATGATTTAAATTGCTTTATACACAGTTTCTTAAGATATAAATCACAGGTGTTTTATTTTCATAATGTAATAATTATTATAGTTAAATCATGTTAATTTCATGCTTGTTAAAATAAATTTACTGACAATACAGTAATCAAGTCAGCTTTGAAATGCTTGTCGAAATACTAAGTGGTCTAATCGATCAAACCATAATTATTATCTATTATCGATTTGTTGAATAATGTTGGGGGAGTCCCAAGGCGCTAGATTTCAAACAAAACAAAATAAAAATGGACCTGATAACAATATTTTTGACTCATGTGCTAGGTTTGGTTGGGGAGAGATAATTTGATTATCATGTTGATAACACAATCTCACTTATGTATCTTAAAATTAGAAATATTATTAGCCAAAGTTATAATACATAGAAAGTATCACCAGCAGCGTCGTTATGGCATTTAACACATCCCATAAAGACAAATATTTAAAGGTCTTCGGATGATAAGTTTTGGCAATGATTCATTTCCGATGAACATCATTCGACTATGTGGAAATAATAAAAGTACCTATATACAGCTGACAGCACACATATAGAGCAATCGTTATGTACCGTTTTGGGTACATTCCGATAAGGTCCATTGATAAGCTAGCGGCATGAATGCATAGGTTCTAACGTACTATACAGGTAAATCTATTGCCCGCGAATTGTTGTTATGCCAGATAAGTTTCCAGATAAGCTGGCCTAGTCCACACTAGTGGGTACGACAATTTCAATATTAAGGTGCCAGATCTCAGCTGGTTCATTTAATAACGAATCGAACTGTCGCTGCGAACGGACCTCAAGAACTCAACGTTAATCCCAATCGATATACCGAACTTAGCAAAATGAATTGTCTATCCGCGACGGTTAAGTACTTACTGTACTTGCTCAATGTTGTCTTTGTGGTAAGTGAAGGTTAAACCAACAAACAAGCAAAACTGTCTCTTTTAAAGTCTATCGACTTGATTGCACAACTAATGTCGTTATCTTCTACCTTACAGGCTGGTGGCATATTGCTCTTGGTGGTTGGATCCATAATGCTGTCCGACATCGGCACTTTTGACTCTTTCTCTGACACAGTCAATGGACGCACCATTCCCATTTGCATAATCGTGCTTGGATGTATTATCTTTGTGGTGGCCTTCATTGGCTGCAGTGGCACAATCCGTGAAAATGCCGGCTGCACCACAGTCGTAAGTGCAGCAATCACCTCCAACCTGAGATCCAAACTAATCTGAATTGTTTTTTATTTCTTTAGTATGCCGTTTGCATGTTCATTTTGTTCGCCTTGCAATTGGCACTGTCGATTTGGATCTTTGTGGAGTATGATAATTTTGTTGAGAAAATGGGTAATCTGGTGGACACTGCGTTTAAAGAGAACGATTCTGACGGTAGATTCCCCATGGATACTCTCCAGCAATCTGTGAGTAATAATCAGATGAGTTATTTCAAATTCATAAAATAATCATCAATATTTTCAATGCAGTTGGAATGCTGCGGCGTAAAGGACTTTACCGATTATGGAGACAAAGTTCCGCTTTCGTGCTGCGGCTACTTGAAACAAGGCGAGACCTGCGAGCCAGCAGTTTATACCGCACGACCTGGCTGCCGTGAGAAGTTCACTGATTTCTGGAAATCCAATATGAGCCTCATTAGTTGGGGTAGTTTGATAATTGCGCTCTTCGAGCTGACCATCTTTGTGATTTCTTGCTGCTTGGCCAGCGCTATGAGGAAGCGCTAAGCTAAATTAATTCAGTCATCCTTACATCACCTGTCAAAATGTTCATCAAATCCATAAATAAACAATAGGTTAGACTCTTACTACCAAGTTTATTTATTTAATATTGACGTTTATGTTACCGGTTTTATGATCTATCTACATACATACAAACGTGTTTCAGGACAAATATCTTATCGTGGCATTATATTTATAGTAACTTTTCATTGCTAATATCAAGCACTAGGCGACTCATATTGAGTACAATTTTAGGCATAGTTCGCAGAACTCTTTATCAGTTTGGGCTGTATGTGTTTTGTTGATGAAATCGATAGCCGCTGGTGCGTATTAGGTCATAACGACCTGAAGCTGATTCATTACTTATCAATTCCAACCACAAAATGCACGCAAAATATTTACTTTTTGTCAAGTTTTCCATTGTTACCCTTTCGCATAGATCTAGAAAAACTTGGGGCTCGTGGCAGTGGTCGGCGCAGACAATCTAGCTGATAAAAATGTTTATTTTTTGTTCATCATTCTTGTTTTTATTTGAAACACAAACACTATTTTTTTAAATAAATAAATAACATTTTTATACATTGATTCCGAAGGTGTCATAGTATATTGGTTTTGAGCAATGTCCGTCATGCTGTCTGTCCATCTGTATGAACGCAACTTTGAACTTGAAACTTGGAACATGTGCCCTCGTCAGACAAAGTGCAAGAAGCGTGTAAAAACTCCCTCACCCAACATTTTCAAAATCTCAAATCTTCCGTCATTTAAGAGCTACAGTTACCAAAACTGCAAAGAAACGTTACTAGCTTATATCTGTCGCAATCTGAAAGGCAAACTTGGAGAGTATTTCTTGGCTACACCCACCCTGTTCTTTGCTTCTTGTTATCTGCTGGATTAACTTATGGACTGCAACGTTCTCTCTTGTTTAAATATAGAAAATTGTCAATTAACATGTATATAATCATAGTATACAAATAGGTACCACTTAACACTGTGTTATTTAAAAATTCAAAGCAGTTAGCTAACAAATTAATATTAAAAACATCGTTGAGTTATTTAAATTATTATCTATCAATATCTGTAACTTTTTTGACTAATCATGACACACGAGTCATTAGCTACGAGATTGAACATTTCACCCACAGTGCGGTTGGCCGATAAAATATACAAACGGGGATCAATCTAGATATGGCAAAGCCTCGGTTCGCTTATAATGGCTTGCACAGTTTGGAGACCGTTTCAATCGAACGACAGTAATCGACGCGCAAACAAGGCGCAGTAAAAGTTTAAATATAATTTCATCAAACGTTATTAAGAAACGGCTTCAACATGGGTTGCATGTCAGGAATTTTGAATATTCTTCTATATATTATAAATATCGTGTTTTTGGTGAGTTAATTACTATTATTTATAATTGAAAACCAACAATTGGATCATGTGAAATTTTTGTCATTGTTGTCAGATAATTATTAAAAAACGCAATTAAATATAATTACAAACCAACAATTTGATCACATATTTGAAAAAACAACAACAACAACTACGTGAAACTTACTCAACATATATTAGATTTTGCAAATTGTATTTCAATAATTTGTTTGTGATTTTTGTAACGGATTTAAGACTGGTTCCTCTGGAATTCTGTCTGTTTGTCTGATTCTAAGCAAAACTGGTCTCCCAGTTTAAATGCTATATTGAAAAAATATGGAATTTATATGATTTTAACTGTAATTTGTTCGGTTTACTAAATCATAGATTTAGAACTTTCGTTTGAAAGATAAGCTCCCATATCAAAATATATTTTGCTATTCAAAGATGCTCTTGAAAATACGATAATTTGCGCAAGATTTTATATATGTAAAAATTAATAAATCAACAATTCATTGGCAACTCGTTGTGTGTCCTTATATTTATAATGCACTTAAAAAATGACGTAGCATTACACGTATCTGGTATATGTATATCACTTCCTTATATAGTATATATTTTGCTCATGCGAATGAGCTTATAGGATTGTTTCTTTTTTTTCAATAAAATATAAATAAAATGTGGCTGTTATTGTTATCGCAAGTTATCATTGTCAGCTTTGAAAAAATAACATTGACAATATGAATGTTTTTGAGTCATTCGCAAGAATTCAGTTATTGTAATAGCTATAACTATTATATATATATGTATGTGTGCTTGTGTGTTTTATCAATGATGGATTATGTCTGTTTTGTACCAATGATAATAATGAAAGGAGCATTAATCATGCCGTATCATTATGTCAATATAAATATATATTATATAAAGCATTTTAGTAAAATATAGAAATTGCCTAAAATTTTGGAAATTCAAAATATTAAGTTCCAAGACTGATTTGAGATAGTCAGTACATGATACTAAAATAAAATTTTGATCATATGTATTTCTTAACAGATCGTTGGCATCTTGCTCATTGTGTTGGGCTCCATAATGCTATCGAACTTTTCCCGCCTAAGTGATGTGGAGCAGCTAGCGAGCGCGGATACCATACCGATCTGTGTGACCGTTCTTGGTGGACTAATATTCATCGTATCCTTCTTTGGATGCTGTGGTGTCTGGCTACAGAATGCCTGCCTAACTGCAACGGTGGGTTCTCTACTGGTTTTCTTCAAGTTCAATTGAAGTTTTGACAGATATCATTTTTTTTTGTTTTTAGTATGGTACGTTGATGTTTTTATTGTTCGTGCTGCAATTGGTGTTAACCTGCTGGATCGCTGTAAACGAAAATGACTTTTTGAATGATATGCGTAAGCTGGTGGATACTGTTTGGCAGGAGAACACAGCGGCGACTGGATACCCGATGGGCGCATTGGAGCTCACTTTCAACTGCTGCGGCAACGAAGGCTACGCTAACTATTTCGATGTTGGCAATGGTGTTGTGCCCGGCACCTGCTGCGGTTACACGAATCGCGATCAGACGTGCCCATCTAGCATATACGAGAGTCGCCAAGGATGCAACCAGAAATTCTACAGCTTCTGGGATGATAACAATGCTATCGTTCTCTGGTCCGGCCTAGGCATTTGCATATACGAATTCATTGTGTTCATTTTAGCCGGCGCACTAGCCAATTGTATGCGCAAATCAAGTTCCGGTGGAGCAACGTACGGCTAAGAGCTATTTATAATTCAATGATGGCAAAGCTTTTGATCCTTAAAGTTTTTAAAGCACGATCTAAATTTGCATTTCTCTCTTAACTTGATTTTCATGATTAATATATATCAATGTTAAAGTGTATGTTTAATAAATATAAAAGTTATAAATTCTGTGAGGCATAGAATTTAAAAACCACAATTTTTTCATAATTATTTAAATAGAGAGAATCCATAAACCTAAATTTTTGTATAGCTATTTATAACTATTTAAAAAAAATTACGATTTTTAAAGTAAAGAAAAGTCGATTCTAGAATTCATCTCTTTGTTTCTCGCTTATGTGTGATATGGGAGAGTCTATACACATTTGTCGACTGATGTTTTTCTCATTAATCCGGCAAAGTAGCTTTTGGTATATTTTAACATCATATTTCTATATAAGCCCAAAAGTAGGCAGGGATTTACAGAGTTTTTTTTTTGTATATTTTTAACAAGTTTGGAAAAGCTTACTGCATTTGCTGATATGGAAAACAAAAGCTCGCAATGAAAGAACCTTTGTTACCGACGCAATAATAATCAGTTAGTAATTAGAAGCGAAAGTATTCAGATCAAAGTAAAAGTAATCACGAGCTCCTCATAATAATTAGTCACTATGGATTGCGGTGGAGTTTTTGTTAAATATGTGCTTTTTGTATTCAATATATTGTGTTTGGTAAGTTTAGTATGCAAATTAAGTGCAGTCGGAGGTTTTTTCCCTTATCATAAGCAGGAAAAAAAACTGTACTCGACATCTTAGATATGCCTACGTATATATGTATATATATATAGAAATATAGACATATATCGTATTACGTGAACAATATGTTCATGTATGTATCTACACATCTATTTTATCTTATCTCTTATTGACAAATAAATACAATTCATATTGTGAACTCTCTAGGAATGTCGTGATTTTCACATTACATGCCGATGTTAAGCGCAATTATAGCTAATGAGCAACATCGGAAGTTTTGAAACAGCCTATAGATGAGTAATGAAAAATAATGAGTAATACTACAGCAGATAAGTGATAACTGGACCAATTCTATTTGAAAACAATGCGGACGTTTATCTGTGCTCATTCGTTCGTTGGTAGGGATATCTTGAATAGAATATATATATATATATATGTATATATATATTGTGTCTGCCGCCCCCTTACGCAAATATGTATATTACACACTTTTGCCTCATTGTTTCGCTTTTAACCATTTTTTAGGGTTTGAGCACCCTTTTGTGAACTGATTGGGATAGAATATATTCATACATACATGCATTCAATGTTTCGTTTGTTCCATTTCAGATATGCGGTATTTTGCTTATTATATTTGGGTCAATTTTGGTGTCGCATATCAAACACTTTTCCGACTTCGAGGAAATTTACCAAGCGAATAGTGTGTCTATTATTATACTGATCCTCGGATGTGTTATCTTTATCGTTGCGTTCCTTGGATGCTGCGGTGCCATTCGCGAGGATGCCTGTGCCCTTACAACGGTAAATTATAAATAGTAATTAAAAGTTTTCACTTAATTACATTCTCTTATTTTGTTTTATTCGTAGTACTCAATCATCATGTTGTGTTTGTTCTTGTGTCAATTAGCTCTGATCATCTATATTTGGGTAGATCATGTGCAAATACGTGAGTCTCTCGATAAAGTCGTGGAAGCCATTTGGAATCAGAGGAAATCGTCGAATGCCTTAATGAATAGTCTGCAGACAACTGTCAGTATTTCAAAACGTCCAACAATGCACAGATTTATAATAAACTATTACGATATTCTACTAGTTACAATGCTGTGGCCTGAACAAATACTACGATTATGGAATACCCCCCTACCCAGCATCATGCTGTGATTCACCAACAAATGGTTCGTGCTCAGTGATCGCCGTCTACAGTCAGGGTTGCAGGGCTCGAGTTGATTATCTTTGGGACACAAATGCCAACATTATCAAATATGCTGGTCTGGGCGTAACGGCAATTGAGGTTTGTGATGATAAAACCTTTTACATTTCGTTCAGATACTAAGTTATTAATTTCCTTACAGTTGGTCGCGTTCATATTTGCATTCTGTTTGGCGAATCAAACCCGGAACAGCGACAGACGCCAAAATTATTAGTCTCGATTGTGACTAGATGGTAACCTATTGATTAGGAAATGTATTTCCTATTTCTGCGCACATGTATTTCTTAATATGTGGTATTTTCAACCGTAAACAACATTTCGATTGTGTTTTTATATATAGCAAAAATTAAATGTAAAACCAGATTATCAAATTGTGCTTGTATACAAGAACTAAGTTACTAATTTATACAGGATCAAATAATCCCGATTTTAAGCCTGCAGATCTTTTAGTCTCTGAGATTGGCTTGTTGGCTGTTGATACTGATCAAGAATATATAAACGGAGTAGGGTTGCCTTCTACATACGTTTATATAATTCATTATACCTCTTTTACCAATTTTTAATGAGGTCAGGGCAAGAAATAACATTTATTGTAGACACGCCGAAGATAAAATACCTTTGCAGACCTTCGACTACCTGCTGACACCTCAATTCTATTTTTTATGATATGATATATACATATATATTTATCCAATATACGATAATTTTTTTGCTTAACTAGTATCATATCAAGCCAATATGTTACCGATTACCGTAAGAACATTTAGAAAAATGTTGAGACCCTGGTATTAAATTCTTATCTATTGTTGCCCAGGAATCACACCAGAATTTGTTACCCAAAAATAACCGATTGAATTTATTAGAACCGAAAATACCGTATCAGAATCGAACACTGCATTGTAACGGTAAAATATCGGGTTCTGAATAGAGCTCTCACATAAAGCTTTTTGGTCGCCTATGCTTTGAGAGTGTCGACTGTCAATATGGAACACAAGCGAGCGGTCAGCATAACTATCGATCCTCCTACTTGAGTGTATGTATATATGTGCCCCTCACTGCCTTTCCACCTCGCAAGAAAGCAACAGGTTTACACTTGGTAATTTGGGTTTTCACTAAATTCTGCGCCAACTTGACAGGGCTGTCACATTGTCACGAACGATGTGTTAATGTGACCATACACCACTTTGCGATGTGTTGTCACTACGTGTTTGGTGTTAGCAAGGTTTCCTGAAAGTTTAAGCAAATCAAACGGCAGCATTATTTTACAAGATGTCCATTGGCCGTTATATAACAAATAATGTCACTTCTAAGCATTTAATTTGAATTTAGATTATCAATACAAAAAATATCAAGACTGGTTTTAATTAAACATTTTTGTGGTTAACAAACCTGGTCACACTGTAAACCAGTTTTCAGTATTTGCCTATTCGTTTTCTTTGAGTCAAATCAAAAACAGTTTTTCGTCGAAACAGACGTGCCGCGCGCGTATCAACTTGTAAAAAAAGAATCCAGAAAAGGTAATGTTATTAAGTATTAAGTGGCAAAGTGCAACTAACCTAATAAGTGAATAAGCTATATATATATATATATATATTTATACATATTATATGTATATATGTGCGTACAAATGCCTATCTGCTTTCGATTAAATTGCTTTGGACTACCTGAGATGCTGCAGCTGCATAAGCAGCTGCGCGTAGGAGACGCATGTGAAAGTGGTTGAAAACGGAAAGTGCAAAAGCACATTTCAAATAAAGACGACACACTTGAAAAGTTATTTATTGCGTGCAAGAAATAATGCAACAAAAATAAAACAACACAACATTTAATGAAAATGAAATGACAAAACTTCGTTGTTGTTGGTGATGCTGCTGCTTTTGTTATCTGTGATAGAGTGCAATGAACAATGTAATACATATATACATATACACACACATATATATATATATATATATACAAACATCAATATATATGTACATATGTACATAAATACATTTTGTAGCCTTGGTTGATGTTGTTGTGTGGTTGGCAAGACAACCCACGAACGGTTGGAAGGAAGGGATCAGAGAAGTTTACGGCGTAAACAAGTATAAATGCGCAATAATTTCACGTACAATTAAATTGTCTTCAATTGTTGCTAATCGTGACGCATACAAGAGATTTTTGCAAATCAAATATTTAAAGTACCGAATCATGAGTTCAAAATTCGAATTATAAAAATATAAAAAGTGCGCCGTATTATTAATAATAATTGTTTTTTTTTTTTTACGAGGCGAACCGGTTTTTAGCGGTTACGAATAAATCGCATAATCCACTAGCAAACACAATCTTAATCATGTGTCTCTTGAATTAATATAATAAATATTAAAGTTAATATACATATGTATATAAATAAGCACTTTAAGCAAACACCAAATGAGCATAACAATAAATAGAGAAACCCCAAGGCACCCAGTTAAAAAACGCATCCAAATTTATGCAATAAATAATGGAAAAAAAAACAAGTTTATAGTTGTAGATTAATTTTTACACAATTTGAACACTCTGTTGTATAAAATTAATTAACTGAATCAAATACAAATCATGTTAATCATATGCATTGTTCGCTTATATAACGCCTAATGTCCCTCGTTGTTGACATAATTTGAACTTGCTCGACAGCTTAACTAATAAGACAACGCAATTTAAATATGCTTAATTTCTTATATTTTTCACTTTCATTTCATGCATTGCAGGAAACAAAAGCTATAACAAAATGGATTGCGGAACGTCTATGGTTAAATACATACTCTTCGTATTCAATACCATCGTGTCGGTGAGTAAAAGTATAAACGAAATTCTATAACAATATTAATGGTTATTTTAATCAGGAAGATACATAAATATGCACATTTAAATGTATTAGTTATTACTGGGCATGTTTTTATTTTTTTCTTCGAATTTTAAATGTTTTTGGAATGTAAATCCAGTTTGGATCGCAGTTGGTCCTCAAGCAAACTTGTTTTTTGTTTTTGTCCCCTCGATTTTGGCTCGTTGCGGCTATGACATCATCGTTTTTATATAATACGTGTGTATTCAGCTTCCCAACAGAGACCCACACTCACAATGTGTGTGTAGCTCTATCTGTATCTGTATCTGTAACAAAATGCTGATGTAGGCCTTTGCTTGTAGCTGGCTTCATCAATTTCAGTGTTTATGAGCGTTTCTTTCGCTGCTTTATTTGCTTATTTTCTTAAGCTACCATTATGCACACAATAGCCACAGATTTGTTTGGAACTTGAATTGTGTAAATATTTTGAGACTTTATTTAATTAGCCAGAATTCAGTGATGCATGATGTCATATGGAGAAATGAATCAGCTTCCGTCTCAATCACTACTATTCACTATTTCGTGATAAGATGAATGCTAACTGTGCAATTGTTGTGCTACTTTGATCAGCAGATATGACTCAACGTCATCAATATTGAAAACACAACTACAACTATAACAACCACAACCATATTGTGGCTATGAAATTAGCAACGCATTTCAAATATTAATTAAGGCAAATATTTGTACATACACAGTAATGAAAAACACACCTTTAAATAATATATATAAAAAAATGCCGATGTGTGTATCAACACATATATAAATATATTTACATACATACGTACTTACATATCTAAATATATATATATATTTCTGTTAACATTTTTAAATCGTCGAATAATTGACGCTTTTGTGAAACAGAAAGCAAAGCAAAAAACAGAAAATGAACGCTTCGACGCCAAGCTCAACGAGTTAATAAATAAATGAATAAGTCAGCAGAATGAAAACTTGTTGCAATACCCAGCAACTGGTGGAAAGAACAAGCACACTTTATTTATATACATTCATACATATATACATACATACATACTTCACATTTACACGTGCAACTCGGCTCAGGTTGTTTGCCTGCCTGGCCTGTCTGCCTTTCCATATATATATATATATATCTGATGCAGACATCGACTTGACTGTGTGTGTATGTGTGTATGTGTGTGTGTGTGTGTGTGTGTACATAACACACTTGATAGTTAAGGCAAGCAAATTAAAAGACCACAACAAAAAGCCGCCTTCGAGCGTCGCTTGGCCTGGCCAAAAAAAAACAATGTTATAAAATAAGAAAGCCCGCCAATTATTGTAGTAGTCGAAGTATTAATACACTTGCTTGAGATGTAATAAAATCATACATCAATCAAAACTCAAGTGAGATCTTGATATAAGCCAGAAAGTATTTGGGTTTGCATACAAAAATCAGTTTCCGGGCATTCATTCATTTCTATGAGTCGTTCCAGATACAAAGAGAAATATACAAACGGACAGGCGAATTTGCTCAGTTTGACATCATTCTCAAAAGTGTACTCGGTGACACTTTCGATCTATATCCAATGCTTATCGTGTTGTATGTTTAAGTTATGATACTCTCTGTTAGAGTATGAACAACACAAAAAAAAAAAAACCAGGCAACGCTTGAGAAAGCACGAAAACATTGTGCAATTCGCTTGTTTAAATACAAAAGGGAAACTACAGGTAACCTATACATATGCAGATACAGATACATGTAGACTCTTACTCATACAACGTTAATTTGTCTAAATGGTTTTGTGTGTTTTACCCAGATTCAGTTACTCATTCGAGTCTCAGTGTGTGTATTTCTGTATATTTCTCACGTCTGACTCTCAAGTACGCGTTAGAACTTGAGCTGCGGCCGGCGACAAAGGCGAATGAAAAAAGCCCAACTGACATTGCCATAGCACATACATATAGACATATATATGTCACGATTTGTCTAAATTTTGCTGGCATTATCGCTTTTAAGCGAAGCCAACCTTCAACGAGGAATCTTTATCTGTTAATGAGTAATTTTCTAAATTAGACTATAACCAATGCGGAAATATATTGAATCTAATTAAACTGTTCAAACAAACGCAAATAATATTTTTAATAGCTCAACAATTGTAAAATCGTAATAATTATTGAAATCATTAAACAGTTGGCTTTTATTTTTAATTTGTAAGTAGGATTGTAAAGTGTATGTTTTATTCGATTTGAGCTGTGCAATAAATTTCTCGAGCATTAATTTCATTTCGCCGCTTGTTATTTTTGTTATGGTTGCTTTTTTCCCATTTAAAAGTTAATATGGTTGTATTGCTGTGTCGTGTTCTAGAACTATAAATACGTGTAGTGTTTAATTATTTTCGAAATTGCGATACGCTTTTAATCAGAATGTCACATGTTTTTTGATCACGCATACGTCCTGTTGCACAAGCAGATGCTTGTGTGTGGCAGCAACTTGTACTTGTCTACGACTATATCTGGCTTGGCATTTGTTGTTCGCCTGTGATAACTGCCAAGATACTAAGTGCAAACGACAAGTGACAAACAGCGTACAGACAACTCACTACAAGCTACACAGACTTCAATTCGGCGCCGCTTGGTCGACGGGGCTTTTTTATTTATTTTTATTTTTGGGTGTGGTCGGTCCCCAAACAGCGCATTGAATTTCTTCTCTTCTTGTGCGTATTTATTTATTGCAATTGAATAGCCTCAAATATGCTTGAGCTCTCTCGAGGGTTGTTGCTCAAACTGCCCCCAAAAATGAGCTCAGACTTTCAAGAAAGTTTTTTTTTTGTCTATACCCTGTACTAACTCAAAGCGATCATATTTGTACTTACAAAATGTATTTATGTGTATTTATGAAGAGCGAAACATATGTACAATATAAATTGGCTACTTCATCTACTAATACTAGTCCATCGATTTAATGAAGAGTATCTCCAAGTGAGATACCTTTTTGGATTTTTGCCCAGGCTTGGCAGTGAACAAAGAGAGTATTATTAACCAACTCTGTTTGCTTTGGCAATTTGCATTCAAAGTATTTCAGAGACCATGACGTCATGAGCTACCAAAAATGTAACTCGGCGAACGGGGAAGCTGCTGCTAAGCTGAAGCTATGTTTTTATGTATAAGTATTTGTATGTTCCCTGTGGGGATTGTCTGTTTTTAAAATTCGTCAGTTGACAAGAGCTATTTGCACGTGATGTTTTCATTGGGCAGTGCTCTTGTTTTTGTAAACTAGAGCAATTAACGGCCTAATTAGGCAAACACTGCTTTTCATGCGGCTATTTGGGTCAATGATGCCAGAGTTTGGACAAGACATGTTCTTAGCTGAGTGTCGCTGCTTCAATTCAGTACACAAATACAATTTTTAACGCCCACAAACTGGCAAATGGAGCAACCCACACAGATATTCAGATACAGATAGAGATACAGATGCAAAAATCGCATGAGATCCAAACAGCTACAGCTATAGATATGGACACAGAAAGAAGCATGCAAACGTGGGTATAATGAAATCAAGCAAATTCAATTAATGGCACAGCAACAATTTTTTTGCTGCCTGCAGCTCAGATACGAATTAAGTAAAACATTTTTGCAACAGCAACGATCACAACAACAATAGTAATGACAGCCAATATAAAACACACAATTTGCATAAATTTGACGTAAATTGCTATTCACCTTGAACTTTTGGATTTTTTACAGCTGTTGGCAGCTGAGATTTTTTTTTTTTTATATATTAGATGCTTTTTATCTTATCAACGGTGAACTAATGTGCGTATGCTTAGTGAAAACAAACAGAGGAAGCTTAGATGGCGCCCAAATATTTGTAGTTAGTTTTTAGATCAGTATATGAGACATACATTTGTACTTCATTGTTTGCGTGTGCATTTCGTATTTAATGATAGCTCTTGTTATTTAATTCTAACTCAACTAACGCAACTAGTTAGCTGCTTGCATTACGTAACCAGCATTACGACTGCTTATTTTAATAGCCATTAGCCACGTACTGTGCCGTCTCTTATCCCTGAGGTCAGAGTGACGGGCCCACTAGTAATTAAGAATTTATATAATTTATCTTTAGCATGCTAAATGACCCTTTCTCGCTCCAGAGTTCTTATTTTTTTTTTTTTTTTTGCTCTTTCAATTAACCATAATTAGAGCAACATTGTTGAATTCAATTGTCGACCGTCTACGGCAGCAACAAGTGCAGCAATTGCAGTCTGGCGTTGCTATTATGGCCGCTTTGTGACTCGATGTGTCATTTGTGGCACCTACTAAGTATTTACAGTGACAGACTTGAGTTGATTCAACTTTACTCAGATAACAGCCCCTTAACAACAACATCTCTAACTATTCTCTTCAAGCTTTTTAAACTGAGAGCAGCTGCTAGAATTATCTTAATCGGAAAGCGTCACATGAAATAAGTTCGCAATGCTTTGAAATATTTAAGATATAATCATTTTTATTTTTTGTCAATATTATATTACGAATCACATAATGTGTATTCCTATTTACTTTCAGATTATCGGCATATTGGGCATTGTCTATGGCGTGCTCATCCTGCAGAGCATTGGCACCATCGAGGTCAATGGACAGGTCGGATTCCCACCGCAGGCAGCATTGCCTATTATTATGATCACCCTGGGCTCGGTTGTGGTATTCATCTCATTCCTGGGTTGCTGTGGAGCAATACGCGAATCTGTGTGTATGACCATGAGCTATGCCGTGTGCCTGCTGATCCTGCTCATTCTGCAATTGACAATTGTGGTGCTGCTGTTCACCAATAAGGAGAAGTTTGATACCGCCATGGGTGATGTGATTGACAAGGCCTGGGAATCGCGGGAGGCACGTGAGGGTGGTGTTTTTGATGCCATTCAGAAATCGGTATGTGATGACCGCAAACCTATTACACCTAATGCAATCGCTTAACTTTTGAACTGGATGTTTTTCAAACAGCTGCATTGCTGCGGACGCAATGGTCCCCAGGATTATACGGTTTCCGTGTTCACCCAGGGATTGCCAGCGAGCTGCTGCGAAGGCACCTGCCTTAACCCATTGAACTATTATGGCGGTTGCCATGCCAAGTTTGTTGACTTCATGTCCGGCAGTAGTGAGAAGGCCAAATTCTTTGGACTGGGCTTGATTGGTGTGGAGGTGAGTTGACTCAGCTGTGGTATTTGTTCATAAATAATGATATTATTTTGTTTTTATTTGTATAGCTGATTGGATTCATCTTCGCCTGTTGCCTGGCCAACAATGTGCGCAACCACAAGCGCCGTAATGGCTACTAAAACAAAATTTGCAACACCCACTATGCGCATACACACATAAACATGCACATGGCATACAAACACACACATTCGCATTAATTCTTTAATATGTATTGTCGTAGAACGCACATGAGGAAAATTAAAAACAATTCAGAATATATTTGAAGTTAATCGTTTGGCTGGACAAATATTTAAGTTATTTCTTTAAAAAAAAGTTTGCAACTGAATGAAAGATTAAGTTAAATCGAGAAATACTTATTGTAAGACGCTTACAGTTTGTACAACCATCTATTTTGTATCTAATTGCTCTTAAGCTAAATCAAACGAGTCCAAAGTCGTTGTACAAATCAACAAAATAACAATAAACAAACACTGCTACAACATAAAATAAAAAATCAACAAAGTTACAACTCAATAAGAGCAATCTTAATGTTAAAGTTTATCTTTTTTCTTTTCATTTTTTTAAATTTATATACATATATACAATGTAGTGTTAAAGCCCTATGCTATATTTGTACCAGTTGGCAAAAACATGTGTCCAAAACCATATATTTATATTTACATACTTATGTATTATATATGTATACATACATTAAAAGCTGTTCATCATTTTACTTGTACATTGGAATCTCTTAAATTTTTAACAATAATTCAAGTGAATTGTAAAATGCATAACCAATAATAAAAAAACAGACAAACTCGAATTACATACAACGTGAATGAATAAAGCATTTAAATCGTATTTATATACATATACAATAATAAAATAAAAAACGATACACAAATTTTCCGTGTTTGTTTTAATAAGTATATATAAACCTTGTGTGTACCTTTGCCATGCAAATCATTCGCGCATTGTAGCAGCTTTTGTTGTGCCCCCCAGCCGTTGACATGGCAGCAACAGTTCTGACCTTCAGTTTCTTAAAACATTTTGTTTACTGTGCCACGGACATACAAATATGTGTAGTTGTGATTGCGATAAGCTTGTGGATATTTGAGTATATACAAGTATACATATTGAATTCCAGCTCGCATAATCAATTTCCATGTGAAATACTTTTAGACTTTTGCATTTTTCGCTAATATGATTAAACCAAATTTTATTTTATTTAAATCAAGAATGGACTACATTTTTTTTTTAACTCATCAATTTTTAGAGGTGTTTGATTCGTGTGGTAAATGTTATTTTAATCAGAGATACAATCTATAGCCAGAATATGACTGGTAATTTTCATATTATTCAGTTAAGGCACTATATGAATTTTGATTATATCTGGTGGATGTATGGATTTTGTGTTGATAGCGTGTTGAAATTTATATGAACCGAAGTCGTAAATGAATTACTTAATTTTCCCTCTCAACTTTCCCGTTGGCACACAAAACTGTTTATGACTGTGACACGGAATTTATGAAAGTGAAGGCTGTAATTCAGTCCGTTAGTTTAATCGAAAGAGTGTTAAAAGGCAGGAGATGAACCAATTTGATTAATTATCTCATTTATAAATGACATACACAGTACTGAATAAAATGCCATATTTGACAGGCGTTCTGCTGGTACCTTTAATTTTGTCCTGCATTATCCGTTTAGACTGAGTGGACTAAATATGTTGAAAATTGTTCGCAAAATAGCTCTATTTTTTTCTTTATTCTACAACGTTCTTATTTTGGTGATGGTTATAACGTATCTGTTACAATGCCCTCATTGCGAAACTGACCAGTCAGGTAGGCCTTAAACTATATAAATATGATTAATTGGATTTTAATAATGGCTTTTGCTTAAGGTGAATATCCGAAGCACTGCGACGATGTAAATTATATATATATATTTTATTTTCCAATACTGATTGCTGCTCTATATATAATAGCGACCGATCAAAGTGTAAGTACGGATTATATATTCATATATATACATTTTGGGTGCATCCCCGCAATTGTCTTTATTCAGAGCATCTGCTACTTGACAACATGGCTTCTAATCCAAACGGTTCTCACATTTACCAGTTGCTTCCTCTTTGATTGCTACCATCCCTTCTATACAGCTAACATGAAAAACAACAATATTGTTGGCCTTGGTAAGCTTATCTCTTACATTTACATATATTCATTTATGTGATTGATTTAACAATTGTATTGTCTTGCAGAAAGCCTTCTCCTTTCGTTTGGATTGTTTGCTTATCATTATTTAAAAGTTTTATCCAAGTCAGAAGCGAAGCCCGATGAAAATCCAACGGAACTAACTGCTTAGTTTTAATTCAAAGAGTCGTAATTATAATGGTTTTAACAATTACAAATAGTTAGCGACGATATTGTATTTATATTATGCATAATCAATATATAAATCTTGGAAATCGATATTGATAATAAACTGTCTGATTGATTAAGTAACTGAAAAACAGTAATGCTTATAAAGCAGAAACTGTAGCACCTATAGTTTATGCGTCTATAGTTTATGTTTAATACCGAGTTTTATAAACTTTGACCAGCAAGTAGGAGTTATTAGTCCGTATAGAAGCTTTTATACGACAATATAATAGTTTTTCTTTTAACGAAAATATAAATATTTTGTCAAGTGTGAGCTGGCCTTAATAAATTCGTTTTCACAAGTGACAATGCAATGAGATTATATGATAATTAAATTAATGACATAATATTATATTATGACCAGACATTCCTATAATTAATACTGTTTACACATTTTCGATTATAATTAAATAGAGCAGGTATATTCCAATCAAATATTTCGGCATTTGCACTGTGACTTTCTACAGTTAGGATGTGTAGCCTTTTTTTGATAGTAATTTTCATGGCAGTCGTTGCTTATAATTTTCTTTCTTTCGCAGTATGTATGACATTAGTACTATCTGAAGAAGATGACGCTGACGAAGAAGGAGGTGATATTAAATCTTTTTAATAACCTATATATAAATATATATATTTATTTTTATTTATAGCTTCCAGTGATTCTTTGTTGGTTATACTGTACGTAGCGCAATTGGCCAATGCCATTTATGGACTAGCATTAGTATGCTGTAAGGTCAAGGTAATGTATATTCAATTAAAAATACATTTATACATATATAAAAATATATATAAATATGTATATATTTGGAGATGTTTTTATATACCTAGGTGAAAACCGTAGTATTGGGATGGATTTTCGTTGCTTTCGTCGCGATTATGATATCATCCAGTTTTGACATCTGGTTCGTATTTCAGAACACATTCCAATTCGATGCCTATGGGCTCATCACTTGTGGATTTATTAAAGGTAGTATGATTTATATCAAAATTATCATCTTTTACTACCATTGCTCTCTTATTCCATTAGTATTCGGATTCTCTTCTTTGTATGTGGTATTAAATTATTTTCGTGAACGCGTGGTCACTTCAAAAATAGATCCAACTGTCTAAATAATATTCGAAAATTAAAGCGTTATTATATTTCTGAGTATGATTGTTGCTGAGCTTTTGTTTTTGTATTTACTTGCAATGAAAGCTTTGCGAAGTTTTGTCCGTGATGGTGGTGAAAACGGAAAAAGGTAACGTTTCATATTAAATTCAAACTCCCATGCTCTTATCGTGCACATTTGTGACGACATGTGCGAGAGCGAAATCTTGTACGAGGAGCGAAAAGCTCAATAGAGCTTGAATGCCGGCAACGGCTGTCTGACAACGCGTCGAAACAGAAAGTTTCGAACGCTCAGTTATTCATCGGACGCGGAGCGAAATTGTGTCAGAGTTTTGGGAAAGCGTCGCGTCATATTCTTGATATAATATCTCTGTGTATACATATATATTTTGAGCATAGACGCACCTTTGGAATATGTTAATGGTGTATATATACGCACAATTGCAAAGTGTGGGAGCTCAATAAAGCTAGTGATTTTTTATAAATAGTATTGACATCATGAGCCATTGATTTATTTAAATTTCAAATAAATCAAATTAAAAATTCAAGCTGGTATTCAAAAGATTGCCTCATGATCTCATATAAATATACGAATCATCATCAAATGTGCCAAGAGCGCAGAGCACTCACTTAAGAGTAGTTAAAGAGAGCGACGCAACGGAGCGACTCGAATATCATCGTGAAACCAAAACAAAAAACTCGTTTTTCTTTTATTTTTTTGAGCACTGCGCAAGCAGCTCAGCATTGCTCACACACACAGGAATTTCAAGCATTCTTCAGTGAGACAGTGTCAGAGAAAGAAACTCCAACTTGTCGATATAGAATGGCGTCCACAACGGCTTACAAGATTTTGGCCTATTCGTTGCAAGTACTTTGTACGGTAAGTTAATTGATTGCCTTCAATTGTCGGCGACAATACCATTTTGTTTGTTTGTTTTGTTGTTTGCCAATTATGTCAATAGCCTCAATTGTATTGTTGCTAAACACGAAAGTATAAACTGACCACTTGACTCAATTTTCTTATACATACACATATTCGATTATGACGCCACGGCACATTCATTATCGCAATTTTGGACGTAGTTTTGCCAAGGTCTTGGCTTGCCAACCATTGCTATCGTTTTATTAAGTAATTCAGCCGGTCCCCCGAGTATATTTTTTATTTACTTGATATTTCAGTTGAGATCTCAGCTATGCTGTATATAAAAAACCAGATCGTCAACAAACTTTATGGGACAGGATGTACTTAATTTCAATTTATTTCAAGTCTTGTCGGTTTGGCTTGGTGCGCCAATAGAGTTAAAAACACCTTATCACATCCCCAATGTCAAATAGCGTTTTCTGAATCAATATTAACATCTTTGTTTATTGTTCTGTGCACATTTTTCGATTGATAGTTTATTTTAAATTTTTAATTACAGACAAACGTTGAGAATATACACATGTTATTTAGGCCACCAAATAAATATCTACAAAATATGGTTTAAATCTTCTGCTTGTATTTCAACACTAAAAACATTCAGTCCCAATTAATAATGGGTTTTTATGGTTGGTTGGATTTGTATAATTTAATAAGAATTCGCACATATATCAAATTTAATTTGAAAATTAAGTAAACTTTATCTGCTCGAGGTATAAGAGAATTGTTACTCTGCATTTTTTTTGATAATGATAATTTATTAAAAATTTCAGCGCCCGTCGGGCTAATCTTTACTAAGCTGTGTGTCGGTATTAGACCTTGCTTGTGTGTTAATTCAAATCAGAATTTATTACTCATATGACAGGAAATCGAACAAAATACAAAAAACAAACAGAGCCGATGAGCATTTGTTAAATGTTTTCCATGATTTTTTCTTACTCTGTACTCGGTTGACAATAGGACTAATTTAGATTCAGTTAAGTATGTATAAGATAAGTAGCATATACTTTTTGATTTAGAAATGTTTGTCCCTTAGTTTGTCTGTTTGAAATTATGAATAAATAAAATAAATGAGAATAAATTCTTCTAGAATTCTTGTACATATTTCAAAAACGTATGTTGCATATACATTTACATATGGTACAGGGTATTGCCTAGCGGCGCTTCCTGACCTTTTATGTTAGCGTCTCCTTTTAGTTCTTGCTGCTGTAGAATTTTCAGACGCCAGCCAGACTAGTCTGTCGGACGCCTATGTAGCCTTAGCTTGAGTGGCTATTAATATGATAACATACACACACACACACACACACACACACATAAACAAACACAGAAGACAAACGTATATAAGTGTCTCGGACGACATTTTTGTTTTGGGTAAGGTCAAAGGCATAAAAGTAGTACAATGTTTTGGAATTGCCTTTTTGCTGTTTATTATTTATTTCGAATTTCGTTATGATTGAGCTTTTGTTCAATTCTTTATGCTTACAGTTGCTGGCACTGGTGCTGATATCCTTTGGCGTCTACATAATGTCCTACGAAACAAATGAGATTGGCAATATTGTATCCGTTTTCTATATTGGATTTGGCACTGCCGCCATTATCATGCTTCTATGGGGCTATCTGTCCGCTTGGAGGGAGAATGTCTGCTGTACAGTGTCTGTAAGTAGTTAACCCACTATGACATCAACCATAATACCTTAATTGATGTATCTACCTTTGTGCCATAGTTTATCACTATTTTGTATGTGGTAATCATTGTGCAGCTGGCAGGTTTATGTTTGCTCGCCCAGAAAGAAAGCACAGCAGCCTCGAATTTGGCCAACTCCTTGGAAGCGACATGGGAGGAGGAGCTGAACAGTCCTGGCGCGATGTCATTGTATGAGAACTGGGTGAGTTGTCCTTACTCAACTTGTACATCAAAGATTTGCAACACTATAAATTCTATTTGCATTTGTAGTTCCAATGCTGTGGGCGCGGTAGTCCTCAGGATTATATTGTTAATGAACGCCTGCCGCCTGCAACCTGTTTCCGGGATCATGACAGAAGCAAGGCGGACAATCTGATCCATACGGGCTGCCGTGTGGAGTTTGAGAACTATTGGCAGAATTTGTTGGGAATTTTTAATATTATTGGCTGGGTCCTTGTCGCCGTTGAGGTAAGTTTCCAATATAGTATATTGTATATATCGTTCCCATATGCAAGCTTCTAACTTTTCATAATTCTTTTGCAGTTGATCCTTAGCTTTGTGTCCTGCGGTCTTTGCAACAGCATTCGCAATGATCGCCGTCGAACATACTACTAAGGATTTTGTCCACTCTGGAATTTGCATTTGTTGAAATTGATGTGCTTCAAATATGTTATTATATGGTGTTTAAATTATTATGCTATTTTTAAATGATGTTAACCGAAAGCAAGTTAAAAGTTTCAAAAATGTACCTCAAAATTTGAACCACTATTGAAAATGTTGCAAGCTAGGGAAATATTACAGTGTAAATTGCTTTTGATGTACATACATATATACATTTAGTATTGTTATGAAACGAGTTGCTATTTATAATAAATAATCACCAAAAACAAACGATTTTCAAATTAAACTTATTTTTAAGATATACGAAAATTAATTAATAAAATGAATTTATTTGAATATTGATTTGTAATAAATATAATAAATCTATAATTAATAAGTTTATCATTTGACCGTCAATTGCTGGCTCAATGTTAACTTCTCGTCGGCTGATTTCATACAAACGCAATGAATCATCAGATGCAAGCCTTGCGGCATTTACATGTACATATATATTTATATATATTCTAAATTCATACATTCGCTCTGTCAACCGATCGTTGAATCGTTGTGTATGCGCTGAAAAGTATGTAAAACACACATAAAAATAGCGGCAACACAAAAGTTGTTGTCGCTTTGAGTTTTTTATTTAAAATAGTATGTCTACAATGTAGACTCTACATATATATATATATATATATATAATTCTGTAGCGGAAACGATGGAAACGGAACGAACGACTGAACCCCTCTCTGGGACGACGCCCATGCATGACGAAAGCACGCGCGCATTTTTTTCTGTTTCTGTTTCTGTTTCTGTTCAGCAACGTTCCGGCAACCGTTTCGTTTCCATGCTTTTCGCTAAAAGTTTTCGCTATCAACAAATCAGTTAAGATTCGTGCGCGAACATGACGGGTTTGGTTTCCAGAGTAACCGTTAAAAGCTGAAATAAATATTTTGAATTTCTAACAAGTGTTTTTCTTGCGCGTTGCCAAGTGCTTCGGGCCAACTGAGTGCACCAGTGAAAATCAAATATAAAAAGCTGAATTCTTTCGAGTATCTCGTGTTAGAAAGATACATAAAAATAGCATTTGAAGAGTGCATTTTGGCAAAGCGAATTGTAAAATAACAAAAAACAGACACAGCAACAAAATGGCCTGCTCCACAAAAGTTTTGAAAGTATTCGCCCTGATCTGGGATATAATCTATGTGGTAAGTTTGCAAATAATATAGTTATGAATTTTATTGACAGAAACTTGAGGAGGTAGGCTTAACAAAAGGGGATTAGTTCTGGTTTGTTGGCGGAAATGTTATGGCTTTTAATTTCATATGCAAATTACTTCTTAAATCGCAGAGTGTTGTAAATGGTATAAAACCTCATAATTATAATAGCATTAAAAGACATAATTACATAAAAAAAGACAAGTTTCATTAGCCACAGCTTAGACTCCGCGAGTTTACTAACCTCAACTTGAAAGTGTCTACTGGACCTAACTAGCTGAAGGCCATAACTTTAGACCTGATTGTGTGCAAGTGTGTACTTTTCTAAATAACTGTTAATTACATATATTGACGAGAGTTGTTTGTATAATTTATATTCCTATAATTACACAATTTCATTCACACCCACCCAGCTCATCAGCAGACATTGCTTTGATGTTTAAACAATTTACGAAAAGGTTGGCAATTGTTTATCTGTTTAAAGTACATAACATAGGCCTTGACTTCATCACATAAATATTTATTGTTGTGTAATTAATGCGCCCAAACAGACGATCTGATAACGGTCGATACAAGTTAATACTGCAGATGGAATTACAGTTTGATTGAATTGCTAAATGTTTGGCTGGCGTTTCAATTACATTTGAAGGTTTTTCTGTTTACTATTAAAATAATACGCTGCGCTATTCTTATGTTAATTTGCTTAGACTGGGCGCAGCTTATCGAATTTCAGACATAAAATTTAGAATAAAACGTTCAAGTTAATTTTTATGTGCTTGATACTGACAAGTTGTGGGTTTTCAATCGAGTTGGGCGTGTATCGTGAAACGCTTGGAGAAACATAATACTATAAAAACGAATTATAATGCATATATAGTAAAATATTCAAAGTTTCTTCGATTACCAAATAATAAGCAGATACATATACTTTTATACTCTAATAGAATAAATTTATAGATACAAAAATATTGTAAAAATTTCGTCTGGGGATTGGTTGCTAACGCTCCTAATTCTCTACGCCCTCACCTCCAGCGCTTATGGTCTTTGATTCACATAACTGTGGCTTTCCAAAAGTTGTCCATGCTTTTTAAAGCAACGCTGCACAAAGAGAATATTTTTTGTTATTATGACGTTTGCCTTAATTGTGTTTTGTCTTTATGCCTAATATTAAACCACATGTTAGAAATTGCCCCATGCTGAACTCACTTAATTTATTGTTTATTTCTTTTGGTACTGTATTTGTTTTAAAATAAAAATATTTTTGCTTATGCGTTCAGCGGCAAAAATAAAATTGAAATGAAAAAAAAATAACAAACTTGGTCACCCACGCCCCAAAACTTGGCCCTGAGCAAAAGGCGGTCAAAATATGTGTATGTGTGCACACAGAGTCGCGTCATTACTCCTAGCCACATAGAATTTTTAGTATATTTGACTTTTGGCTGGTGAATTTGTGCGTGTGTTGTTTTTTTTATATTTTGTTTTGTGTGTTTCAGAAACTGAAAATTTGTTGATGTCATTTTCAGACGATCTGGCGTTGCAAAATTCAAAATATACATATTTTTCGGCAATAACTGTAGGGGAAAAACCAACAAAAAAAATTCCAAAAATGTGTGCCACACAAGAATGCCAAAGGAAATGCCGAAAAGAAACGGCGCACCACGCGGCGTATGCGTAACTTTTCCGCATTGGTTCCATGCGAGTAAGCTTAGATTTACGGACGGGCTGCCCTCCAGTTGTTGATCTTGTTGTTGTTGTTGTTGGTTTTTTCGCTTAAAAATTACGTTATTCGGTGCGGCTGCGTGTTTTAATTAAATGCCAGCTGTGCCAATAGGCTCGACATGCATTTTAGGTAGGGCACAACCTTTTTCTCTCTGTTTTTTACTATTTTTTTTTTTTTCTGTATTTGTATTTATGTTGTCTGGGGTTTTGTTAAAACCCACATAAATCTCAGCAAACGCTCTTCGCTCAATGACACTTTTGTAATTATTCTAGTTTAACGCGGTTCTACGCCGTTTTTAGTTTTTTTTTTGGCCACATGCTGTTCGCATTTCCAACTGAGCACTGAGCGAGTGTTTGGTGTGTGAGCGTTTTTATTTTATTGGTAAGTCCGCCAAAGTCTAATCAGCCTCTGTGCTCCGTTTGGCTTATCAGCTGCAATATGCAAATGAGCATTTGCCACTTGTCTGGCCTTGCTTTCGCACTTATGTCGATCTCTATTTGATAATTGCATTTAATTGTTTGTCTGCTGGACAAATTAGAGCAAATAATTTGAGTTCATTAATGCAAACAACAATCGCCACAATGTCCATCGATCAAACTAATTCAAATTAGCACAACACAAAGTGAACAATCTAGATTAAAGTCAACATTAAGCTAGCTAGCTTCTCGGAATTAATAAAATTATATTATACAAATACAGTCAGTCGCTGCTTTGCTAACAACAAATATTAACTAATAATCCCACATTGGTTTGTATATATATGTATGTATCTAACATCAGTATTTATCTAATAAGTTAAATAAGTTCAGTGTACATATGATACAAAGTTTATAAGAATTATTATTTAACAATTTGCTGTTGCTGTGCGACAATTCAACTCTTATCGGTTTTATTACGCAGACCCCGAGTGTTAACTACGAGAGATAGTAGATGTGATCTAATGTTTGTTTACGATTAAATGAGACAATACTTAAGTTAAGTAATTAACTTGAGGCCTTTTAGGCATGCGAAAGTTGCGAATAAATTCATGTGGAAGGCATGACGTATGTACGAATGGATTCATTGCCATTGCCACTTTGATTCTAATTTTGTATGATCGGTTGACAGTCCATTTCACACTTAAGAATTATGACAGCGGCGTTCGGCCCTTAGCAATTGGGCGCCATGTGCAATAAATAATAATTAAATGGCGTTGTTTGTGTACATAATGCCAGATGAAGCAGAAGGCTTAGCATGAAATTATGTACATGTGTTGTTATCTACGATGAGTTGTGAACACTTTATCAGTATTGAATTTATGACTTTGTCTCTGGTGCTCATCAAGTTCTTTGTTTACAAACAACGAGTAGGTTGGTGGCATACAAATTACTTTGGTGACTACTTAATACAATGTCCATTCACATTTGATGTCTATCAATATTTTTCTTGGCCATATTTAGTTGTGGCATTCATTAAAATGCGGTTCGTTAGGCAGCCAGCAATTAAAATTGTCTGTACTAAGCTATTGGATAATTTGCATAATAGTAATACTAGAAAGAGAGAGAGAGAGAGAGAGAGAGAGGTACAAACAGAGAGAGAGACAGAGGCAACAAATATTATCGAACATTTTATGAATTGACGACCTTAATTCAATTACACCATTGAGCCTTAAAAGGCACAGCTCGACAAAGATAAAAACATGTATTTATGAAGACATCGCAACCAGTTATGGCAACAAATTACAGTATATGTCAAATGCGTTTGCGCTAGACAAACCCAAAAAATGTTTAATAACAAATGTATACAATAAGATTAACTCAACATGATAAATCACACAAAATTTGTCATAATTACCTCGTTGCGGACTAAGGCTATGGCAAATCTGAAAGCCATTGTCACTTAACGTGACATCCAGAAACTAATCATTCAGCGGAAGTTTGTCACAGAACCAAATAAAGCTAGACGCTTGGCTTCTTTTCATTTATGGCACGAAGAAGCACGACTCAAACACGACTTGCTTAAAAATCAATGGCGAATATCTGCACGAAAACTCAACTAAATATTAGTAATAGTGTAATTGAAACAAGTTGGAAAGCTCTATTTGGGAGAGTTCGACTGGGAGAAACAGTATCAGAATGCGTTGGTGTTTCTTATCCGATTTTAATATAATGTGAACTGTTGGAAACTAATTCCTTTAAAAATATAATAAATAAATTTAATTGCTATCGATAATCGATAAGTATCGATAATGGGGAAACGGGAATTATTATCAATAAAATAAAATAAAATAAGTTTGATCTGCGCGTGGTATACAGTATTATATCGACAGACTGTTGATCCTGATCAAGAAGGAGACACCTCCTTCTGCCTGTTCCATACTTTTCTCAACTTCCTTATCGCCTTTTTAACCACTTTCAGGCTACTAGAAACTAAAACTTGCTCATCTCTAGCCCGAAGTGTCAACATGATGTTTGAGTTAGTCTCCTAACTGGTTTTTTTACAATTGTAATATTATTCACAATTGTGTTGACGATTGTAAACATTCAGCAAAAGCATGTATGAAAGCTAAATACTGTATAAATAATTATTGCGCACTCAAGCATTTTTAGCGTATGTGCCGATCGTCGATAGTTCAAATATACATACAATATACACAAAACATTTGCCAAGTGTGCCAAGTGCCAAATTCGAAAACTGTTTACATTCGTTGACTTGTGTGAAATTTTCTCGAACCAAATGACTCATTGTTAAAATTGAAAATGCATTTCTCACACAGCTGAGCTAATTGTGCAGGCAAAATTGAGAGGGGTAAAACTAAAAAAAAAAATGCAATTCGAGTTTGAAAACGAATGATTTTAATGTGTAATGTATAGATGTATAGAGGTTAACTTGTTATTTGTGCCAAGACTGAGTAGTAACAAAGTATTTTATGAGAGTGTGCACGCTCCGTATGAGTAATAAACAGCGTGGTTGTTCAATTTGCATATTACAAAATCGCAATGGAAAGCAAAGTTTTGGTTAATTCAAGTAATAATACTGACATATATCAATAAAGCCGATCTATTATACTTATCTCTTATACATCAACTGATTCAAACTAATAGATAACTTTCCACACACTATTTGCAGATCTTTGGCCTGATTGTTGTTGCACTTGCCGTTCACATTTTTTTCAAATTCGAGCATTTCGAAACGGCTGCTTTCGTCATTCTAGCCTTTGGCATCGTCATTGTGCTGGTCTCCTTGTTCGGGCTCCTGGGCGCTGCACGTGAAAGTAGTCGCATGTCCAAATCGGTAAGTTAGCCTTTTAGGCTAAAATTAGTACTTATTGATTAACAGCATATCATATACATTTTTATATGTTTTAAACAAATAGTTTGTGGCAGTTGTGGTTGTTTTGATCGTACTACAAGTGTTGACAGTGGGCTTCTTTTGGATATTCCAAACATCGCTGCTCATCAATGTGGACAAGACATTCGATCAGCTGTGGCGTGATCAGCCCGTGCCAATTAGGCCTGGAAATGTTAGCCAAATAGCGAGCATAGAACGTTGGGTAAGTAATGATTCAAATAGCAATTTCAAATATATATTAATTTTCTGTATATGTCCGCTTAGCTCGATTGTTGTGGCAATGTCAGTTACAAGGACTATCTGCTGCCCCCAAACAGCTGCTACAACAGCGATACGAGCAAAATGAATATGGAGGGTTGTCGCCAGAAGTTTTTGGATTACATTGCCGAACGCTGGACAGCATTCAATATATTTGCGATCGTTCTTGTCGGCGTCGAGGTGTGTTTAGATTGCATTTAATATTTTAGTCAACTTATTCTATAATATTCCATTTTTATTTACAGATCATTTGCGCACTTCTGGCTTATGTGCTGGCCAATAGTATTGTTAATCGCTGGAGACGCTCCAAATACTTTTCGAAATAATTTGTAAATTTACAGCACACTTCATAATGCGCATACTCAAGGCCAAAGAATTCTCAATACTGTGCAAATACTACTTACAAACACTAAACTAAGCAATCGAATTTCCAGTCTATGTATTGCGGCGATTGTTAGTCTACCTCATGTTCAGCCAGAATGAAAAACAAAATAAAATTATAAAACATCCAATTCCGTTTCACAGCTCAACAACAGGTGCCAAAAGTAGTGTTCAAGCCGATTTCGATATATTTATATACACAAAATATATACATACTTCGCACAATATTTATATGCATGTATTTATTCGTATAAGATTTTCACAAATGTTTTTCCTTTATTTTCACATTTAGCACTGCACAGTGCCTACAATAAGTAAACATGCAATTTGTAACATTTAAAGCAATAAATCAATTATGTAGATTTTGTATTAATTAAAATAAATACCTACTAAATCATACAAATCAGATTGTTTGTCTATTGGTTTTCCTTAAATCAGTTTAAGCTTTTCTCTGTATAGAGTATAGCGACCCCATTTTGTTTACTACATAGGGTACAGGGTATGCAAATTTCGATGATCGGCTAAGCTTAATATTTATATGCTCGGCCGCTGACCACCCGCTGCATTGAAGGGCAATTTCAATGCTAATTAGCCAGAAAATACAGTTCTTAGATCAATTTTGGTTTGTTGACATCATTGTTTCTGACCAAACAGTTGGGCCCCCGTGCTGGCAGCCCGCAGTTTCCGTTAGTCAGTTGCCCATCATCGTCGCGTTTGAGGCATCTGCATGCATATCTATATATGTATATGTATCTATCTGAATCTGACTCTGTAGCTGTATATCAGTGTGTCTGTGTGTATATCCATCGCGTGGGCGCCTTACGCTAATTTTCATCGTTTGTGTGCTTTGTGATGAGTTTTCTTTGATATTGACTTTATGTGTATATAGATATATATGACAATACTCAGTGGGTTTTTGTATATTTTTTGGCTATTGCATTGCCGACTGGCGGCTGGCGACTGGCGACAAGAACTGTGGGTTAATCGTTCAACTGGCAGCGACGTCGCAAGATGGGGCCAAACAAAATCAGATTATGAGTCGATGCCGAGTATTTGCCGTGTGACCATTGCCGATGCTCAAGGTGCGACGCACAACAATAAGTGTTTTGAGAAATTCGTATTTTGCCTAGAGTTGTTTATTTTTCGTGTAGTTTTTGTGCGTGCAACGTTAAACGAAACTAATTATTAGTGAACACTATTCGCTGTGTGTCATGTCTCGTTAGCAATTGCGTCGAACTGAAAATGTATTGCACCACACGCCTGCTGCGATACATTTTGTGTGTCATCAATTTGATTTATGCTGTAAGTTCTACAATCAGAGAGCTGTTCTGAATTTTGAAAACTAAAACCAATCGTTTTTTTGTGTGTCTCAAAGTAACTAAGTATCGAAATCGCTTGGTTGAATTTTTCAGGCCAGCTTGTACTTCACAGTATTAAGCATTTATGCTTTATCGATCATTTTTAAGTGGTAACTTTAAAAAAAAACACACATAATTTTGCTGTTTTCTAGATTGTAAAATAGCAATCAACTTCAAATTTGTATATCTCAAGCGAAATCTGAAATCGGAACATCCAATGCGAAATGAGCTGAGCACCCAAAAATAAATCTGATCTGATTTTACAATCTGTTGTTTCTGTGTGACATTGACTAAAGAATTCCCAACTAAATCCATTACCCATTCCCCACATAGCTCAACGGCTGTCTGCTCATCTGGTATGGCACCTGGTTGCTGAACAGCATCGCCGAGCAGCGAAATGCCGTTGATCATGGCGAGAAGTTGGCTGCCATACTCTGTATTCTGCTGGGCATTGTCATCGTTTTAGCCAGCATATTTGGTACTGTGGCCTTGGCTAAGGAGTGCAAAAAGATGCTGATAAGTGTGAGTAGGCTTATCCAAATGAAATGTATATTTCTTAATTCGCTTTTTTTTTCTTAAAAGTACGCAGTATTGTTGTTGCTGTTATTGGTCATACAATTTATTATGTTTAGCATTAGCTTTGCGGCCAGTAGGGACGCCTTACCAAACAGTTTAAAACAGGGATTCGATGAACTGTGGGATCCAAAACGCAGTATCAATAGCACACTCAGCGTATACGAGGAGTGGGTAAGGTCTTTTGGAATTGTTTTTGATTAAGAGATGACTTAAATCTTATGTCCGTATCGAAAACATATATAGCTGCATTGCTGCGGTCGCAACAGTGCTGAGGACTACATTTTGTTAGAGCGGGAAATTCCTGCCAGTTGCTGTTTTGAGCTCGATTGCACGAAACCCTCAAATCTCTTTATGGATGGTTGTGAGAGCCAATTTAAGCAATATGTCAGCAAAAAGTCGGCCAACTTTCACACAATCACCTGGCTTATAATATTAACTGAGGTAAGCAATACACTCATAATACTTGTCGTAATCCACATAATTAATTTGTTATGTAAAAACTCTTTTACCTGCAGTTTGTTGGCTCTGTGTGTACCTGTTATTTGGTGGATAGCATACGGAATCATCGAGATCGCGTGCGTTTCTATAATTAGTTGTAACTATTGGTTATTTACCCGTATTATTATTATGCTTAGTTAGTTTTTTGTGCCATTGTGATTTGTAATTTAGTACAGCTATTTAAATAAAAAAAAATTTCCTATCTCCATTCATTGATTAAAATATCAATGCCAGCGCATCGAATAAAAAAAAAAAAAAACGTTGCTACGCAACTCTCCAACTCCCACGTCATTAAAAAAAAAAAAAATAACAACAAATTTGTATAATAAAACCTGTTGCTATTGACTAATTTCTTGTTGACTGCCAGATAAATATAATAAATACAGCAAAATATCTGAACGTAAAAATGAGTAGGATTCGACTCGGATGGAAGCAGCAAGAATAACAAGCATCAACGAGCAAGCCAAGCGATAAAATTGAAAAAACATAGAGACGCAAGCACACACATGCACACACACCTACACACACACACACACACATACACACACACACACACATAATACACACAGTTGGTTGTACACGGAGAAGCGCCTTCGCCTTTCCCAATAAGAGCAGCAATGTGGGCGACGATTTTCTCGAGCTGCTCGCTGTTATACATAGATCAATGGATGAGTGGAAACATTTGTGTAGAATATATGCATATATATATATATATATGTAAGTATGTGGTATATGGTGTAGTAGTACTACTCGCGTTTTCAAAAACAAAAACACACACAAAGTTTTAGTTGATTCACGCCACTGAAAGGCATCGGTCAGCGAGCAGAATTGGCGTATCCGTCGGATACATAGATCTATCTACAACTGACGTATTCTCGAGCGCGCCTTTCCCAAAACTGGCTATTGCCTTATACGTAATACCTACTTAATGCATTCTGCTCATTTTCGCTGATTTAAATAGCCAACCAACAATAGTCAACCAGACAGCTACGTTAGTCAGTGCGACAGCTGCCGCAGTCTCGCCAGCTTCTCAGCTTTAGATTTAATTGCAACAGCAAAAGTAGCAACAACAAAATGGGCCTGTCGGAGACTACAGTGAAGCATCTGCTGCTGCTGCTGAACTTTGTGTATACGGTGTGTAAATGTATAGTTTTGCTGCGTTTGAAAATGCATCTCTAATGCCAGCCTGCTTCTATTATTTACAGGTGCTCGGTTTGCTGCTGATTGGTTTTGGCATTTTCTTTCTGTATGTCAATTTCTATACTCATAAACATATACATTTAAATTTCAATTATTTGTTTATTGTAGAGCATATGTTACTTCAGTGAGCATTGGCGAAAATGTAGTTGGCGGCTTAATCATTGGCCTGGGCGTTGTCATAATAATACTCTCCGTCTTTGGCTGCCTGGCTGCCATACACGAATCGCCCAAACGTCTGCTTATCGTATGTCTTACTCTATTGAACTTAAATACTCTAATCTCTGTACATAACTGCATTCGTATCACTTTAGTATGTGATTGCTGTGGTGCTGCTGATACTCACACAACTGATGTTCCTCAGCATGGTGTCTCATGGGACCCAGGACGGCATCTCGGGCAGCATTAATGAGGGATTCGAGAAGCTGTGGGATGCTGAACGCAATGAAACAGGCGCCTTGGAATACTACGAGTCTTGGTTGCACTGCTGCGGCGTCAATGGTTCCGAGGATTATGCGGTCATTGATCATGCTGTGCCCAAGAGTTGTTGCGTCGAACTGAAATGCGTCGATCGTTCCAACATTTACAAAGTGGGCTGCAAGTCACAGTTTGTGGAGTATCTGGATGATAGGCTACTGGTTTTCAAGATTGTCTGTTGGCTGCTCATTCTGGGCGAGGTAAGTGTGTGCCCACTTAGAGTTTCTGAAAGCATAGTTAAGCTTTGCATTTTTACAGGCTATTGGCGCATTTTTGGGCTGGCTGCTGTTAACGGGCTTAAAGAATCAAGGTCGTCGAAATAATGCCGTTTGGATGTGAATACGTTTTAATACTAAGGCTTAAGTATTATTTAATAATAATATACATTAATATTTAAAATGTATCATTATTAAAGCCACATTTTTTACTATATTTTCAACTCGCTAATTACTAATAACTTGAAAATAAATATTCGTTCCGTAGATAGTGATATTTTTAAAGATAACTTTTGTAAAAAGGGCATAAAATCCGTTGGCCAGCGGAAAGCCACTGAGTTTCTTTGATACATCCGTGTTCATTACCTTGTCTATGCTAAGAAAATGTTCACTCTAAAAATATAAATTTATTAAAAATTATGTTGGCATAGCATATGATTATTATCTTACGTAGGGGCAGCTGTGATTGACGTTCATGTGACCGTCTATAAAGCCAATTATCAATTTGGCAACAGCATTATAGCGTGAGTTAAAAAAACGACATAATTCAATGTTAGCAGAGTACATGAATGATCTCCAGCCATTCCTGTTAATCATGAATCTGCTTTGGAACTGCAGATAGAGTTTAGACTTTGTCGAGCCCATATAATAAAAAAAGGTGAAATACTTACAAACAGGTTTTTATCCAAAATGGTGTGCAACCAATAACGCGCACTTATATAGTTTTTCAAGTGGTCCACCTGCCTTACGTAACAGTAGTCCACATTTGACATACTTTTATTCTGGGTCTCACAGGTAACATTTGTAAATTTGAGAAAAAGGCCCTAAAATCGTTATTGAAGAGTCAGTTTAATTTATAAATCACTTCATAAATCACTTACATGCGTATAGTTGATATTCATCAGGCATATACACGATAGTATTAGCCAAAAGAATTGAGAGTTCGACTTGTCCATTCGATTGCTTTTAGGTAAATGCGTATGTATTATCAATTTCCATTTTCTGCTCATATTATCATTCGCTCAAGCTAGTTAATAACTACTTAAAATAGAAGAGGACTGCTGGACTATCAAATACCCTTTTTTTTGTATGTTTCAAACTATTCAAATTACTTTCAAAGAAGCCTTTTGTATTAATTATCCAATCGCTATTAACATTAATATAATAAGGAAAGGATATAAGTCTTAATTTAATTTAAGATTCTGATGTACTTCGTTACTATACTAATAAAAAATTAGGCTCTTTTCGAAAAGAAAATTGCCCCTTTCCACTTTAATACTCCCAATTTTGCGTTTTGGCAATAATTATAGCCTAACAATTTTAAAGTCTATAGTAATTTATATATAATTGCTTCATTTTTCAATAAAAATGACCAAATAATTTTCCATAATGAAACAATTAAAGCTCTCACAACCCTGTTTATCAATGTATCATCCGATCATTATGCAAATTGCAGGATATGAAAACGATAAGTAAGATAAACTATGGATTCATATTCATAATCAAAGCAATTAATTTATTTATATTTTAAGATATTGGGAAAGTTTTGAAAATCAACTTTTTGAAATCGGTTGATCATGTAAATGACTTGCCAAGCTAATTCTGAGTTTACTGAAACACTCTTCACAATCTAATATGACTCCTATTACACGTAACATTAATTGGGTTCCACGTTAATTATATTTTTAGAGAGTTTCTGGAATAATTAAAGTTAAAATTTATTCAAATTGAATTGCAATGTGTTTTTAATTGCATAGACCGCTTAGTTCTAGTACATTGCCAGCTTAACTCTGAAAGTATGTTTATGTATGTATTAAAATATAAACATTGTTAAGGTTACAAATCTGATCACTCACAAGTTCTAGATAAATTTTCGTCTCGACGTGACTCATATTATTCCATGACCAGCTTGAATAAACTGCGTAATGTCCTTTTCCTATGGGCATTGTTGGCAATTTCTTCGATATATCCGTATTCAATATCTTATCAATAGCCAAATACTTTTCATTCTAAGAAATTGTATTTGTATTATGCATTATATAGGCATAAGTATTAGATCTCTGGGCTTACCATATAAGGGCAAGTGTGATTCAAATTGGTATGGCCATCTACAAGGGTAAAAAGCAGTTTACCAAATGCATTATAGCGTGATTTCCAAAATCGGCACATTTCCAAGTCAATGCCATACATAAATGGCTTCCAGCCATTGCTTCTGATCATTAATTGAAAATGGAACTGCAGTTTCCAATTATAGTTTAGTTCAACTTTAGTTACGTTCATATACTTACAGAAACATTATTTGTTATAGGTTTGAGCAAATTATAACGTAAACTGAAATAGTTTTTTTGATGGTCCATTTGCCTGATATAACAGTACTCCACCGATGAAGTATTAATATCCTTGCTCTCACAGGTAATGTTTGTGAATTTCAGAAAGATGCCCTAGTTAGAATTTTTTTTAAGGTACATTTTTTAAATACACAAAATACTTACTTGCGCGAAACTCATATTTAGCAGGCATAATAATGATATTAGCCAAATGATTACAGAGCTCGACTTGTCCATTTGATTGTTAAGAGGCGAATATAACAATAACATAAACATAATGTAACAAAAGACTGAAATATTCTAAAATAGTGAGCTCGATGAAGAGATATCCTTCATTAATTTCTTACATTCCTTCTGTATTCATCATCCGAATATGTTAAAAATGATTTATGTTTACAGTAGAGTTTGCTATTCGTATTTTTCAAAGTGAATAAATAGGAATAATTGTTCTAAATTTATATGTGCTACAGTTGAACCAATCCTCTTGTTTAGATTTCGAATGTGTACGAGTATAATTAATGTAACCATATTACTAACAAGAGAGAACCGACTGCGAAATACTTTGATACCATAAGTTAGTCCAGTAGATAACAAGTGGCAAAGAACAGGGTGGGTCAAGCCAAGAAATTCTTTCAAAGTTTGCCAAGTTTGTAACGTTTCGTCGAAGTTTGGTAACCGTAGCTCTTAAATTACGGGAGATATGAAATTTTGAAAATGTTGGGGGAGGGAATTGTCGAAAAAATGATAATAGAAGGTTCCCAGTAATCTTCCGTCCAAGTTTGGTAACTTTAGCTCTTAAATGATGGGAGATATAGCCTTTTATCATGCTAAGAGGGAGTGGGGTGATTGAAAAATTTGTTTCCCGGATTTTTGAAGGCTTCTACTATCAATATAGCTTTCAAATTTGATGACTCTAGCTTTCAAATTGTGTGCGAAATATGGTCTTAACGATTTACCCTAACAGGTGTATCGGTTTAGGGAGGCGGAGTGGGCGTGGCCATCAAATTTTTTATCGATCTCTTAGGAGAGTTATTATTATTATTATTATTACGGACAGACAGCATGACGGATATTGCACAAAACCAATATACTATGACACCTTCGGTATTAAAGTATAACAACTATCAATAATTAGTATCTAATTGCTTAATTTCTCTACTAAATTTGAGTGTTGTTTGTAAATTATCTTGAAAGTAAGCATAAATATAGATAGATATTATATATATTTTCATGTACGTTATTTTATGGCTGGTTAACTAATCTTTTATCTCTCTACAACGCTTGCTTGGTGTTTTAAATTAATGAGATGTGTAATTGTTTTCTAAAAGCGGTCAATCTCCAACTAAAAATACTTTAAATTGTTCAATTAAATGTGCTCAAATGTGGCACCCTGTATACTTGTAGGTAATACGCGTGCGCCAAACGCCACAAACGGTGGTGGCTTTTCAACGACTAAAACTGAAGCTGAAACCGTGTCAGCCGTCAGTCGACTGCCAGCGTTCGGGCCATACTCGTAAGTGACGCTCGCATTTCCGAACTTGGCTTAGTTGGAGGCGCGTCAACAATGCTCCACAACGAAGCAGCATAAACATTGGGTTCACTGCCATTGTCGCAGTCGCAGTCGGAGCATAATTGCTGAACGGCTTTATTGAACTAGCAGCTAGTGAAAATCAGTCGTAAGTGTGAAAATATTTTCCAATGGGTTTATTTTGGGCTGCGGCTAACTCTGTGTTTTGTTCTTGTTGTCTTAGGTTCTTTGCTTGCAACATGGAAAAGTCATTTGCCATAACACCCTGGAAATATGCGCTGTTTACAACCTGCATTCTAATTGCGGTAAGTTCCAGGCAAGTCATTGACCACAGGCAAGCAAATGCCTCGAAGGTCGTTTCGTCTATTGATCAGAGGCAGACGGAGCGTAGCCAAATGTTATTTCCGCATAACGGATTGCAGTGTACGGAAAAAATCGATATTATCGTGAATGTGTTTAAATTGAAGCTATCAATACTATGAGCAGCTGTCAGCACATGGCAATCAATTCCTATTAAAAATTGGAATGTTTACTTTTGCCCTCATTTGCCATACATGTGGTATACGTAATAGAATAAAATATTTGCATTTTTAAGGGATATTATACGTCTGCTTTTTACCTACAGCTTTGCGTTCCCATAATTATAAATACCAAGCTATTTTTGTCAGCATAACACATTGAGATGATTAAATTAGAAATGATTTCAAATATGAAACTCGATTAATTGCTCGGCCTGAAACTTATTAAGCTCAACCTTAAATTCAGTGGCACTCCCTATCAGATAGGATGCGGTTTAAGTGTTGGTTGCGGAAATAATTTGCTAATTTCATTAATTATGTGTATAAATTAGTGTACTATTTAGTTGGCAATTGGATGAAATATTAGAAAACACTACGACTACAATACGTTATTTATTTTATCTTTTAGTTTAGTTTTAAATTTACCATTTATTTATCTTTGTTAAATATTTATTAATGGTAACTTTTCCTCAATAACAGGCATTTAACATCTTGTTCTTTTCGTGTGGAGTTGTCACATGGGGCTCAGCGTCTTCAATTTACGGCGGCTATGCGGCTGCCCTTTGTGGCCTTTTAGTTTTTTCTGTCGCTTTTCTGGGTGTTTATGTGGCTCTTAAGGAGTCCTACAAGTTTTCCATTTATGTAAGTATCTAACACGATTAAACCCTGGTCATCATTTCATATTTAACACACTTTGCAGTATATAATCGGTAGCATTTTGGTAATTGCTGTACTGGCCACCTATTTCTTCACCTTCTCGAACTTGAAGAGTCAGCTGCTGCTGCAGTTCGAGGAGCGCATTAAGCGTTTGTTTGAGGAGAAGTCGCATAATAATGATACCATGCAACCAATACACAGCCTCTTCCGGTGCTGCGGTCTTGAGGGGCCACAGGACTATCTGGCAAAGGAGAACGGCGCCTTGCCGGCCAGCTGCTGCTATGCTTTTGATTGCACAGTCGTCTCGCATATCCATGAGGAGGGTTGCTCTGTAAAGGCTACATCAAATCTGCAATTTCAGGCTGAAATTAATTATTACTCAACCATTGTCATAATCACACTCCAGGTGCGTCGCGATAAGCATTTGAAATTTGATTTGATACTCATTGAATCTATATTTACAGCTCTTAAGCCTGCTCTTTGCTTTCCTTATGGGCAAGGCGCGCAAATTGTCGAAGATCAAGGATGACGAGGCACCCATTAATGATGATTAAATCAGACCCTGCACATTATTATTGAAATTTAGTTAGCTAAAGTGTACTTCGAGCCATGGCAATGCCAAATTAATCGATCAAATAGAAATTAGTTCATTTGTGGATTTTAAATAAAATACATTCATAAATAGCAAACAAATACTTATCATTTAGCACACTGAGTGGGAAAAATTTAAATTCAATTCCAATTCCAGCAGCTCGACAACACTGCCCAAAATTCAAAGAGAATTGGTATATATATAAATATCGCTTTTAAGACAATTTGCTTAGCGGCTGGCATCATTCGGACAGTTGATGCCGATCCGTTCGGTTCTGCTATATATATAATATTCAATTGAGCGGTTGGGATTCTCGAAGTCAAAATGGGCTGTACATCCGGTTGTTTTAAGTGTTTCCTCAACGTTCTCAACACAGTCTATGCGGTAAGTTTTTGCAGCACAATCAAAATAGAGATGATTTGTATTTAAATCTGCCAGACAGAATGACAAGGTATTGAATATGTATATATGTTCATTTGTATCTATACATCTGCTCGTATCTATTGATGAGTTGTGTATGTATGATGTATGTATACACATTCCAGTTATATTACTCTGTGCAAGTATTTGAGTGTGTCAGAATTATCAAATTATAGCCGGTTTATCGCTAATATTTCTATGTATATGTTACATACAATATATATACCTAAATAGATATAAACACATGTATATGTATGCATTTGGTATATCCATGAAAACGAAAACGCATTTCGTCTGTGAGTGAAAAATCTTCAAACATGTTTCAGTCAATCATACTGTGAATAATATATACATATTCAAATAATAAATAAATAAATATTCAAATATAGATAATAAATGACATAAAAACACATATGCTTGAGCTATTTTCTTTCCATTAAAACAATATTCCATATTGAAATTTATATTATATTTTTTTATGGCAGCTGCGATTGTGTCATACATATTAATTTTCAATATCTGCGAATTTAAATCTGAAACAATAACGAAATTAAAATTGTAAATTCTCATAATTCGCAGCTTTTTGGCCTGTTGATAATAGGTCTAGCTACGCTGGGTCTGCATCAAGCACCTACTGCGTACATTATCTATCTGTATGTGATCGGTGGGGTACTGTTTGCATCGTCCATTATCGGCTGCTGTGGCATCTGCCAGGAGAGTGTTTGTCTGACCACAACGGTGAGTGAACTTGATAATCAAACCTTGCATCTCGACTTTCAACTTGTGTACAAACATAATCACCGTATAGTATGGGTTCCTTCTGTTGACATTACTCGTTGTGCAATTACTGGGATTGTTTGGAAAAAAATTTGATATGGATTACATAAAACGCTTTGCGGTCGATGATGTCGATGCCAACTGGAATCAAGAGATGGTCAATCCGGGCGCAATGGATAAGATACAACGAACGGTAATTGGAATGAAGTTGAAGATATTGAATTCAGTTTCAAAATTGTAATTTCTTTGCTTTTTTATTGGAAAAGTACACGTGCTGTGGTCGTAATGGTCCCGATGACTATGCGAGCATAGGACGTGAAACGCTACCGGACAGTTGTTATGCTGATGGGAAAACCAATCTACCCTACTATACCACGGGTTGTGTGAAAGCTGCTGCCGATGAGTTCTTGATAAACTTTAACTATGTCAACAATAGTAAATGGGGCTCGGTTGCTGTTACGGTGCGTTTTCGTAAATATATTTATCTTATTAACATTCGGATATTTATTAAGCTCTTCTTTTGCAGGCCCTGTTGTGCTTCTGCACTTTCTATTTGGTGCATCGATTCCGCAAGGAACGCCGAAGATACACATATCATTATTAAAATCCATTAATCTATATACAATTTTTGTAAATTCGAAATTAATTTGATTATGTTTCAACAATATGTTTTTAGACACTTACAAATAAACTGTTTGATGAAGTCACGCAAATCCAGTAGCTGCACACTTTTAATCATTATTATTATAATCATTGTAAACTCATTGACTGAGCTGGCGTCATTCTGTTCATTTAACCCATTCGCCGCTACTCCGCTACTCGTATGTATGTGTCTATGTTTGTATATACTTCAATCAGTGACGCAATATGTTCAATAATCACAGCGCATTAGTTTCTAGAGTCTAATGATCAACATAGCGACTCTCTATCTATCTATCTCCCTCTCTCTCTCTCTCTCTCTCTCGTTCTCTCTCGCTAACATTTGGGAGCTAGCGCCGCTCAGAACGCAGACGGTCTGTCATAGACCTACTTCGAGAGTACACCACTTTAGAGCTCGTTGCCCGCTCAGTCTTTCAGCTCTCCGGCTGGGTCAGACCGCCCGGCTGTTTGTTTATTTGTTTGTTTGGCTTCCGACATCGCTGGGGCTTTGGTATATAAACACACGCACACACACACACACACACACTTGTACATATATGCATACATACATTGACTTTTGATTTTGGCTTTTTGTGCTTTTGCTTTTCTTGTTTGTTTACTGGCTTTTTTTTTTGTTTGCGCTGTGGTGCTCAGTGGTGCTGTGCCTCTGCGTCTCTGTGGTGTTGTGTGCGAGCTACTTTGCCGCCAGCTTCGGCCTCAGTTTCAGTTTCAGTTTTTAGTTCGTTCGTGACCGTGTCCGCTAGCAGTTCTCGTCTAGTTTTATATTCAAAATATCCAAAAACGAGTACACATTACTTTATTTATACATATAATTCGTTTTTGTTGGTACAAATTGTTGCACGTGTTGGCCATCAACAACATTTGCTTGTTTACAATTAATTCCACAAATTTGATTATTTGCAACAATGGGCTGCGCCACTGGCACCATTAAATACACATTATTTCTCTTCAATGCATTATGGGCGGTAAGTTGTGAGAATTTCCAAATATAATTATGAAATTAAGCATATGGTAATTGGAAGTTTTAGAACTGAGTATTGCATTTTACATACGCATTTAACATACAATATGTGCAAATATGTTCTACTTATGTATGTAAGTCGAACGAAACTTTCGTAGTTCTAGCTAGATGATATCATCTTGTACAAGCCCGCTTAGTTCACGACTATAATTGCTAGACCGAAATACACATACACATGCGTTTTTTTCTAGCTCTGTGAGTATACATGGACATAGATGTTTTACTGTGTCTGTTGTCTGTCGGTTTTTGCATTCCTTGAGCCGCTTGGAAAGCTTCTTTGTTAGCAAGCAGCCAGCGACGACGACGTCATGCCTTCAGATTTAGTATAATAATTAAAAATGAAAAAAGAAACATCAAAATAGAAACCGGATTAGAAACCAGGCAAGACACCAATGTCAACACCTGGTGCTGAAAGCCGTTAAACATTTGTAGGTTATTAAACAACGAATTGCCCATTAAAGTTATTACTCATGTACATGTGTTCCAATATTTTATGACATCAGCTTTAGTATTTGAGATTAATTTAACATTTTCTAACGTACTTAAGATACGAAAATCAAGAGGAAACGCTTGCATACCAAAGTGCTGAAGATTAAAATATATTTAGATATGCAAATATACTTTCACACATACATACATTAGGACATATATTTAAATTAATATTATGTTTTGTACATTCTGAATATCGAGCTCTTATATTTTTTACACTTGGCTTTCCTAAAAAAGTAAAACAAATCTTGTAGGTGACTTCATACCCACATTGATTTCCAACACTTGAATTGGTTCCTACGCAAATTTATGTAAAAATATAAAGAAATTGACAAAATAAGAAAATTATCACAGTTAACTCCTAACTCAGCGAAATATTTTGGGGGCGTGTGGCTAAACGCCCCGATTTGAATGATGAATCAAGCTCAATTTTATTCAATGAACATTGTTTATGTTAACAGATACTTGGCATATTGGTTGTAGTGTTTGGGATCCTTGGCTGGGGTGCCATGCCGCAGAAGTATGCAGTCGGGATAATGGTGCTGGGCGGCATTATACTGGTGATATCGATGTTTGGCTGCTTTGGCGCCATTCGGGAATCGGCTCGTATGCTCTGGACGGTATGTATCCCTACAGAAATCGAAACAATCTAAAGACAGAGATCTAAAGGGTACTGAACATTTTAGTATGTGACGCTGCTGCTGGTGCTGCTGGTCTTGATAGCCGTCTTCATCTACTTCAATAGCCGCGATGTGTTCATGAAGTATGCGGTGCAAACGGTAGAAGATAACTGGCAAATGGAGCTGACCAAGCCTGGCAGCATGGATCTGATACAGAAGACGGTGAGTGCTGAAGTTCAAGTTCTGTACTGTTTTATCTAAATTTAGTTAACTCGTTTGTTTAGTACTCCTGCTGCGGTCGCTATGGACCCGGCGATTATATGGCCATTGATCATAGGAATAATACGGTGCCCTCGAGCTGTTGCAAGGGCAACAACTGCCTGAATCCATTGAATGTCTATCCAGAAGGTTGTCTGACCAAAGTGGAGGCGGCCTTCGCTGATGAGGCCATCACATCGCGATACTGCGAATGGGGCCTGCTGGGATTCGATGTGAGTGGCCCACAGCATGTTGGCATGCAGCCATCAATTGCATTAACAATTTGTCTTCTTTCAGCTGATAATACTCTCTCTGGCCATCATACTTGCCATACACTATACGAATCAGAGGCGCCGCTATAACTATTAGCGAGTACTATATGTTTAGCAGTAACTAAATCAGTCGAATTATATTCGTAATACCTCATTTATAAGTGTCACCAATGTACCTACTTAATTATGCAACTTTTAACCGCACCGAGCGCGATGTGTTCACTTGCCAAGCAAATCAATCGAATGCCTAAAATATACAACTAAAGTCGAATATAATTATGTACAAATATATCAATTGAATTGATTTCATTTCATTTTTAGCTACTGTACATTGCACTGTGTTCCACTGTGCCATAGCTCGAAAGCTCTTCAAATCAATTAGAGACGTAGGGGTAAATAACCAAGCGCAATCATGCTCCCATGACGACGCGCTCGTCAGCCAGCTGGAATGGATCGCCCAAGCATAGTCTCCCAAAATTACAACAGAAGTATTAAAGATTGCATCCACGTCCAAGGCCGGCTACGAAGAGAGAAGAGCATCGTATTTGATTTTACACTTTAATGATACGCTTGTTGTGAAAAATTCGATAGGTTTGACTATGGTTTTTTGAACATACTTAAAGCTTTAAAAGTAAACTATTTTAAATAAATCTTAAAAACACCAAAACATAATAAATCTCTTTCTGGTAGTGACAATCTGTTCCTCTCAACTCTCAAGTAATATCAATTATATCAACAAACTTCAAAAAGAAATCGGAACTTACTTGAAATCGTAATTCACGCTGTCAAATAGTTAAACAAATTTATATTAATTGCAAATTATTCGGTTTGCAAACAGAAGTTGAAAAGCGGTAAAATTTGTATTTTGATTGTGGCCAAAAGAGAAGCCCATGAAAAAGAATTCCAGCTGTTGGCCGCTTAGCAGGCACCTGGTAACATTACAATTGAAACTTCAAAGAAAATCAGATTAAAATATTAAAAATTCCGAAATTCGGAGAACGAGAAGTCGGAAACGGAATTAACAAACTCTAAATAAGAATGGGGCGCAACTTTTTGGATGCAGCATGGATCATACTTAGTATTGTGTGGTTGGTAAGTGTTATGTGACTTAAATCCATGGCTTTAACTATTGCCCATTTTGAGCAGGGTCTCTTTGCGCTCTTTTTTGCCACTTTCTTTGAATCGGACAAATTTGACATCTTAACGCCCTTAATGGGGCCGGTAGGTCTATTCATTATCTGGATATTTTTCTGTGGGCTTTATGCTTGCTTAAGTCAGTCAATAAGTTTAATTTCACTGGTAAGTTCTATAAATGAATGTAATGTCAATATGTATTAAGTATTAACATAATTTTCAGACAACATACGTTATATTTTGTATAAGTATTATGCAGGGAGTAATTATTTTACTGTTCTGGCTACAACAACCCCCATATATGGTGGAATTTATATTACTTTGGCCAATCTGTAGATTTGTTAATTTTTTCAGTAAGTTGCGCAACATGTAAATAAATACGGTATATAATAATAAATTCCATTATAGATGCATTATCAAGTGTATTTAAGTTATTTTGCCTATTTGGGTATGTTGGGCATTATCAAAAGAACATATTCAATATTTCTGGATTGATCTTTATTTTTGGGGTTTGTTCTTTTCAAATGGATTTTTCATCTGAAAGTATAATAATAATTTTTGAATTTTTCACAGATTGCACATTATATACTATCGAAAAAACTAAAGAATGCGAAACTAAAGTCACTGGTACGATGAAAGATTACGATACTATCGACTTAATAACTTATTCGTGAAAAAATATATATATTTAAATACTTTTGTTGAATTTTGTACATGTTTAAGACTTTTCAGCAAAAATTATGTTACTAAATTTTAAAATTGTAAATAAGATACAGAAAAACATCGCATCTTAAATAAACTTAAAATGTTCAGCATGATATATATGTATATATACCCATTAAAAATAATTCAAATAATTTGTATATAATTTCAAATAATAAAAAAGAATGCGAAGCTGCTTTTATCTTCAACTTAACGCCCCCTGTTTAGCTGATATGAATTGCAAATGTTCTCACAAAGAGTTTATTAATAACAATCAAAAATGTAATCATTTGAATAACAATTTAAACACTTTATATTTTGATTTTGATTAATTTGAGCTAGCAATCATTATTTTATTCTTTTGATATTACTTTTATATACATATGTGCCTCTCCAATATGGTATTTCTCTTGAACTTCTACACTGAGCATGTACAAGGACATGTTTGGCACACATTTTGTATGTTGCTAGCTGAGTAATATTAATTTACAAGCAGAAAAAAAATGCTTCAAACAAGCTGAGAAAATAATATCTTGTTTAAGTTGATAGGATTGACAGTGCCAGTGACGTCATTGTTTGCAGCTCTCAGCTGCGCGAGCGCATTGACTCTCTCTCTCTCTCTCGCTGTACGGGGCAGTATCTGCGCATGTGTGTGTGTATGCGAGAGTGAATGTGAGTGCGTGTGTGTGAGTGTGGGTCGCATTTAATGTACAAAATAACGAACTTTTTGTATTTGGATTCAGTTCGAAAGCAAACGTTGAACGCGTAAGACTCTGGAGACGGGTTCTATAACAAATACCTGAAGGGGCGGCGTACAGCGGTCATTTACTTTGTTGTTTCGAAAATAAGGAAGTGCATTTTGTTGTTTTAAGTCAAAAGGTTAAGAAACTTTGTGCACTGATACTATGTGTATATTGAAAATGCTCTTTGTGTTTGTGAGCAGAACTAATAATGAATAATTCCGAGCAATTGTAAATAGCAACAAACATTTCGTGTAATTAAGAGTAATTTCGAGCAAATGAAAATGTAGATTTCTTTTGAGGCTTATGAATAATATTAATCTCAATTCACAGATTGCCAGAGCCAATTTGGAAAATGGGTTGCGCCACAACCAGTGTAAAGATTACCTCTATCGTGGTAAATGCTATTTTGGCGGTAAGTTTCATATATGTACATATGAGATATGATTATGTATATGGTTGTGTGTGAATACAGCCACAGGCACACATTTATACGCAGGCATTTGTACAATATGTAATTTTCAAATTTCAATGACATTTACTATTTCACTGATGCATTCAATTTAGAAAAAAAAGAGCAAATAATCCACTTGCAAGCATGATGTCATATGCCTGCATCGAAAGCGAAAAGAAATAATTTTTGAAAACCAGCACAAAAGCAATCGTGCTGTTTTTACAATATAATACTTCTAGACAGACTTCTGCAAGACACTAGAATATTTAGATTTTCCTGCACATGGCCCCAATGCTATTTGGTACCCCATCTCTTTCCATCACTCTGTCTCCACTTATAGCTGGCCATGTTGTATTTTTAATATTTGTCATTTGTCAGTTTCACACACTATAGCCACGTCGACGACAGGTCTTTAGCCAACACACGCACACACTCGCACACACACACTCCAACACCTGCCCGGGTCTCCTCCCTGTAACCATGGCAAGTATGTTTACACTTGCAGATATTGTTTTGACGGGGAGTCGAGTATTGTGTTCGCAGGAAAAAGGCGCCAGTGCTTACAATTGTACCAGTTTCTGGCTGCTCGATGATGTCATGCCACACTACTTACTTGAAGTTTGACCTATATAGCGTTATCCGAATCCAGGCATAAGTCCCAACCCTCAATTCCATTCGGGGTGTGTTTGCCACAAACAACATCCCCGCAGTAATTTACCAGTATTGACTGTCGATGGAAAACCAAGTCAAATCAGTTAGTTGGACGACTACTTAATACCCATTTTCTACAACTGCAATGCTTTTTTAATTAATTAGTTAATTAAGCTCATAAACTGAGAGTGTGCCAAAATTTTAGGTACATTAAAATCGTTTCGATCGGCAACTATTTCAGCTAGTAATCCGATGCTGATAAGCTTAAGGTAAACTTTTCAAAGTTCGAAGCCTTACAAATTTTGAAACTGTTTCGTTAAGTTGAAATATATCTTTAAATTAATCATTTTTTTATACAAAAACTTAATATTCGGCCACACACAGCCTCTGTCTATGGAATAGTTGTGCACACACACATGTTTTGGAAAAACAAACTGAACAAAAATAGCTTAAAGCACAACAAATTCGGAATATTTGTTTTTTATAGCAAGCATTGTTTGTAAAAAAATAAACATACACAGATGGATTAGTTTTAATTGTCTTAACAAAATCAAAAAATTTATTAAAAACTAATAGATAAAAATAATAGTAGCGAGGTACAAATGATATAGTGATCTAATTTGAAACTGTGTATATTAAGTTCAATCAAGAAAGAGAGAAAATCGTCTACTGCAACTGATTAATAATATGTTAATTACTTATTTACCCGTAAATGCATTACACATTTTGTCACAAAATGATAATACCCGTTGCAAAGCATATATAAAGTCACTCAAGTGGCAAGCGCTATGATTCTGTGCCACATAAGTACTGCATTAGTATTTGTCTATATATCATTTTCACAACCGCATTTAATGAGCTACTAGCACAAATTTAAATGTAAACAAGGTTTCAATTTCGCCTGATCTCATTTGAACTTGGAACTTGTTATCATTTAAATGTATGTATTTTATTTATTTATAAAGTATTGTCATGCAAATATGACTCGTTGCGAGAAATTCCAGTTTGATTTCCGTTACTCTTACAGTTTCTCGCAGTGGGCGCGATTGGCTGGATAGCCTTCAATGCGGATACGGAGGGCGAGGAGTTTGTCATCACCGCCTACGTGGCATGCGCCTTAATTTTGCTGTTTGCCTGTCTGGGCATATTTGCAGCCATTCGAGAGTCGGTCATCCTAACCGCAGCGGTAAGTTTATTGCCCCCTGCATACATATAAGTAACCACTGTAACTGTATCTGACTGATCTTCCGTAGTGTGCTGTGTTTCTGCTTGTGCTGGCCATACCGCAAATAGTAGCCACCTTTATCTTTATACACGGTTTTGATGCACAGACAACTCAGTCAGCCCAGACAACTGTGGAAGTCGCCTGGCAGGCCAACAACATGGACGGGCTACAGCAGAAGTATGAGTGCTGTGGCAAGACGAGCGCCCAGGACTACGTCCATCTCAGCCAACCGGTGCCACCCAGCTGCTACGAGGACCTAAAGCAGGTGCCGGATCACCTCTTTGTCGCCGGCTGCATTGAGAAGCTTCAGAGCCACTTTGAGAGCGATAGGACACGTTTTATAATCGTCTCCTGGGTGCTGGTCGTTTTCGAGGTAATTATTGATCCATTACCAAAACGATATTCTAAGAAAAATTGTTGTTAAATTTCGAAATAACGATGTAAATTTTTTTATTTTACTTGCAGTTGCTGTGCTTTTTCTTGGCCGTCTTTTTGGCCATCAGTTTCCGCAATAAGCAGCGGCGCATGGAATTTTAATGGCCAACTGCTGACTGGTGACAGCGATGCCGTGAGTACAAAACTGGACCGGACAGTGCCTCGAACAATTACGCCCGTTCGTTGGGCTGGAGGATATTAAGTATTTGATGATTTGTGCTTTGCCTATTCGAGCATAAATTTTATTTTCTAACCAAAAACATATGCATACAAATGCAAATGCAATCGTTTTACTATAAATGCTACAACATAAGCTAAGTACTTAGGTAATTTATGTAGCTCTAACTATTTATAAATTAAATACAAATATATATGTGTGTGTTTAAACTATGTGTGCTTAAAACTCGGTGCGTATATATTCGTGGTGTGCTGGGAAAGCTTCAGAACTGAGATAACAGTCTCTTCGTCGAGCTGATACTGAATATGCGCGATTCATTTTGGTTTCCAGATATGCGACGAGTTCTGTAGCCATATAAAATATGAATTGCGTATACTACGCGTGGTACGAGCACGCTTAAAAGTACGATTGCTGTGTTTGCATGCCTTTTGCTTTACTGTTTATATATAGAACAGCGTCGCGTACTCATGGCCAAAGTGAAAAAGCCGAACAGCTTGCCAAATGGAAAAATGTGTAAGAGCTAGACAACTTGTTGCTCATCTGCCTGCTGCACACCTTGTGGTACGTTAATGTGTTAATTTGTACGTGTATGTGTTATTGTCATATTTACGTTCGACTTTTTGGCATGTGATTCTGCAAAAACGAGGGATGGCTAATTTGGAAACAAGGCACGTAGATTGGGCTATGTTGAGAATGATGAACTCACAGGCAACGTGATATTTTTATAGTTAAGTCGAAATCAGTTGGACATATTCGGAGAGCCCGCTAAAATTATAGATGCATATAGAAATTGATGTGCTTGAGGTCAATAACTGTTCGTGAATGTGAAGCGGAAACAGTTTTTATCTTTTTATAATATATTGAAATGCATATGACAATAGATGTATGACAGATATTATGTATTTAGCGCTTCTTCTTACTCATGTGTGCATGTGTGGCGCTGATGCGATAGATGACAGAATCTTTGCCGGGATCGATGGTGGCCAACACATAACATATCACTGCCAGCGATATGAAAAGTGCCAGACTAAGCCATACAATAATGTTGCATACAACGGGGTATCCAGAGTCATTGAATTGTTCGAATGGATTTGACGTTTCGGACGATCTACTGCGCATTGATGCAACACGCTTATCGGTTGCTTGCACAAAGAGCAAGGAGTCGGTACAGTTTTTTGCGGCAGATAGCAAATATCCAACGGCACCAGTGATGATTTGCTTGGCCTCATGGAGGATACCATATTTTGTTACCTTGGTAATACGGTCCAGTGAGAGGCGAAAGATAATCACCTGCGACGACCTCAGCAGACTGGTTAAGTTATCCGCGAGTGCATTCATGTAGCCGATTTCCTCAAGGAAATGCTGGTGGCTCAAGTACTCGATGGGTTTGAAGTACTTTAATGGCATGGCCATGGACACATCGATATTTCCAAAGTAGGACTCAAACGCTATCACACCTTTGGAGTGATTATTAAAGTCAAAATCGGCTACAGAAGCTGGGCTGAGCTGGGCGGCGAGACTATCAAGCGATTTCCCTGCATCCGAATCAAGCAGTTCGTAAGCCATAACTCTTTCCACTGTTGGCACACGATAAACACCTTGTATATGAACAACAATCACCGAAGTATTGGACAGCGTGAAGGGATCCTTGATAAATAGGCCGGACCATTTGCTGTTGCCAGTGACAGCATTGCCAAGAGATGCTAGCAGTACATCGCCAACATAAAAGCTCTCGAGCTCATCCTCGCCTTTAAATTCAATCGATTTGGGGTTGTTCAGTACTGTGAACTCACCGGTTGCCTGAATAACCGAAATAAATAGCAGAAAAGTTAGGCAATTTAACAACATTTTTCTACAAATTGTACTGCTGACAAGGAAAAATAATCAGAGTATAAAATATCAAAACAATATGCTAATAGAAAAGGCTGCCTTGTTAACCTCATTTTATTAATGTCCTTTGTCTTATCATAGTAGCATTTACAAATGCCATTTTACTGCGCATTTTATCAATGAATTGATATACTATGTAGGACAAAAGCTTCGGTAATGCGAAAAGCTCTGCCAACATTGTAGTGACATCATACCACCCACAAATTCTATGACCGCCAAGAAGCACAACAAGTCAAACCCGCCAGGGACAAGTGTTTGAATACCATATACCCTGTACAAACGTTAAATGATTATAGGGCTCTGCCATATTGCAGTGTTTTTCTAATTTATTTCACTACAAACCAAAGTAGGACTAAATACGTTAATTAATTTTATGTGGTTTCCATACACTTAAGCGAATTGAAAATGTATCCCAATTTATTAGCACTGTTTGACTCTTCCCTTTTTCCCATATTCATGATTGCAGGGTGTCTTAACAAGAAGAAGAAGAAGCACTGAATCGTTGATTTCTTTTGAGAAGCTACCAATACAAAATTGCTGACTGACAGTCGTTCTGGCTGTCTGCCGAGGGCTGGTGCCCTTTTTGGGGGCGCCATAATTTCAAAACAAATGCGCGTCGCTTAGTCGCAGTTCATCGTGTCTGTTAAAAGGGCTGAAGCTGAAGGTAGCTGAGCGTGTTTATTTTATACATATATATATATACATAGAATATTCTGCGAAGTTAACTGTAACACAACTGGACGCACTATCGATTGAATTACGCTGTGAAAATGTCCTGCGGTGTACAATGCCAGAAAGCCGTGCTCATCGCGCTGAATGTGCTGCTGTCGGTGCGTATGCGTAATATTCCTGTTAAGTATTATTCGAATTTTGGCACTGCACTGCTGATTTGCAGCTGATTGGCGTGACACTGATTGCACTGTCTGTCTATGAGATGAACAGCGTCTCTTCAGGCAGCTTTGAGCACATTGCCATCGTGGCGCAGATCTTTGTGGGTTCTTTCGTAGTGCTAAGCTCGTTTCTGGGCTGCTTTGCAGCTGTACGCCTCTCCCTCAGCCTTATTTGGAGCGTAAGTTTAATGGAATATTTGAAGTGGAGGCATGACTTGTAATGGTTCTATTTATTTAAAGTATGTCAGCTGCATACTGATATTGATAGGCTTGCAGGTCTACATAATTGTGGCGGCTCATGTGACGGACTATGTGGAACGGGCTCGGGATGATTTCGTAGCTCTCTGGGAATATCAGCGCCGTAACACTGAACGCATTGCCATTTTAGAGCAAAAGGTAAGCTAAAATAGTACGTAATTTGTAATTAGTAATTTGTACTCAAATCAAGTGAGAAAATGCACGTCCACCAACAGAATTTCTTGTATGAAGAACTTTTTTTGTTGATTCGGAAATTTTTAAGCTCAATTTCAATTTCGGGATAAGTATGGTTCCATAAATTACTTTTGTCCTTATTTAAAAAACCAGCCTTTTAGATCATGGTTTGACCTCTATACGAGAACTGCATTCGAAGTTGGAAACGCTCTTCGAACTCGAAATGTATGCTAAATTTATACCATGGAAAAATTATCTTTTGGGACGATTCAAAACTTTCCAACGCCATTACATTATGACTCTATTTTCAAAAACCAGGGCTTTTTAATCATTGTTTAACCCATATATGAGAACTATACTCAAAGTTGGAAACGCTATTCGAACTCGAAGTTCAAGTTAAGATTCTACCGTTAAAAAATGCTCATTGGGTTTTAAAATTTGCGCGGCCCATAACATTTTTAGAAGTGACTTAATTTACAAAAACCAGTCCTTTTAATAAAACTTATTTTTGTAATTGATTCCATTGACAGTACTCTTGTTGCGGACAAAGCGGACCGCAGGATTATATTCTTCAAGGGGTTGGCTTTCCACTCAGCTGCTATGGCCACCGGGAGCGTGTGCAGAGTCAGCTGTTCAACACCGGCTGCTTGGAGGCTGTCGAGGCACATGCCACAGACAATGTCATTACCGGGCTGATCACCAAGTGGCTGCTGTTCGCGTTGGAGGCAAGTTACCAACTGCTGACCTTGACTAAAAATCTGTAAATAATTTATAGACGGCTTAGGCTAGCCGAGAATAGATTTTTGAAATATTTTAAAATATTTTTTTATTGAATCAATTTACCTTCTATCTTCCATAGCTTGGTGCCCTGGGAGCTGCCACCCACTTGGGCATCACAGTGCGCAATAAATTGAGGCGGGAGCATTTCTGACAGGCTTCGGAAGAACTCGTAAATCTTCAAACATAAACATAAAACAAATCGTTGTAGACAAATACTTTTTCAATTGATACAATTAAATTGGCAATATGTGCTATAAACTTTTAAAGTGTTTTCTCATTCATTTTTCCGTATGCTTTCTATTTTCCAAACTACTTATACATGTTGTATATGCGTATAAGCAGATAAGTATATAGATGCCTATAAAGACGCATACAAAAATAAATGTGAAACTTTTGGCTGCCTGTCGCGCAGTGGCAGGGGTTGGGGTAGGGGCCGTGCCTGCCTCTTGAATAACGACCAAACCGCCCGTTTAGCTCGAGTCGGCGGCAACCACTCAACGGATTTGTAAACATTTCGCAGTTTTTCTTTAAACTGAATGAGTTGAGTTCTCTTGGCAGCCAAAAAGCATTAACAGTTTGGGCCGACACGAGAAGCACGCGTCTCCGTTCCGTGAATGTAGGAGATTGAACAACCATAGCGAATGGCACATAAGAAAAAGTTAAGAAAAAGAATAATAAAATAAGTTTTAATACAATTTAAGCAAAGTATCTGCGACAAAAATGCCGACAATGCGGGTATGTTTACAATGGTCAGCGGTGCTCTTCAATACTTTTACTCTGGTAAGTATTGTAAAATTTATATATATATATACATAAGTGTACAGAAATACATACAGAAGTGTTGATATGTGAGATCTCATTATAATCTTCAGTAATTGTGCTACATTGTGCTCTTGACTCACACAGCGTATAAAGAAATTAACTGATGCAGTTCATTGTTCATACCTACTTCAGTTGACTTTATCCTTTACTCACATGGCGGATGAAACTTTTAGCTAATTCAGCTTATTATTCTATTTCAGTTGAATTTATCCGCTCACGCACTAAAATAGAATTATTATTTGTTATCTATTTGAATAATTTGGCAGCAAAAAATCTCTTACCTCCAAACTACTAGACAATTATTTTATTTATTTATAATTATTCCTCTATTTTTCGTGTCTGTATGTGGCATTTAAAAATAAAGCTGAAAGTAATTTCATATATATATATTTGTTTTTATTTTGTTTGCTTTTGGCCGACATAGACAAGGAAAAATTAATTTAATTTATTTTGTTTTGCTCGCAGCTTTTGTTTTTCATTTGGTTTTTGTGACGTTGTTGATTGGAATGTTTTTTTTTATTTTTAATTAATTTCTCATTTCTGTACGCAGATAATTGGCTGCCTTGCTGCACTGGCCGGTGCATATGAGCTGCTATACCAACTGGATGAGGGCTTTACAGATCACATTGATGTAAATAAGATTATACAATTAACCACGGCAGGCATACTTATACTGGCCGCTATCATTGGCTGTACGGGCGCTTTCTTGGGCTCCATCAAGGTGCTTGTGGTGGTGAGTAGGCAACATCTTAAAAGCTTAAAACTGGAGAGTTGAGTATTAACTTAATTATTTTCACAGCATATGGTTTTGTTGGTGCTGCTGATTGGTGCACACGTCTGGCGACTGGCGCACTACAATGAGTCCAAGTATATGGATGCCACAGAGGTGTTTGTCATGGACATTTGGATGAAGGAGCTATCGCATCCTAATTCCATGCAAACGCTTCAGCACAGGGTAAGTCCATGGTATATGAAAAAAACAAAATCAGAGAGAACTGGTATATTTAGCACACTGAAAATTACTCATATCCAAATAAAAATATATAATTTGAAATGTATTAATAGTTCAAATAACATGATCTTTAACCAACTGTGGCAATGAGAACTTTATTATTATATAGCAGTCCTATGGAGATATAACTATCCATTACAAATATTGGGCTAAGGAGTGAGAGAAGCCATTACACATTTTGTATACAATATTAATAGTCCTCAAACTATATTTTTCTGTACAGTATAAATGCTGTGGCAACAAGGGCTTCTCGGACTACACTAGCCTACACATGAAAGTGCCATATTCCTGTTTCCACACCGAGGATGGCTTACATGCTCTGTATCCCTATCCCGAGGGCTGCATGACAGCAGTTAAACGAGTCCACCTGAACATCTACCGCTATGAGATGTGGACGCACTGCGGACTCATTGGCTATGAGGTAACCCTGAACTGTAACTCTTCACCAAAAAACTTTTATTATCATTATGTATCTAATTACAGATTGTCAGCATCATATTAGCCATAACTTTGAGCTGCCAGCTGACCACTAAAACACGTCGCTATGCCTACTAAAACTACGATTTATATGCTGCATTTGATTGTACAATAAACGATTTATTGCATGTGATGAACAGCCTGTGTCTCTACTCAGGCGTCCTCCAGCAGGTGTGCCCGCGAGCCCACATGATTGGCGCGCGGCTCGCGACGCACCCCTGGCGGCACCTGTTGCCGGGCGTGTCGCTGCCGCTGGCGCAGCTTGTGAAGCATCACACTGACCACAATGGTTTGCACGAGTATGAATATCTAGAAGAGTGCAATTGTATATTTTGTTAGTAAAGAGCAACGAACTGCAGCTGATGTTGCTTACCTCAAGGCCAATAATGCACCACATAAACAGCTTATCGCGATACTGAATGCTGTTCTGGCGGTGGATCAGTGTCGCCTCGCAGCCGCGTGTGAAGAGTTTCGCATTACCCGGCTGCTGATAACAGCTTTGTGGTATGGGCAATTGCAATCTCTTGTAGTCTCTGACATTGTTGTAACCGCAGCACTGCTGCTGTTGCTCATACTGTTGCATTCGCTGCGGATGTATGTCCAAGTTATGCCAGGCTTGCGTTAGATCCAGCTGCTGCAAGACTCCACTGTAACGCATATGCGGATGATAGTTGTGCAGCTGCAAATACTCTACACCAAGCACGATCAGTATAAAGCAGGTGAACTAAAAAGTGCATATAAATACTCTAATTATTAGTAGGAGCACATCATAGATTATTTGAAAACTTACTATAATATTAACGCTAAGCAGATTACAGACCAGCCCATAACAGCCGAATATAACTATAACGCAAATGGTTGCCCCCAGCACAATGCTCTCCACAAAGTAAGTGTGCTCTGGCGTATTCGGCTCAGCCATTTGCAGGCTCAAACCCGCTGCGAACATGACGCCAATGGCCAGCAGCTGTACTAGAAAAGGAGATTATTATATCAGCCAATATATGTATATATAAGCAAGCTGTACTTACCATATAGAGCAAATTGGACAAGAGTCCGGTGTACTTGATTGTGTTATAGCAGTCGATCATGTTGCGAATGCGACAATCTTCTACATATGCGCCAAATTTAAAGCTCCCGCAAAACTGATAATCCACGGTGTATATATGGGTGTACAGAGTTCGCTCGATAAATGGAACGGTGTCGTTATAATTTGCAAGAGATTTTAATTGGTGATTTATAATTAAATGATTTCTATCAAGCACTTTAATATGTTTGTCAAATTTCAATACGCGAAAAGCATTGCTTATTTTTGTATTCAAATCTAAGTAGTTCTAATTGATAGAAAGTTCAAACGTCTCACGGTGTGATATTTGTTGTGTCTGTTACAAGAATAAATTGTTTGAGAGAGAAAGGCAAGATTAAAATGTGTTTCATCAAAATGCGGTCTATTACTGATTACTCACGTCCATGTCGTATGTCCACTGTTGACTTGGTTCGATGGCGCACTGCGTCAGCATCACATTTGAAATTGTTGCGTTGCGATTTCTGAGCAACTTGAGGGCGCCTTGTTTGGGTGGGCGGTAAGTAAGGCAAACATTGTCATTGGTCATTATCCAGTCCTTTTAGTAACACTTATTTATGTAATTGATTCCATTGACAGTACTCTTGTAGCGGACAAAGCGGATCGCAGGATTATATTCTTCAAGGGGTTGGCTTTCCACTCAGCTGCTAAGGCCACCGGGAGCGTGTGCAGAGTCAGCTGTTCAACAGCGGCTAATTGGAGGCTTTTTTCAGTTGATACAATCAAATTGGCAATATGTGCTTTTAAAATGTTTTCTCATTAATTTTTTCGCCCGTTTAGCTCAAGGCGGCGGCAACCACTCAACGGATTTGTAAACATTGCGCAGCTTTTCTTCTGAATGAGTTGAGTTCCCTTGGCAGCCAAACAGCATTAACAGTTTGGGCCGACACGAGAAGCACGCGTTTCCGATCGGTAAATTTTGGAAATTGAACAACCAAAGCGAATGGCATATAAGAAAAAGTTAAAACAAACGAATAATAAAATAAGTTTTAATACTATTTAAGCAAAGTATCCGCGACAAAAACCCCCACAATGTGGTCGTGTTCTCGATGTTCAGTGGTTATTTACAATACTTTTACCCTGGTAAGTATTGTAAAATGTATATATATCTATATATATATATGTACATACAGAAGTGCTGATATGATGATGATTATAATCTTCAGCAATTTTCTCCATTGTGCTCTTGACTCACAGTGCGTATTAAGAAATTAGCTGATGCAGTTCATTGCTCATACCTACTTCAGTTGACTTTACCCTTGGCTCACAGGGCGGATGAAACTTTTAGCTAATGCAGCTCGTTATTCTACTTCAGTTGAATTTATTCGCACACGTACTGAAGTAGAATAAAATGTATTTTAATTTTTATTTTAATTGCGGTTTGTTATCTATTTGAATAATTTTGGCAGCAAAGAATTTCCTACCTCCAGATAATATGTCCCTTTATTTATATATCATTATTACTACATATTTCTTTTATGAGTGTTGGTGTTGGCCATGTATTTAAAAATAAAGCAGAAAGTAGTTTCATATATATATTTGTTTTTATTTTGTTTCGTCTGGTTGATATAAACACGGAACATTCTATTTTAATTATTTTGTTTTGTTCAACGTTTTTTTTTTTTTTTTTTTAATTTGGATTTTGTGACGTTAGCTCAAATCATATTTGTCTTTAATTAATTTTTAATTTCTGTAAGCAGATAATTGGCTGCTTTGTTGCACTGGTCTGTCTTTACGAGATGGTCTACCAACTGGATGAGCAGGTCCATATGGAAACGATTCCCATCGAAGCATATAAGATTACACAATTCATAATGGCAGGCATACTCGTACTGGCCGCTATCATTGGCTGTGCGGGCGCTTTCTCGGGCTCCAAAAAGGTGCTTGTGGTGGTGAGTAGGCAACTTCTTAAAAGCTTTAAACTGCAGAGTTGAGTATTAACTCAATTATCTGCACAGCATGTGGCTTTGTTGGTGCTGCTAATTGTTGCACACGTCGGCCGAATGGCGCTCTACAATGAGTACAAGCGTATGGATGCCATAGAGAAGCGTGTAATGGACACTTGGAACATACAGCTATCGCATGGTTATGTCTTTGGGACGATTCAGTACAGGGTAAGTCCATGGTATATGAAAAAGCAAAAACAGAAAGAACAGGAACACGCAGAAAATTGATGACATCCAAAATTGAACCAAATCACGCAATACACATTTTGTATAAAATATTAATACTCTTCAATTTAAATTTACCTGTACAGTATCAATGCTGTGGTGTCCAGGACTTTATGGACTATAATAAACTGAACATTACAGTGCCAGAAAGCTGCTACCCCAATTTCAATAATGGATATCCCTATCCCGAGGGCTGCATGACAGCAGTTAAACATGGCCAACTAAATGTCTACCGCTATGATATGTTGATACACTGCGGACTCATTGGCTATGAGGTAACCCTGAACTGTAACTCTTGACCAAAAGACATTTGTTATCATTGTGTATCTAATTACAGATTGTGGGCATCATATTAGCCCAAACTTTGAGTGGTAAGCTGACCACTTCAACACGTCGCTATGCCTACTAAAACTACGATTTATATGCTGCATTTGATTGTACAATAAACGATTTATTGCATGTGATGAACAGCCTGTGTCTCTACTCAGGCGTCCTCCAGCAGGTGTGCCCGCGAGCCCACATGATTGGCGCGCGGCTCGCGACGCACCCCTGGCGGCACCTGTTGCCGGGCGTGTCGCTGCCGCTGGCGCAGCTTGTGAAGCATCACACTGACCACAATGGTTTGCACGAGTATGAATATCTAGAAGAGTGCAATTGTATATTTTGTTAGTAAAGAGCAACGAACTGCAGCTGATGTTGCTTACCTCAAGGCCAATAATGCACCACATAAACAGCTTATCGCGATACTGAATGCTGTTCTGGCGGTGGATCAGTGTCGCCTCGCAGCCGCGTGTGAAGAGTTTCGCATTACCCGGCTGCTGATAACAGCTTTGTGGTATGGGCAATTGCAATCTCTTGTAGTCTCTGACATTGTTGTAACCGCAGCACTGCTGCTGTTGCTCATACTGTTGCATTCGCTGCGGATGTATGTCCAAGTTATGCCAGGCTTGCGATAGATCCAGCTGCTGCAAGACTCCACTGTAACGCATATGCGGATGATAGTTGTGCAGCTGCAAATACTCTACACCAAGCACGATCAGTATAAAGCAGGTGAACTAAAAAGTGCATATAAATACTTTAATTATTAGTAGGAGCACATCATAGATCATTTGAAAACTTACTATAATATTAACGCTAAGCAGATTACAGACCAGCCCATAACAGCCGAATATAACTATAACGCAAATGGTTGCCCCCAGCACAATGCTCTCCACAAAGTAAGTGTGCTCTGGCGTATTCGGCTCAGCCATTTGCAGGCTCAAACCCGCTGCGAACATGACGCCAATGGCCAGCAGCTGTACTAGAAAAGGAGATTATTATATCAGCCAATATATGTATATATCAGCAAGCTGTACTTACCATATAGAGCAAATTGGACAAGAGTCCGGTGTACTTGATTGTGTTATAGCAGCCGATCATGTTGCGAATGCGACAATCTTCTACATATGCGCCAAATTTAAAGCTCCCGCCAAACTGATAATCCACGGTGTATATATGGGTGTACAGAGTTCGCTCGATAAATGGAACGGTGTCGTTATAATTTACAAGAGATTTTAATTGGTGATTTATAATTAAATGATTTCTATCGAGCAATTTAATATGTTTGTCAACTTTCAATACTCGAAAAGCATTGCTTATTTTTGTATTCAAATCTAAGTAGTTCTAATTGCTAGACAGTTCAAACTTCCGAACTTCCGGCTACTGTCCCCTTATGCTAGTATATAATATAGAAAGCAGCGAAAAGACAGTGACACTTTTTGAACATTATTTTTCGCTTTATTAAAGTGCTATAAAATGTTAAAAGTATTAAGTAAAATTAATTTTAACTTGTTGCGTAAAAACTTGCTTAATAAATATGACATCGAATTGTATAGAATGCTCTTCCAGTCGCAGTGCCGTGGAAGAAAGCTTCCTTAGCACCCACTCAAAACAATTCTTGTGGGAGTGTCTCGGTGTGTTTGTGTGTGTGTGGGATTTACAGTGTGTGCGGGCCTCTAAAAGGTTTCAATAATAAATATCACATTGTGTTAAATCGCTGGCAGGGCTTTCTTTTCGCTTTCCTCGCATGATGAATGAACATTACATGCGCCATGGCAATGGAATGAGACCCCATTTTTGTGTAATGTCCTTGAAGTTACATTCCATGCTGAGCACCACTTTTTCCACCTTGTGGTTGCGCGCATTTGTGGCCGATTTAAGCGTAAGACAAAGTTTCGTCTCACGGTGTGATATTTGTTGTGTCTGTTACAAGGAGAAATTGTTTGAGGGAGAAAGGCAAGATTAAAATGTGTTTCATCGCATCATCAGTCTACTACTGATTACTCACGTCCATGTCGTATGTCCACTGTTGACTTGGTTCGATGGCGCACTGCGTCAGCATCACATTTGAAATCGTTGCGTTGCGATTTCTGAGCAACTTGAGAGCGCCTTGTTTGGGTGGGCGGTAAGTAAGGCAAACATTGTCATTGGTCATTATCTGACCCTTGGGTGTAATAACAAACATGTCCATAGTCTGAGCATGCGATGTGCAATCACCCACGGTAACCGGCTGCAGTGAGGAACGCGGCACATTGTCATGCAGCGGACGTAGGCACTTATCGCGCTCTAAATCAATCAGCGACATAAACTCCTCGGCTTTGTGGTCGATCTCCTCGAAGGCGCGCTTCCATTCGCGCGACAACGCTCGTCCCGGCAAGTTCTTCATGTGCTTACTGTAAGCTTGAGTGCATTCCGTCTCGCCATCCAGCCAGATAATCCTGCCAAAGAAACGATCCGGTGCCGGGAAGAAATGCTCAGGCCAAATGGTTTCCAAATACCACGAGAACGGCTTGCATTGCAGCTTTTCACGTAACGCCAAACGGTCGGTCACATTCACTTTGTCCCTTGCGCTCAGCGATAGTCCAGCTGTGTATAGCATGACAAAGTATTGCCAGTCATCCATCCAGACGGTGGCAGCACGGGCCAGATTTGCGGTGAGCACCTCGCTCATGCCACCTGGGAATGTGTACGGTGTGCTGCTGCGAAAGATGTGGCCCACATGGGAGCAGGGGCTGATCTCGATGCGACCGCCGCACTGCCAAATGCGAAATGACATCTCCACATTCTCACCGCCCCAGATACGCATGTCACTATCATAAGCACCCATCTCGTAAAAGTACTTGCGATCGATGGCAAAAAGGCCGCCAGCCATGCCTGGTGTCGCTATGGGCGCAGTGCTGTCCTTGGTATTTGCGGTAGTTTGTCGTTTGCGATCGGAGGAGAACCAGCGAAAGCTCAGCTGCCAATTAAAGGCGCCCCAGTGGTTCTCAAATGTTTTCGTGTAGCTGAAATTGTCGTCTGATATGATGTCTATCACCGGACAGATGACCACTTCACGGGATTCCCCAATACGTGCCAGCAATGGCTCTAGCCAGCCGCGCGAGCATTCACAGTGTGCGTCGAGGAATGTGAGCACATCTCCCCGTGCATGCTGAGCGCCCAAGAGACGAGCAGGCACTAAGCCGCTACGCTCCTTCATGCGATACAAACGCGTGGGGACCGCAAGCACTTGAATGTAGGCCTCCAGTTGGCGCTTCAGAAAAGCTGAAAGAGAAGTAGAGATAAATGTTAATAATCTTTGCGTTAATGTTATGAAAACGAATTACATCGATTGCTGGCATCGTCCACCAAGATGATCTCCCTGAGCAGGTGGCGAGGCGAGCGATTTATGACGCTCGTAATGGTGCGAAGCAGCACAGACCAGGCCTCGTTATGGAATACAATGATCACCGACGTGTTGGGCAAGCTGTTTGCATAACGTTTATCGCGACATCTACGAATACGGTATTATGAACATATTATAGAACAATCAATTTGAATATAATGAAGGGAGCTGCTGTACTTACTCGCCCGTTCTGTAGTCCTTGAGCGTTCTGTTTAGGGGAATGCGATCGCTGGCCAGTATGTTAAAGCTGTTTAGCTTGAAGAAGCGCTGCATACGAAATCGATCGCGTGGTGGTACAATAACGGGTCGCCCATCTGCGCCCTCGCCCTGTTTGGGCTCGAACTGGTTAATGTTGTAATCGTCTGAAAATTTGTAGTCATTGTACTGTTGTGTTGTAGATGTTGTGTCATTTATTAAGTGGTTTAATAACCTGCAGTCATATTGCCGAAGATGTCTCCCTTGCCAATATAGTGGGCCACAATGTTTTTATACGGCCACAATGAGCGGCGCTTCGGCGGCGGTTTCGGATGACTTTGCACGATGTGTGATCCCAAAAAAATAGCAAACAAAATATGAAATAGCTAAATAAGTAAATAATGTTGCAGTCGGAATCTCCAGACTGCGTAATAATATTTTTTATATTTTTGTTTTTTTTTTTTGTGTTTTAACAGCTGAAAACTGTTATAAATTATATTCTTGATTTTGGTAAGTTTTAAGTTTTGGTTTACACCTATAAGAGAATTATTTTTGTGGGATGTGAAGTGGGCTTGGAGGATTTATTTTTTGATAATTAATCTAATTTGATTATTAATTAATTAATTTAACTTGATTATAACTCTTCACACTTTAATAGCGAAAAAATGCTTGTATGGATATGGATAAACGGACAGACAGATATACGAAAGCAATATACACTTTCTGTCCAATGATACAGGGTATAAAAACAAACAAAAGATGACAATGGCAATAATGTTAGGCATTTAACAATAAGTCGCAGCAGCAGCAGCAGCAGCAACAGCAGTTAAATGAACCACTAGAAATGCCATAAATAGAAAATGCAAAGTAGGTAAAAAATCGAAAGCAAGGCTAATGGACACCTCAGAGACCCGTCCACTCAACTCACTCGAGTGTAACATCAGCGCCGGCAGCGACAAAGTCGCCGCCAACGCGCAAACTTGCAACACCAAAGCGACCAGTCAAGCATCCACAACCCATTTTGTTGCCTTCAAGGAAATTATGCAATGTATGTGTGTGCAACGCTGCTACTGAGTTGAAGTCAGGTTTATACAGTTGCATCTTCGTGGCAAATTTGTATCGAAATTCCACTTCCTTAATATACGGGGTAATACGTCACACACACACACACACACACATACACATACACAATACAGTCAAGTGACTGTTTACAAATTTCTAGTTCTGTTTACTCACCGGGGCTCTGCGTCATAGCTTTGTATACTTGACACATATAAGTTTATGCTAATTGCAAACATGAAGAATGCAAAAAACAATAAGAACAGGTATAAAAGCCAGAGCTTCTTTAGCTGCTGGAAACGCAGACCCATTTTGTCGAGTTGCTATTTTGGACAGCCCAACGCTGGCACAGCTCCCACTATTTATTGTTGGGTCCGTCTTCTTTCGCTCGCACTGCTGTTGCCTTCAGCTGCGCTGTGTTAATGACCGGCAACGGTTTTAAGCCCAAACAACAAACACCAAAATGCCCGCTCGCAAGTGAAGCTCTCTTTGCTGCCAGCTGAGCGAATGTCTTGATCTCTTGATGCAAATGTGTCTCTTGACTTGTTGTTGCTACCGACGACTGCTGCTTAATCCAATGCACTGTGGCGGCTAAGCACTCAATAGCCATTTACATAACAAGTGTGCGTTCCCAGTAATTACTAATGCTGCTAAATGTATTATGAATGCTATTTACTTGCTGGAAACCCCTTTTTTTATGCGACAAACAAGTAAAATGTGGTAATATTTTTTGTTTTGATGTAAATATGTAAACAATACATCGATACACTGATAGTCGGCCGATAAATTGTGGCGGTAGTGCGATTTCTCAGGGGTGAAGGTGGCAACTCTATAGCACTAAAAAATCGACTAATCCGACGCGCAAAATCTAATTTGAATAAGCATGTTCCTTTAAGGTACAACAGGTGGCGCTACTTATTACGTTTTCGTTATAACCACAAAACCTTGACAACTATCAGAAATGAAGCCTCAAATCCATAAAAATAAAGTAAGCGGATAGCTACAATTATATCCAGATATGTAGGTTATATTTGTAGAGCTTCCAATACTGTTTAAAATTTAACTTATTTATTTGAACTAACGGTAAGGACGTCTACGCTCTGCATTTTGTAGTGTTATGGCAAACAGTCCGGTAACCATCACAGTAAGTGTCTGCAAAAGTAGTAGTAAGTTTAGTGAAATGGCATAGAAAACTAAAGCAAATCTGTTATGAAAAGTACCTCCAGGCCCACAACAGACCAATCACTGATGCGCTCATATCTCGTGCCAGTGACAAAGGCAGCAGCCAGTCGCTTGTCGCAACCAATTGTAAATAGATCCATTGAAATCGACGTGTTCTGGTTTAAATAGCAGCTTGGCGGTATTCGTAGACCGCTGGCGGCATAGTCTAAGGGTCCCGATTTGCCGCAGCATTGGTACTAAAATGTGAAAGTTAGGTTAACATACTATATTTGTAATAATAGTGCAAATTAAATGAAAAAATTATACCTTAATCTCGTAGTAGGACATGGTGCCATTATTATAGAGCTGCTGCTGCCAGGCGTTGTATATTGTCTCATTTGCGAGCAGCTCAAAGTTGATGGGTTGTGCGAATATAACGGTAATTTGAGCGAATACCAATGCCAATAAAATAGCAGCATACTTTTGGGCGAATTAGTTAACATATTAAACATTTACGAGATACATAAACACACTACTCACAATCCAACTGAGACGTATGCTCTCGCGAAGGGCCGCCACACAGCCAACGATGGTGCTCCCAAAGAGCAGAATGCCCAGCACAATGCCCAAAATGCAGGGTATACGTATGGCCGAGGAGTGAGGAAAGACAATCAGCGCATAGGAGCATGCAGCTATGGAAAGTGCACCAAAGACCTGTAAGGGAATATACAACACTCAGTTGGAATTACTCAGACACATATAGGACCGACACTCACACAGCACAGAAAGTCCAAAATAAAGGAGGAGATTTTCAGCGTTTGAGTACCGCAGCTCATTTTATGAATATTCAACGACTACGCGTATTCGGTGTGTCGTTAAGAATACAACTGAGCGACAAATAAGGAAAAAAAGCCAAAATCAAACAGAGCATGCACATTTATATAAATATATGTTTGTTAGTCCATTGAAGCTTAGAGGCGTTAAGATAACACACAGAGAAGCTACAACTGATAGCGCTGTTCGTAAATCGCAACAGCTGTGTGCCGTATTATCAATATGAATATGATCAGTGTGAGTAGAATGAGTAGTATGAGTACTGTGAGTGCAAATCGATTAGTACACTCAATTAGGCAGCGAGTTTAATATGCACTCGAGCACGCTAGATGCGCATCTCAATCACTTTCATGTGCAATATGAGTCGAGAGCGGCCATATTACTGCGCATTGCCCACCGTTAGTATCGGTATCAGTTGTGATAACAATGTGTGCGTGTGCGTGTGTGTGTGTGTGTCTGTGGAGATATAAGCAATCTCTCCTTATCTATAAATTGATTTACATTATGCCCAGGGTCAATTTGGGGCAGACAAGGTGAGGTAAGACTGTGTAACACTGTAAGATATTCATTTTGTTCTACACTCAGTTTTAGTTGTGAATTCAGTATAAAGTCAAGTGACTTTCAGGTATTTAAATAATATAATTACTTCATGTTTTTGCAACGATTTTGGACAATTATCTATTACCATAACTCATGCAAACAAAAACAGAAAAACGACTCACAACTCGATAACAGTTAGATTAGAGCTGATATCTATTGAGTCTTAACAGGCCTGATAAGCATGGGCGTTACCTTGGTTTATTTTTGTTATAGTTTCAAATAGTCGCAGTGCTGTTGCATTTCTCGCAGTGTATGTGAACTTCGCTTATTATCGTTATTAGTGTTATTTACTTTTTTTGTTCATTCTTAACGCCGTCACACAATAACTTCGCATGAAATTATCTCGACTAACCGCCGGTGGGCGACACTCGTGTTTTTAGTAATTCAGTCTAAAAAAAGTCGTCAACGCGTGTGCATCGATTTGTTGTCCAGTTTATACACTTTGTAAAATATTCAAAGGAAATGGGTTGTGCAACAGCAACGATCAAATATCTAGTATTCCTCTTCAATGCTCTCTGCGCGGTGAGTAAACTACAAAACTGAAAATATACCTCTGACTCAGAGCGGCAAAGTTCAACAAAGTTGGGTTATCATCGGCAGTCAACCGTATATAATGTACGAGCCCACTGTGTACACATATGTACACATATGTACACATATGTACACATAAAGATACGCCCCTTGTTGCGGCACATTAAAAACTTTCCAAAGCTGTTTACCTGGTGGTGTTCGTCATAGGTTCCGGCCGATATCTGTGTATATGGAACACTGTGATATTTCACAAGCTTCTTTTTGAACGCTCTCTCAATTTGAATTCTTTTAGTTACTGGGCATTGCAGTTATTGTGGTGAGTTCGATTGCACTCAAAGATGTCGCCAAAGAGGCACAACCTATTATGATATTCTTCATTGTCATCGGTTCGATTGTTTTTGTGATCTCATTCTTTGGCTGCTGTGGCGCCATCAAGGAAAACGTATGTCTAACCTGGACTGTAAGTATCATATATAATAAGTAATATATATACATAGATATCTATTAATATGCATTTATCTTTGCTTAATAGTATGCAATCATTATGCTCATCGTATTGATTTTGACATGCGTTCTCGCCTTTGCTTACCTGAATCGCATCGATGAGAAAAAGTTGGCACAGGACGAATTGAACCTGGCGTGGAATAGTACTGATACAACCAAAATGGCCTTCTATCAATCGAACGTAAGTCCGAAACTATTTCTTAACTCTTACAGGGTTTGTATGTCTTAACTGTTTATTTCAAATGGTAGTTCAAGTGCTGTGGCATCAATGGCCCCATCGACTATACCAAGGCCAATCGGACAATACCGGAGAGCTGTTATGTCACAAATAGTACCGCTACTAGCTCAACTCATACTGTTTACCCCGACGGCTGCTTATCCAAAATGATCAATTCCTTCGAGGTGGCCACCAAGTATGTCAATGTATTTAGCTGGATTCTGATTGGCGTCGAGGTAAGTAAACTTATCTATTTTTAATTAATAACTGAGTCAACAACTGAATTTTTTTTTTTTTTTTTGGTTTCTTCGTAGGCCTCTGCTTTTCTGTGTGCCACCATTTTGGGCATTACCTTTAACAACGAGCAAAGACGTTCCAGATATTAGTTGGTCTTACAAAACTGAACCACTTGTATTATGCTCCAAAATATAAAGGAGCTTTGCGAACAAGTTAATAAAAGTTTATTTTAGTTAATTATTTGCAAATGTACGATGACATTAGAAACGGTATTAAGTCAGTTAAGATAAAAAGTGCGTATTGCAATCATTATTTAACTATATAGTTGTTTTATACATATTGCAATTTTGAGAATAAATCCATTTGATAATAAGAAAAATATGAAATAATAAACTGTCAAAATAGATTGATTTTGAAAATTGGTTCAGATTTGATGAATTTATCGCAGTTCATAATGTGGAAACGAGTTCAGAGGGTATTCATGGGACAGCAGTTAAACATAAGATATTTAAATGTTTTATTTTATAACAATGTGTCATAAGCTAAACGGTGCGCACATGCACAGTTCCGATTTCTGTGGATTTTCGAATGCAATTCTTAAGTGGACATGCTCAACGCGAATTTGGCACGCGAACTTGCACACAGATACTCACGCACACACACACACATATGTATATATATATATATATATATGCAGAAGAGCTGTCAGAGTAAACGGTTTGCATGCAGTCGTGTCGACAGTTTGTAACCTAAGTTTTTAATTGCCTCAGTGCCTGCTTTGTGTGTGTGGCATGTTTGTATGTCGAATATAAACTAAATTATTCAAAATAAATACAATTTAGACTGTAGACACTCACACATATGCACTCATTTATATGCGCTCATCACTAATACCAAATAGTCAGAGTTGTCCTTAGACATGCCACTGAAACCAAAACTAAAACTCATGAAGATACTGCGCTGTGGAAGGGATGACTGCTGCTGCTGTTGCTGTTGGTGTCACAGTTGCTGTTGCTGTTGCTGTTGCTGCTGTTTCTATTGTTACTCTAACCCTTTGTAGAGTGAAGCAAACACCATCAGAGCGTACACCTTGGGCAGAGCGCATACCGTTAGAGCGGCTGTCGCTGGCTCGGCATTTGGGCCATGTGCGACGATAGGTTTGCGCTTTTATGTTTTCGAAGCCAAAGCCAGTTACAATTGTGACGAGCGCACGTGCAGTTTTGCCCAAATATTATTCGGAACTAACGGTCTAATAGTAAATTTAAACGCAACTCGATTATAAACCGTAGCATAATTTGAGGTGCCTCATGAGTCGCATGCAAGCGTAAGTTTATGCAAAAACAGAAAGCCAGAGAGAGTGAAGGAGGGAAAGAGAGAGAGAGAGCTGTGTGTTTTGTTTGATTTTGTGGCATTCGTGCAGCGAGGTGCTAATAGCTTGCCCCACAAAGCAGCACCCACACATTGTGGGTGGTGTCGCCACCAACAAATTGCTTAATTTGTTGCCACCGACTCCGGGTGATTCGCTATTTAATTTTGGCACATATTCACATGTCGGAAAGTTTTGTGCTTAGCAATTAGTAACCTCAGGTAACTGCCTCTGTCAGCCATTACAGTTAAACTTCTAACTGCTTATTGGACGTAAATTAGACACACATATATGACCTGGCCTATATGTATCTCCTATCTGTTCTCTGTTATAGCAGATATAAGATTTATAGCTGCGCTGGCAATACTTTATCTTATGTACTATTTTCGTCATCTCTCTCCTTAATATTTACACACTGGTCGTCCACACTATACAATGAAAAGTCAAAACAAACACGAGCCATCAAATTTGCTTTAATTTTAAAATAAACATATGCCACGCTCGAAGTACACAAGCATCGCCTTATAGTTGGCTACATTTATATTTAATTAATACAAATAAAAAACGGATGGTTAACTTAGGCACGTCGAAGGCAAAATACTCTTTAGACAGCAGTAAACCTGCTCATATTTAAATTTAAGTGTGGACTTTTAATTAATCTTATGATTTTTTTTTTAAATTTGTATATGTTTTTTGTCTCACGACTGGCAGCGAACTGAACATTCCAGATTTTGTAATTATATTGAATTAGAAAGGTTGAGTTGATCCCAAAACATAACTCTTATCTCGGTTGTTTCTACGGCAGCTGTAGGATTCGCCCGATCTGGTCGGCTTTGAACTATATACTGCTTTCAGTAAAACAGATATACGGATATTTTGACAAGATATCATTTTTGAAACTTCAAGCTTCACGACAAAGTTGTAATACGCTCTACAAATTATCACTGCTTTAATTCGAAAAAATGATCCAGAGATATATCTCCATATTAATTGGTGATATTTAAATGACGGACACTGTTTAATTGCCCGTTGTTCTCAAGATTCTTATTTTTCTTTTGCACCTTGAAATTTTGAAAATGAGAGTTCTTAAATGGTATATATTTTCTTCCATTTAACAGCTAAGCACCGCTGGTTACTAAATTAAATTGATGCTAGTATTTTAATTCCTTAAATTTCCAAACTCTGTCTTAGTTATATATGTATATATGATTAACAGGCCTGTTGGTCATCACTTCGTCAAAAGCGTAAGACAAATTTAATAATATTTAACACCAATCGGAGCAAAATAAGCAGCTTAAAATTTATTATTGTTTGAATGTAGTTTTTTGGCCAATCCTATCATGTACAGAAATGCACAAAAGGAGAAAAAAGCTTTTGATGATCTTCTCATTAGCAATATGTAGTCGGCCTTTGCCATGAACCTTAAATATATTTAAAGTAAAATTTTCCAAATATATTCTAAGCTTTATCGGAGTTCGTTTCAGCTCATGAATTGGCTACTTGAGTAAAGACAAGCAACAACAAAATATAGAACATTTACCAGCTGTTTCTATTTATGTGACTAGTGCTGTACCGTATAGAAATGCATTCCATGCACTACCTCAATACAATTAGAGCGCTCCGCTTGGCCATTTGAAAAATATTGCTAGAACACACGTGACTCTGTGGGTATATCAATTTGATAACTTCATAAACATAACTATAACTATCAGTTACCAGCAGCACGAACTTTGTATACGCTTTCGCAGTAATTTTTATACGTTTTGGATATTTGATGGAAAGCCAGTTTCATCAAGTGTCGTAAATGCAATCAAAGTACTTGAACTTTGCCCGTAAACCGCACAATGGCCGGAATTTCATTGTGCCTCGCAGGTGTCGCAAACTAACCGATCAAAAGTCATAAACTCAAAAGGCTTCGCGTGCCATCAAAACTCAAATAATTTTTCCCCAGACTAGGGCGCGTCCATATGGCAACACTAGGTGCAGGCCTGGTCGGGTCTGGTAGTGATGACACACACACGTCTCCGCCGCCGCCGCTGTTGCAATTGGAGCGCCTACCGTCAGCCTTTGGAGTTTATGATAAGCGACACGCGAGCGAAAGGCCAAAATGTCGGCTGAAGAGTTTCGCGCAAATAACCAACAAAAGTTCCGATCAACTTTCTGATGATGTGTGGATGCCATTGCGGGGGAGGTGCAGTGCTCGGTGCTGTGTGCTGTGTGCTCGGTTCTCTGTACTCTGTACTCTATTGATAGGCATACTCATCGTGTCAGCATGTCACTGCCAACATCGACGTTCTCATCGTCGTCCTCGTCGTCGTCATTGTTGTTGACGTCGCTGTCCTGTCAGTGTGCAGATAGCAGTGCATGGAATTTGTTTTCCTTTTGCCGGCTGGCAGCAATTTTTTAACCTAACCTACCTATATATATACTATATATATATTTAGATATATATATGTCTGGCGCTACAGCAATGTCCACCTGGACATCAATGAAGACACGGTATGTGCAGCTCTAGGAACTGGTTATAAGTAACATTTAATTTATATTTATTTTTATTTAAGTTCTTATTTAATCTTGACTTGTTTAAATTGTAAGTTTTAACTGTACCTTTTGTAATTTTGTTAAAAATTGTGGTCTGTCTATATTCACTTTCACTTTGCAGCATCACGGCATCGGTGCGCACCACCAATCGGATGAATGCGCTCCTCTCCGAGTCCATGTTGAGTCGGAGGCGAGCGCTGCAGAGTGGTGGAGAGTGCGACGGTGGTGGCGGTGAGGGGAGCGGTGAGCGTAAGGAGAAGCCGAAAAATGATTGGAAATTCTTTCACACCAATTTCAATATGGAACGTGCCCTGAAAGTCATTGAAGATTGCATTGAGGAGCGTTTGCTGTGGGATCGCTTCAGTCGCAATTATGACTCTTGGCGCGCGCTGCCACTGGTCGAGGGTCTGGCTGCAGAGATACGGGACCGGGTGAAGAAGCTAAACCACAGGCGGTGAGTGGCGCATAATCGCAATTTAACCACAAAGCAACCCAAATGACCTCAATATAACTATATATACGTATATTCCATAGCCATCGCATTGTCTGTCTGCTGTCGATTGTGGAGAAGCAGAACCAGGGCATCTATCAGAGAATGTGCCATCTGATGGACGAGAAGCGCGATAATTTTACCCAACTGGTTTTCGAGCGACCCACGTATTTCATGATTGTCGTCTTATATTTGGTCCACAAGGATTAACTAAGAATGAAAGTTATAAAAAAGCTTTGCACAACCTTCAGAAGCTCAAGAAAAGCTTCGCTATCCATTTCACAAACCAGTTGTAATATTTAGTAGGCTAAGGACTGTTCGACAGTATTAGAGCTTAGCAAGTAGTAAGTAAAATAGTAAAGCCACCCAATAAAAGAAATTGAACTCCAATTGAAGTATGTTTTTCTTCAATTTAAGGCCCCGGCGAGATTCGAACTCACGATCTCCTGTTTACTAGACAGGCGCTTTAACCAACTAAGCCACGGCGCCGTTATGCTTTCGTTTATCAAAAAAGTCAATTTAAGATAACATATTTTCAGAATTTTTGTTTAAATTAATATTTGTTCAGATGTTTTCTTGCACAGATATTAAAAAACATACAGATAATGATATCGCGCTGAATTTTTATTGCTGTTGAGGCAATGTGGCTATCTCAAAAGTAGAAATTGATTTCAACATCAAGTTCACTTCTATTCTTATATACATCTATGATTTCAAATACATGATTTATAAAATACTAGATGAATGCGCTTTAAATGTTGGTCGTGGAATTCACAAACTTCATAAATTAACTTCCAAGAGTTTCTATTTGGCGTTACAAAGATCATTTTTTTATTTATTAACTTACTATAAAAAAACTTTATCTTAAATAATACCTTAAAAAAAGGTTTATTTTCAATTTATGAGACCCGAGATGTTATCAAAAACCTTTTCACAGGGTATCTCGTAGTTCAGAACACTTTTGACTCAATAGCTTTTAATTAATTATGGTTCAGATAATTACTACAATTTGCTTTAAATATATTATGGCTTATCAGCTGTGGCGATGCAAAGTAAAGTGGCTGTCTAAAAAAAAAAATCTTAAAATAAACAAAGCTTTTCAGGGGAGCTTTTTTTTCAGCACACACAAGTTTTGCAGCTATTGTGTAGAAAAGTTCATGGACGCGCGCAATATTGGCGAATTTAACGATTATGGAAACAATTATTGCGGCAATTGAAGCATGTTAATGGCGAGTGCGTCAGTTGGCGGCGTGCGGCAATCGCAACAACACAATACAACAACAACCGCAGTGGAGACGGCAACAATAATGGCAGCATGCGCGGAACAGGAAACCACTTTAATGGTGGCAAATAGCAATTGACAGCAGAAAGCGTGAGATGAAGTGGACGAATACTGATGACTTGGGTGGGTGGATGCCTCAAAATAGTCCATTTATAATTAGAAAATATTTTAAAAAAGTGCAGTGGACGACAATCAACTGAAGGCCCCGGCGAGATTCGAACTCACGATCTCCTGTTTACTAGACAGGCGCTTTAACCAACTAAGCCACGGCGCCATGCGGGATGCACTGCCTAAAAACTCTACAAGTGCTGCAATGCCGTGTGGAGCCCGAGAGAAATCTTAAATACCTGCATATGTATGTCTGGAAGGAGGAAAATGAAAAATAGATTGTATATGTGAGCGTGTCCCCGATATTTAGAGAGCTATGCTTATGTGAAGAAAAACTTTTTATTGTTCAGCTAAAAGAACTAGTTATGTAATCTATTCCATATTTACCGACAACTTGTGCGCCGTCGACAAAGTATTTATAAGTAGACATATCTCTCGGCTGTACAAATATAACTGCTACGCACTGCTCTTGGTGGAACTTCCAGTTGCCTGGCTGGCTGTTTGGCTGGCGGGCATGTTTCTCTATTTGGTGGGACTGGGAGCTGAAGATAAATGCAAATGTTGGCGCTGCCAAGTCGTCTTTGGCCAAATGGAAATTATTTGTATTCTTGCGGCTGGGCACATACAAGAACGGAGAAAACTTAAGCACTTGAAATGTATCTTTGAGATTGCTTCTGCTAAACAGCAAAACAGCCCAAAGGCAAAAGGCATCTGCCTCTCACACCTCCCATCCTCTGTGAGAGTTGAGTAACAGTTTCCACTGTCAAACAGTTTTCATAGAGGCTTTCCAATTGGTATACAACTTTTAGTAGGTTTTTTTTTTTTGGTAATGCTTCGATTTATATGTCGCCATGGGCTTTCTTTTATTTTCATCTATATGTATGGTTACATCAATCGTTAGGAATGCGAACTGGTCTCGATTGTTTTAAAGTTTCCATCATTTATAGTTGAAGTTGAGCTAACCACATAAATCACGAAAACTTTTCAAACAGTTGCTAAGCACATTAACACTAAATGCCATTAGATTGCCTCTCATTAATAGCAATACCAATAGCAATTTCAACTCCAATAACAGTCCACTTCTCTTCTCCGTTCCCTTTATACTGGTGCAACAGTTAAGCTATTCAGAAATACGCACGACAACTCCTAACTCCAAGCCCCACTCCAACTGTAACTTCGATTTGACCAAACTAATTGCCTGAAGTTAGTTGCTCATCAAATTGCCGCATCATTTTACGCAGATTTTTATCGCAACTCCAACAACAGCCACCGCACTTGGCCAGGGTTGACCAGTACAGGACAGTTGGCCCAGACTAGGACAGTCAGTCCATCTAGCCCAAACCAAAGCAGACCAAACCACACCAGACCAACTCAGCCAGTGAATGTACCAAAAAGTATCTAATGCGATTCCTGTGTTCTAGCCTTGTAGTCTGATGTGTTACGTTGCCAGTATCTCGATATGTCTATCTATGTTCCTATACTCTGCAACCACGTGAATGGGTACAATGTGAGTTCATGATTGGATTTGGCTGAAAGGGTTCGAAACTTGTAATTTGTATTGTATTTTATGTAAAAAATCTCACATAAATTAGAAAATAGTACTATTAAATAGTTCTACTACATAAACAGGATAATTTTTTCAAACTTAAGTGAAAGGAATTAATAATATAATAAAGGAGAAATCAAACTAATCAAATTGAATTATTATTGGGAACAATTGCGGACTATTTATAAATACTATTAATCGAAATGAGCGTGTGATTGAAAAAAAGTATATTTGAACGAAATATAATTTGAAGTAAAACATAAAATATGACAGATGGTTTACTGAGAATGCTAGTAGTTATGTACAGGTTAGTAAAAGGTAGAGATAAGTAATGTCCGGTCACTCAACTAAATAGGGCATTCAACACTTCGGTGTGCCACTGTTAATCGCTTCTCTCATGTAACATTGTAATTTGGCATGGAATTGAAGCGAACGCTTATCAGCACATGACTCCAATAAATTCGCTTCTGCCATTTTGGAGCTATCTCACTCAGCAACAAGGAGCGAGGCGCATTTAACCCATGTTGCCTTAGCCCCGAGAATAGCCAACAGTGAGCAGGATACGAGTCTCGCGATCTCAATCCGTAGCTGTTGTTGCCCCTGGTTTGTAGTCGTTGTCTGCCAATGCGCAGCAATTGAGTTTTTACGCAGTTCGACAAGTTCCACAGGACGTGGAGCCAATTCCATTGGCTGCCTTTGGCTTAGCTGCGGGCTGTCAAGGACTCGCTGCTTGTTTTTTTCTGTTCTGTTTTTTTTTTTGTCAGGGTATTTTTGTGTGTGTGAGCGACAAATCTGCTTTGTTTTTATCTGATTCCATTTCGTATTTAGCCGTAGCGTCTTATCCTGGTGGGAATGCGTACATTTGTTTGGCGTCCAAAGAGGGATTACAATGTGGCGGGTGGCGGGGAGTGGTAAGTTGAGCAGGGGGCGTGGGTGGCGGCAACGCTGCTATGATATTGTAACTTTAACGCCTTCAAATAAAAGCGCACGCCATTAATCTAAGGCAATTCCGGGGCACAGAGTTGAAATTTTGTAATTATAACGGGGAGCCACAAAAGTGCCATAAACGCTGCGAAGCGGCCAATAATCTTAATTGAGCGACATTTCAAAAGCAATTAGAAGAGGCCAACTTGCGGGCCAAAACCAAACCAATAAAACGAAAATGAAAAACACAAATAAAAATAAAATACAAAACGAAAACAAAAATGTGAAACATTAATGACCGAAACTCGAGTCAACACTTTAATGACATCAGTTCCAGGAAGGATTCAGATACAGATACAGTTTTTTCTGCAAATATGTTGATACGTAAATCTTTGTTTTATAGTGAAAATAACGGTTATGTCGAGATTATCCGACTATATATTACTCTGTACCCAAAAAAGCATCTATTCAAGTGTTAGGTATCTAAAAATGTAGATATACTTATCAATTTTGAGAAATGGTTCTTCGGAAATTTGGTTATCTTTATCTTAGATAATGTCCGACGGACACGCACATACATTTAGATAGATAAAAATATATCCATCAGCCGAAAAGGTACAGAATATAGCTACAATGGTAATTAATTAATTAATGGTAATTACTAACTTTTGACGTTTTTTGCAATAGCTCCAGTCTTCTACCATATTGCTGAAGAGCGTGTGCAGAAATACACGTATCAGTAAGAGCTCCACGCTGAAATTGTTGCGGATCTGACGATGGCAGCGCATGGGGACCAAGGGACTCATTTTATCGTGGCATTGAGTGATCACATCTCGCACGTGGCGCCTAAAGTCAAACTCATCGATTTTGCTGGCCTTGATCTGCTCATTCCGCTCGATGCATAAGCCAAACTGATGCTGGGCCGACATCTTGAACTGATCGAAAGCATTCAGCTCGGCGCTCATTTTCTGGAGTCTATCATTCAGCTGGCAGCGCATGGACTCCAGCAGCTTCAGCTGCTTGCGTGATGAATGCAAATGCTGTGCCTGCCGTTGCAGCTGGCAGCGTAGCATGCAGTTTCTGTGACGCAGCTGCTGCAACATCAGCTGATTTGGTGTTAGACAACACGTATCCTCAGCTTCTGAGAGTGTGCCCAGTTCTAGTTCGCAGGGATCAGCTGGCGATAGTAGCAGTTTGCCACGCAGATGCTTTAGGCGCTGCATGATCGCCTCTAGTTGATCGTAGGCCAAATCCAAGTCGGGTTCCTCCTCTGCATCCTCAATGCTCCCACTGGCACTCAGAATTTCATCCTCATCTGTGCTTAGCACACCTGGCGCGCTGCAAACGTCGCCCTTATACCAATGACTTAGAATTTTATTCATTTCGTGAACTGAAATAAATATTGTGTTTAAATAAAATCGACTTCAATAACTAGAATTATTGACAAATATTTCCAGGAGTTCTAGTTATGTGTGATCCCTAACAATTCTCAAAAGATGACCCATATAAAATGTGATTCACAGGAACAAATATCATGACAAACTTCTACTCCAAAGAGTCTTTGACCCTATATAAAGTGTACAGAAATCTAGATATCTTCTAATAATAATTTTTCCCATTTAGTTTTCATTTTGTCAGTATTTATACAATATTAATTTCTTAACATAAAACTAAAATTGTATTTGAAATACAATTTGAACGGTTGACAGCGAGTGTCAGCATCGTAAAATGAAAGTTATTTACCCCACGGCCCGCTCCCCATTTAATTGAGTTAAACAAATCTGTTTTCGCTCGTTTCACTTTCAATTAAATAAACAACTTTTCGGTACCCCAATGCCTCCTCGTCGCCCCGCGTGCTGTTATGCCATTTTAACCCCTAATTTATTAATGACTGCCGGCATTCGTCAGCCCAGCAACAGCAACTCAAAAAGTTCATATTTCAAAAATGGCTTCTAACAAGCTGAAACTGAGGCATTAGCCAAGAAGGCTGAGACAACAGTAGGGGTAGGGTTGAGGTTAGGGGTAGCCGGCTGAAAGGGTTGGCAGCCGCTGACGCTTTGCCAAAATTATTGGGCACCATTTGATTAATGACACTTACGGCTTAAAGGCACATCCTGCGCCAGGGTGGAGCCATAGAGCTGTGCGCTTTAAGTGCGAGTTATTTGCTTGAAAAATATTTGCACAGAAAGTTTCACTTTTCGTTGAGTCTTGTCACGTGCAGCGTGTGTGCAGCATGTCCAACAAAAACTAGCAGCAGCATCACAACCCCTACTTATAGCCATAGACATATCCATATCCATCTGAATTTCAGAGGGGTGCTTGGCCCCCCAAAAATTCTGCATACCGTTGCGCATTGTGACATGGCAGATGAATTTGTCGGAACATGTGTTCCTCCAGCTGTGGCAACACGTCGGCACTCCGGAGTTCGTACAGCTTCTGACTGCCTGCTGTCATCTGGCTCTCAGGCAAGTGGAACTGATACAGATAAATTAAATTTTGGAATTGAAGTTGTACATTGAACTTGGATGCCAGCACGCATTTTGATTCCTGCTCTCTTAGTTTGTGTTTATTGACGATGAAGCTGATGGGCCGGTTGGGTTGTCAGGTTATTGGCATTATAAACACGTAGCCAAAATGAGAGCATAGCGTGTGGCATATTGCTTTAACAAAAACGTACAAAATAGGTTTATTTGTGGTCTTAACGGTAGCTGTGATATCTGCCAGGACGTGCGCTTATCGCGGTCTTTTCTTAATAATTCTGTTTTCGATGCGTAGCTCGGTTCATCCACAAATTTAAATATACCTAAAATATGCAATAATTACTAGAGCTAAGAGTTTTTAGGGTTTTTATATCATCTACGTAGCAGGCCACTTGCAATGTTGGTAACAGTCCATTAGTAGTAACATTGATATCGATATTGATCGATAGCAATTGAGTGATAATCAACTTACAGAAGAAAAAGAGATCGATCGCTGTGAATAAAGTAAAGTAAGCAGACGTGTCCGTGAAAGAAATATAAATAAGTTTCGACTGCTACACTTTACTTTATAGATATAGATACTTTTGCTTGCTCAACATTCAAAAATTCGATACTTTGCTAATATGCAATCAGGAATATCGTTTTCCATAAATCACAACACCAACTCGCACCGCAATTTGCTTATGTATGTATATATTTTTCGATATGTGATTTTACTACAGCCAATACGAATCGACATCGCGGCATAAATCTAAATATTTTACACAGGCGCATCTAAGACCCGGCCAAACGTGACTCAATTATATGGCCAGCACCACCCTACATCACCACACACACACACACTCACACACTCACACATGTGTGTGTGCGAGTGTCTCAAATTTCATAGGGATTTGTTTCTTTTTTGTTTCTTTTGTTCTCCATACCAATGGAAAACAATACATAATTCTGCCGTATGCCAAGCCGAACAATTTATGTGCAAAACAATAAAATTAAATTGTTTTCGCATTCGACATTCTAAATTCCACATGCAACATGCTGCAAAATAATGAACTCATCTAGATGAGAATAATAAATTTTTGAGCAATGTGGCAGTCAAGAGCGGAAATGCTACGCCATTTTATAGCGCACCAGCCCCACTTGAGTTGGCTGCCTTTCTAGCTGTCCGCCTGGCTGGCTGGTTGACTGGCTGGCTGGTGGTGCAGAAAGTAGCAAAAAGAGCTGAAACCCAGCACCAGGTCGTAAACCACAAGTGCGCGCATTGCCAGCGACTTTGTCACATTGCTACTTCCTGCCAGGACTCAAAGTTGGAGCTGGAGCTGGAGCTGGAGCTGCAGCTGTAGCTGTCATGGAGTGTTTAACTCGTGAACGCCCACTTTGATTTCCATTTGAATTGGGCGCGCAGACGGCAGCCACTTGTAATATTTTGCCCATACACATATGTTGCTCGATTTATGAGGCAGCTGCCAGCCTTCGCGGCTATTAACCAGCAATATGGCAAAGACAACTTAAAGCACATTTTCAAATTTAACAAATCAGCTACCGAAAAATAGACTAAATCACCCAAATGTGAAACATGTTCATTTTAAAACGAAAATGCCACATTGAAGATACATTTTAGAGCAGATTCATTTTTAATCTTACGACGAAACGTTGAAAACCACAAAGTGATTTGACGCTGTCAAATAACAACTACTCGAAATATGTTGTACACAAAATAACGCATTACACGGGGAAAACACTGAAGAGGAGAGTCCACAGACTAACTTTTATGTTGTATATAGCATTGAGAGCATGGCTAAGCTCATTACAACCACTCCAGCGAAAAGTGCCTGATGAAATAGTCGTTTGCATTTGTCGTGGCAACTATGGCCAGGCCTTGAGGGCGCTGGATTATTCGAGCGGTATTCTGGGGGCAGCACAGGAGCTAGCTTATTGCGCCAGCTGCGAAGCCGTTTGTGTGGCATGAAGAAAATGGAGTCGCTGATCGCCTGCGAGGCGTTTATCAATGAACTGCAACTGTCCGATCTGGATATTAGTGTAATAGGCTGCATGAATGCACAGATACCACGCCATATATTGGACAGGACCTATGAGCTGATGCTCACACTTCTCTAAGCAGTTGGAGCAATTTGCGGCACACGTTGATCCTCTACAAGCACTGCACCAGATGAAAGGCGGCGCAAAAGGCGCTGGATCAGCTGCAGTTAGAGTCTGCTTCCACATTGGGGTTGTATATCCCTTATGTGCTGCATCTTATTCTGGGCGTTTAAATGGTGTCCTTTCTCTTTTGATGGGTGCCAGCAGCTTTTGTTCTGCAAGTTGGGCAACAGTTTTACCTCTGCTTCCACGCTCGGCAGACGTTTCAATTAAATGCGCGCAATGTTTGGCAATTTGCACGCACACATGGGACTGCTCCGCAAAGAGCCCCTGCCCAATGTTCATCGCCTGTCCGGAGTTGGCATTTTGAAAAATAGATTTCTAAAACGTTTAAGCTGCTGCATGTGTCTTGAATTTTAAACTCCAGCTTCATATTAAAATTGCGGCAAGGTAAATGCAAGCTAGACGGCAGCCAGCTCAGAATCTCGACGCCCCCAACCCCCTAATAAGAGCCACCCCCATGTAGCATATGCCTGTGCCGCCAAATAGCACAAACGTGACCAAAGTTTTTGTGACTCTTCTTTGTGCATTGTTGGCAGGCGATCATTTATCTTAAATGCCAAGTCCAGGAGCAGGGGTCGCCCATTTCTTTGTATGCGGTGTCCTAACGTCTTCTTTTGGGCACCTTTATACGTATGTATGTATGTAATATATATGTTGGTTTTTTTGCTAGGCAACCAAGTGCGTCTCTGGGGGCAACGGGAAGGCTCAAGGTGCGCGCTGGTTGCTTCATAAGCGGACGCCCTTACCGGAAGTGGACGATGGTGAAATTCATGAACCTAAGCGGCTTTAAAGCGCAGGACAACGCCTCACTGAGTTATTAGCGATTCCGTGCTGGAAAGCGTGACCAACGAGCTTAGTAGGGTAAGAATGATTTAGAAGAGCGCCGGCTAAAAAATTACAAAGGAAATCGAAAACGGAAAAGTTTCCAACAGGAACTAATAAGCGATTTAAAAAGTAACGCACAAATCCTAAAGTTAAGTAAAGAAATTCAACATTTAAAAGAGAAGTAATTTAAATGAATAAATTTATTATGAGTTAATTTTTAATCTGACAAATTGTACTTCAGAAGGAATGTTATGGCTATATTTTATTTAATATTTGTTTTCCAAGCAATTTAAAAATATTTTCGCAAGTATGTACTTAAAATATTAACAAATTAAATATTTGGCACTTTTTTTAAATTCTGCACACTTACATTTTCTTAATGATATTTGCATACAAATGTAGAAACTTCCCCCAAAAAGTAAAAAAAATAAAATACATACTTAAAAACAATTTAAATATTTTCAACTCAACTGGCCAGGGAAATTTCTTTGGCAAATGCTAGAGTTTTGCTATAAACACAGCTGCTTACGAAACTTTTCTCGAAAAACAATTACACTACAAACATAGACCCAAACAGAGTTGCTGCCCGCCTTTGCATAACTTTTAAATTTTGTTGTTTGCTCTGAGACTTTGTTTGCTGCTGTTAGTTCTGCTGGAAACCCATGAGTGTAAGTGTGTGCGTGTGTGTGTGTGTGTGTGTGTGTGTGTGTGTGTGTGTGTGTCATTCTTCATCTTCCTGTCGTATTAAAATTGCAAAAATTTTAATCTTTTTTAAAAGTATTTTACATACTATAGATTCTGCAGTAGAACGTACACATAATGCCCCTATTGGGTTTTTACTTCAAACAGCAGACTACAGTTGAGAATTTATGTATGTATTCAGGGGCATCACAATTTCCCATGCTCGCTTAGCAATAAAAGGCATATCCTGTGTAACGA